GAAGACGGCAACTCTGCTCACGGCCACAAGACTACTAGCAATATTTGTGCTACTTGGCGTACTTCTATGGGTATTACTCTATTCCCCCATCCTACAGTTAGCCCTGATATGAATCCTATTGAGAAGTGCTGGAGGAGAATAAAACAAGCTCTCTATAGGCGCCTAAGGCAGCCAACAACTGAGGTTCAAATGGTTGTAGTAGTATTAGAAGAATGGGACAAAATTCCTCAGGAATGGATCAATGGGCTTATTGAGCAGCAGGACTTCTGGGTACACGACTTAATTAAGCGATGTGGCTGGTCTACAGCTAATTAATTAATAAAATTCATGATTCTGATGCCCTGAACGCACGGACTTTTGTCCCTATGTTCGTAACATGGTGAACAAAAATGAACGCCCGGACGTGTCAACAGGCCAAGGCGGCAATTACACAATTGCAACTGATCCACCAAAAGTTTGGGTTCCATTGGAGTTTGATGACAACATCTCAAAGGCCCATCAATTTGTTGAAGACGTCAAGGAGAAACTCGATAACGTCAGCGCGTTAGAAGATCCCGGTCTCACTGTTATTGACAACAACTCCAGCGAGCAAGATGTCATCAAACTGTTCAACCTCTTTATCATGTACCCGGTCGAGATTGCTCTGCTGCAGATTGAACTACCAGAGCATTTCAAGCTGAAAATCCGCTGCGAGGTGCATCCTGACAAGGGGCGTGCAGTTCGCGTAGATATAATTCTCGAAGCTTGCAGCACCTCGAGCTCCCTAGGTATCAAGACCCTCGCCATCATGGAGATGAAGAATTTCGGTGTCATTACGGACGAGATGGGCCGCATCATGGATTGCTGCAGCTTCCTGGGCTGTCTGAGCTCTCAGGACGTCATGTGCTTTCTGGGCTCGATCTTTCGCATTGATGAGCAGGCTGGCCAACCAGTCAGTCAGTTAGTTATCAGTCGAGCTAATTCTTCAACTAATAGACTAATCAAAATAAAGGCATCTAACTAATCGACTATCAATCACTTATAAGTAACTAATAAGTGAAGAAACGTAATTTTTAATCACGTTACCTTACCAAAAAATAGCCACCAAACTATGTAATAAATAGAGTATATATTATTAAAAAAACTAGATATATAAAGTGCACAGCACATTAAAAAAGTACACACTGAGGGAGTACACACTAAAAGAGTATACATTGAGAAAATGTATATTAAGATAGTGCACTTGCATGCTTCAAGAGAGCTCATAAGTCTTAGAAAAGGGCTAAGAAATCATAAGATCAATACTAAAAGCCTAACTAAACTCTAACTCAATAAAAAGCATAATTCTTAGTGTTTTAATAAAACTTTTAAATCGGCAGAGTAGTAAATTCAAAGGTCAAAAACATTATAATAAAGTTTTCATCGCTTTTTTTTAACCAATCAAAGAGTCTTTTTTTGCCTACCCGCCCTTGAAACCACCCCAAAAAGCCTCAAAACCACCTCAAAAATGACTCCAAAATCGAATCTGTAAACTTATCAGTTACTGCCAGTTGGACTTTTAGATCATTGATAGACTGAGACGATTCAAGATGTCTAAACTAATTCACTTTAACTGCTCACTTATCAGTCAGTTGACTAGTCGACTGACTGGTTGGCCAGCCTGTTGATGAGGTCCTGCTTCTTCTGTGCGATAATTGCTATGCGCTCGTTTCGGATACGTTCATCCTTGACACTCTGCACAAGCTTTCGGATATCCTCGTCAAGTTTGGCAACAGCTGCTTGATGTTTGCGAGTTTCCTCATCCTGTCTGATTTGCTCCTCGCCTGCTTCCTGTGCTCTTCTCTCTACTTCTTTTCGCTCCTTCTCACAAGCTCTACAACTCTTCGGTTCGTGTTCGTGGCAGCGCCAGGTAGACTTGTGACCTTTGTGGCACTGTTTTTGCTCTAGGGCGAGGCACTTCATTTTCGAGTGATCGACGATTTGATGACAGCTGCTGGGACATTTGTGTTTTCCGCAAGACAGAAGAATACCACTGCAAAGATATGAGCGGTAGCCACGTAAGTGGGGGATGTATCATAAACTTACCAAGGTTCAATGCACCCACCATCTGGACATTGTAGCTCAAAATCTTCGGGAAAAGAAAGTGTAGCTTTTCGATCGGGATGTTTCTCACACTTGATAGGGAAACCATTGTAAATGTGCCCATTTTCTTCTAGTAACTGGAATGCCTTTCGCCACTGCTCCTTTCCTTTCTTAGCGTGCATGAAGGTCTCGGCGTTTCCAACCATAATAAGGGCGTCACGTGCTCTGGAAAGAAGGACGTTCCGGTTCATGCATACAGCCTATGTCCCCTATTTTGTTGCTCCTGGTAAGTGATACAAGCACGATATCACTTTCTTCGCCTTGATAGTTGTCTGTATACACCAACTCTGTCAGTATATGGCCAACACGATAGTGCTTCTAGGTTCGAGACTATCAAGCTTGTCATGAAGGAGACACCATCTCAAGGGTTGGAAGAAACTCAGCATACCTATTGTCGACAATCGAAGTTGAGGCTTCGAGTTCCTCGAGTTCGTATCTCCCAATAAGCCAGCTTTGACCAAATCAAATTTGTCGAGGTCGTTGAGGATTGGGTCATTGTCTCCAGCAAGTTTATCTCGGAGCAGTCTTAATTGTCCAAGGTAAAGCGTCAGTACTACCATTTTTTTCGATCCGTATCCTTGCTGTGCCAAATATCGGACACATTTAAGTATCATCTGTGCCTCGAATTCGTTCTGTTTCGAAGGGGTCCCGCCATCTCTGAGCTCTTTAGATTTCTTCACCTCAACCTCCAGACTGGCATGGTTCACGAACATGACATTGTCAGTGAAACCTCGAAAATCTGGACGGCTCTGCGTCGTTGTCGCATCTCTCAGATCGGGATATGTCAATTCCCGAACCATGCAAGATATTTCTTGTCTCATTCGATGTTGGTGAGTAAGAGTTACATGAGGAAATCCACGAAGTATAAGCCTTTCGAAAAGCGATCGATTCAAGTCGAAGCCATCTCCCTGCACCACACTCAAAGGGTAAGAACATTTAGGTCGAAGTAGCTTATGATCTCCGATCAGGATCAATTGCTGCGTTCGTGGGCCAAGTGATGTCAGAATGTGCGACTCTAGGATCTCGCCAGCTTCTTCGACGAGGACTAGAAAATGTGAGTAGTCATCTTCCAAGATGTACGGACCACTTGCTGAGACAAGTGAGAAGAGTAACTTACTGATGCCTGGAGATGCTGCTTGAATGGCTGAGAAATGAGAGGCAGCTCCGTTTGTGGTACAACCTATGATGCGTTTCCTCTTGATGACATCTGCATCTCTTTCGGCAAGAATGCGACTCAGCTCTGCTTGGTCTGAATTAAATGCTCGACCACTTTCGTAGATGGAATGGATTATATCGCTGAGAATTGCCTGGCGCCATCTCTTCATGCAAAAATCTCGAGTTGTGGATATCATAGCCCATATTGGCAAGCTCCCCTCAACTTGTACTTTGTTTTTGAAGATACCTTCATCCGTTTGATTCCTGATCCATCGATCGAGCAGATAGAAACTATCCACCTTTTTACCACGTTTGCCAACACGTGTCATGTTGTCTTCGCTTTCGTCTGGTACAGCGAAAGCCTCAAAGAAGGGGAGGTCTTCCGACGCAAATTCGAGATATTCCATGATCTGTTTCTTGGTGATGTTCGCAGATTCATAGGTTTTGAATGCCTCTCGCAATCGCTTCTCGTGTTGAGCTAGTCTGAGCTTCAATCGGTCGGTCTCTGCCCATTGGGTAGGAGTTAGCTTGCCAGGTGGCTGGAATCTGAGCCTCAGTGGGTTGGTTCGGTGTGTGCCTTTTGATCCCAGTCGAACGATGTCTGTGTCCGGGATCCCTACTTTCATGAGGTCCTCGAGAAACTGGTCCAATGCATGGTTGGTAAAGCACATGACCAGACTGACAGCATCGGTGGCATCGAAGAGAACTTTGCCAGCTAGAGCGCCCAGGAAAGTTTTGCCGGTTCCTGGTCATGTTAGCACCAGTCCTAGACACACTCTTGTGGAGATTACCTGGAGGCCCCTGAACTAGACTGACACGCTGGGAGAGACAAGAACAAAGAGACGCTACCTGTGACTCATCTAGGATCACCTTTTTGGCAATTCCCAGGAGTCGTCCCACATCCTTGCCAGCTGAGGCTTCCAGACCCTTCAAGATTCTTGATGGTTTGAGTGGAGAAGTCGCAATTGCATCTCCAGATTGCCAAGTGACGACTTCTTCCTCGAGGGGCAGATCGGCTATTGCCTGCAGTCGTCGAAGGAATGGTTCAAAGGCAAATATTGCCGAGTCCAGTTGAATAAGTTTGATATTGGATGCGCCTATGGCCTTGAAAAGAGTAGAAGAAAGTGTCGAGTCATCCGTGAACTGTACGACGATTGATGACGGTTGTTTCACCAGCTGATGGACATCGCGCGAGATCGTAGGAAAGGCGGCTATTTCATCGTCAATCATGATACAGCACATATTCCCGTGGCGAAGGATGTGTTGATCATTCTTTAGGTAATCAGTCATTTTACCTGGAGCCAGTTTCCGTAACTGTGGCAATAGCTCGTCCCATTCGAGCCGCAGACCCCATGGCTGGATGAATTTTTCTCCAGTATTCGCCTGTATACCACGTACCCTGAGTTTGTCGATTACCATTCCTTTATGGTGACCATGCTTGAGCCCACCTAGTATCTTCAACTCATCTTGTATCACTCCAACCATGTCTTCTCGCAGAAGTCTAAACTGATTGTCTACGTGCATGGTGCTGCGAGACAAAATGTTTTCTGGATCTTCGAGGAATTCTGCTGTGCGAAAAAAAGCACGCTCTTGCGACAAGAGTTCGTCTGCCGTTGGCATGATGGAGATCTTTCTGTAATCAACATGGTCGTTGTCGTGCCTGCCTCCTGGCTGAGCGTCAGCGCCAACTAGATTCTTAGTAGGATCTTGTGGTAGCGTATGCTTGATTTTGTGACCGATGTTTCGTACGTTGCCGTCTGAGCAAGTCAATATCATGTCTAGGACGTCTGGCATTCTGGCGAGCTGCGGAGGAAGTGAAGCCCAATCTCCAGGAAGAGATATTAGCTGGAAAAGTAACCAGGCGTAGGATTTGAATGCATCAATGTCCAAAGCCCCTTCTCGGAAGGCTTTCGTGTATGCATCCCAGAAAAATGGAGGCTCAACAACATTACACAGCACCTTTGACAAAACAGAGCCTGAGCCAATCGTTCTTAGGGACTCCTCCTGGAGATATTGAAGGAGCATTGATCCATGGCTGTTAAGGAACGAGACAGAATTGTCAAATCGAAGGGATACTTGAATGGCATTGAGACCAGAGCCACCGGATAGAATTTCAGATACACATGCTGCGGGATCAGGCTGGAGGCAAAGAGCTTCGATAAAAAGTCGGCCATGGTGGGCTGTGGTGACTGTCTTTCGGCCATAGATGACATCGTTGAAGAATTTAGATAGACGAGAAGTACGCAGCTCGTCTGTACCTGGAGTTGGCATGGTTTGTGACCTCAGCCATGGCGAATCGGAGAGTACAGGAATCAAGTGGATGTTTCAGAATCTGGCTGCTAGCTTCAGATAAGCAAATATGCAACTCAGGATGAATGACGGAAGCAAAGATGGGTATTTTCCAAGAAGACTCGGGGAAATCTTACCCATATATCTATAAATCGTTGAAAGATCTCGAACATAGCAGCCGGCAGTCTTTATGAACAAGAAGAATCTAGAACCTGATCGTCTCATAAGATAGAGAGTCTATCGAGACAGAGGCTTTTGATAATATCATGTAGAGGAGTTTGGAGAAGCTGCTGGAAATATGATCCGTTTGCTGGCTCTCAGCCTCAGGCGCACTTTGACTTCAGCAGACGTCGTGGTCCCGAAAGACTCACTGACCCCCGGATCGTGGCTACCTGCATCGTATAAAACGATAGCCTTGGTCGAGGACGGAGAGGTGCAGAGGTGCAGGTCGTTATTGGGTTGTATGTCACTGGATCCCGCATGCAAGATGACAAAAGAAGAACGACCAAGGCATTTGAGCCCCCAATAAGATAAGAGAGACCGCATGCTCGTTGGAATGCCTGCCCAGACTCATGATATGGTATGCTGAGTTTACTTGACTTGCACTAAGTTGAGTGAAATTAAGATGGCTTCACAGGACTTTCTTCGTGGCAATAGCGGGGGTCACTGGCGCCAGAACAAGAGGAGTATGGCGCGGTTGTTCACACGCGTCGCGCAACTCTACGCCTCGGTCGCAACCACGAGCCAACGAACCTTTCGGACCTCAAGTTGATACTTTCAGCGTCCAAGCTCTGCTCGTTGAAGAAGAGAGCCCAGAGATTGAAGATGTCAGATACGTGGGATCTTATAACTGGTTGGATGATAAAGCTCCTGTTATCCTAGTGCCAGGTATGTCTATTTCACATCCCGTCAACGCATATCATCACTGTCTAGCCATGCTATGCTTTGCATCTTCTCGAGTTACAATTTATACTAACTACAAATGGACCAGGCTCACCACCAGCATGGACACCACTCGCAGAAGATGTCAAACTTGACCGCGACAGCGTACCGGTATACAGAGACATCAACGCTGCACGATATCCCAAATGCCCCATGGAACCTGCGGTCCGCTCGGTGTTAGAAATGCAATCACACTCCGAGCTGCCATCTGTTGATGTATTTGGTTGCGGAAATACTTTGGGAAGCCTGCTGCGATGTGCTCGCTCTCAAGCAACGCCCTTTCGATTCGACGTTGTGTTCATGGTTCGCAGAGGGGATAGTCCGACTGAAAAGATCACAGATCTTCAAGGATATGGTCAAAATTTTCCAGCGGCTTATACGACTTGGGATGCGGACGTACGAGGCTCCTGCTCTCACCAGCGAGTAATAAGCTATACCCTGGGCGGCATGCGATTTTTCGTTCGCTCTGAGACAGACGGGTACGTCAGGACATCATCCCAAACGCTTACCCTGTCGACCTCGACTGCCTCTTCCTTGGAAGCTCCCAGTGTAGTATCCACCGAAGATGTTCTTGGCAGCATGAGCGTAGATACTCGTCAATTGCAAGAAGGGTCGTTATTAGAGGTTCGCCAGCAAGGTATTCCCATTGCACAAGAGCACATATTCGATATCAAGACAAAAAGTCGTTGGTATAAAGAATATGGCATGGAAGGTATCCTTCCGCGGTTTTGGGTCAACCAGACTCCAAACTTTCTGTTGGCATACCACCAGGCTGGGCTCTTCTCCGAGCCGGAAGTGGCTCCGATTCTGGACGATGTCAAGCTCTGGGAAAAGAAGAACTCTAGCCACCTGGCCCGTTACCACGCTCTCGTCAAGCGCATTGTAGACGTTGTCAGAGACTCGGATGGTCAGCAGTTTGAGATCAGTTGGGAAGGACAAGGCCCTCTACTGATCACCAAGCAAATTGCGGCGGGAAGATTGGCACTTCCGACAGACCTATTAACACTGTGGGCGGCATTGTGATTAGGACCTTACGTTCTTCTCTCCAATCCATTTACCAATCGCATTTGTACCAGATATTGCAATTTCTTGGTTTTGATCTCGATTCCATTTATAGAAATCGTCCCAAGTGCACGATCTTCTGATGGAGCATGCCGAGAAAGTATCTCGGCTGATATTCGAAAGAGCGGTTTCTAGCCCGAGACACCCCGCATTATCCAATAGAATTTCCCCGGATTCTCGTTCGACCGTGGCGAGCTTGGCAGTCTAGGCGAGCGACACATTTACTTATTCAGCCTCAATTACTTCATCTAAAGTACACAACAAGAATGCTATTTTTATACCTATATAGATGAATCAATTCTGCAATTGAAAAACTTTAATATCGGTCGAACCCGAGGTACAATTAGGCCGACGACGTCAGACGCATGCTACAACATGCCTGCATAGCTCCTGACTTTCTTGCCGTTTTGGGGTTTGGTAGGTTGAACCCTTGTTGATCAGTTCCTTCTTCAGTCTGTCAAGATAAGCTTAATTCATAATTGTTAGAAAGCAAAAACTCTTGGCCTCCTTATTCCTGTGCACATATCTTGTCCAGAGTCCAGAGGTAATCTTTACCATCGTACTGAGAGTCAGCTCTCAGGTTCTGGTATGCATATTTGTTCATCTACGAATCCACGAACAGCATCCAACCGTCTCGTGAGGGGCGATCTATAAATACCTCGAGAGAATAGAGAAGCCAATATCTAGATCGATGCTACACGCCACGTTCGGGGACCCTTGGTTAAAAACAAGCTTTCTTGACGGCAAGGAGATCCGATCTTGTGACTGGTGACCATGAAGCTCTTTACTTCTCAAGTTCTCGACCCGTACCAGGCAACGCCACAGGCATTTCAGCTAGGTCTAGTCACCTCCTTCTGTGATCTTTAGGCTGGTGCTGCACATCATTGGGCAAGTGCCTATATTGATGCGGGGCAGACACTCAGCTCATTTTGAACGCCATGAAAATATCACCTCACATCGCAACACATGCTCAATCTCCAGACGGTATATAGTCAAGGGTGGGACCCTTAAAGATGGCTTGCTATTACACACCAAAGCACATCTACACATTCTCAAGCATCCAGAACAAGAATTATAATCTCCACCTTCACAATCAATATGTTCTCAGCCCTCTTGACTCTTGCTCTGGCTGTTGCAGCACTTGCAGCACCAGCACCTACCTCTCCTGCGCCACCTGCAGGCCAAGTTTCTATCAAAAGCATCACGTATGGAGGCACTGGATGTCCCCAAGGCTCAGTCGGCTCCTTCATCTCAGATGATAAGCAGACGTACGTATCCCGCCCTGCTCAGCTAAGACTCTTCACTAATCATGGTCTTGCAGCTTCACCCTCATCTTCGACAACTACGTCGCCTCAATCGGCCCTGGAGTGGCCGTCACCGAGAACCGCAAGAACTGCCAAATTAATCTCGACCTCTCCTACCCGTCCGGCTTCCAATACAGCGTCTTCAACACCGTATATCGTGGATATGTCGGCATTGACGCTGGTGTAACTGCTCGCCAACAATCCACATTCTACTTCTCTGGCCGTGAGTCCTTCCCCTCCCCCGTAATCTTCGCCACATCCTTGACTAACCCAACACCCCAGAATCCGCACAATGCAGCACAGGCACCAACTTCAGCGGCCCCAAATCCGGCGACTACTCCGTAACCGATTCCCTTCCCCTCACATCCGTAGTCTGGTCCCCGTGCGGCGCTTCCACGGCCTTGAACATCAACTCTCAGGTTAGACTTGCTAGTACGAGCACCTCTGGCACTGGACAAATCACGGATGATTCTGTGGATGGGAAGATCACGTTCGTTGTTGGTGTGCAGTGGCAGACGTGCTAGTCTGGCGTGCAATAGGGGGCGGAAGGGGGTTTTACTTCGTGGCTGAGATTTGATTCGAGGCTCCTCTTTTAGGGATTAGGTTGATGGACGAGGTGGGCTCTTGTGCATAGTTGATTGTGTTTGCATATTGCATAGTTATGAAAAAGCTTCGCTTGGCGAATTCGCCCATCTTTTTCTTGTTGTTGGCTCGTTGTTGATGTTCCTGAATATGTGGAGAACTCAGCTCTGTAGTTGAAGCCTTCTGGGTTAATTCGATGACTTGCTCTCGCATCATTCCCTCGGCGTCGCCGTTCCCCTCCTTGACTATGGTCGTTGACACTTCAAGATTGTCGGGTATGTTGACTTCATTTCCTTCTAACTTGGATGGCCGATCAAACGTTTCAAGGTGTATTTCTTTCTTGCCCTACAGCATGCCGTCTTTACCCACGCTCGAGTAGCAAGCTACTATTAGGCTAGCTGTTCAAAGTCTACCAAAGCAAACCTGTTGTTGACAAATGACGATGTGCGTTGGAAAGGAAACTCGCTATCGAGCACCACCAAATGATTGCCAAATAGATTGCTAATTGAAGGCGAGAAGGTGTTGCGAGTGTTCGGGCTTGAAATGTTTAGCTCTTGCTGGACTCGGGAAGACATTGTTGCACTGGTGTTTCAAGTGATAGGATATAGAGGCCGACATCTGTTCTTTCTTGTCGTCCTTCTTCTGTATCTATTGTTCTAAGAATGAAGAGTACTGTCTTGATATTACCTGTCCTGAGTGCCTCCGTCACATTTTGTCAAAACCTCTTGCGCGACCAAGAGAAGTACATTTATAGGATCCTGGGTGACACGGTCAACAAGGGCCAACTAGCGGGATTACGTCCCTTGCGTCGTCAGTATACCAAATGAGAAAACGTTCACCCAGTCTTCTCACACAGCTAGCATATGCGGCACTATAACGGTCAGGACAAGCCGACGCTGCGGGCGTAGTTCTACACTGGGGAAATATCGAGTGACACGACTTGTTTACTTCGACAATGTGATGTTTATTCTTCAGCTTACAGCGAACTGGGTTCGGCGGGACACCAATTAAGCCGGAACTTTGATAGGACAAGAACTAAAAATACCATTGAGTATAAAGTTTGAGAGAAAGAAGAGTCCCGCCTGGCGATGACTTCGTCAAGCCCTACAAATCAGGCAGCCAATAAAGCATATGAAAATTCGACTTTCTTCAATGCGACTATTTTGGCATCAGATACTGCATAAACTCAGCAGATTGTTATTAGCCTTTGCTTGCGTGTTCCACGTTAATTCTTAGAGACGCTACCAACTCCAAGTGATCTGCGCTTGACCGTCGCGCCACTGACCCCGTTCTAATCATGAAGTGTTATATAATTTACGATAGAGAAAGGCGATAAACGCTGAAGTAAGTGGTGCAAGCGTTACCAGGACACGTGCCCAAACTTATTAGAAGGTGAGAAGTAAGCCGATCGCATTTCTATTTGCTGAATACCTATTCCACACACGAAGGGGGGGAAATAGTAACTCTGATTCGTCTAGCTGAGACTCTAACCGCTATCTTCGAGTGTAGCAATAATTTTTGCGGCCATACTGATTTTGTTCACGATCAAAATATCCACCCCTGCTTCAGCTTGTATCTGGATTTATACACAAAAATCAGCAACGAGGTCGTTGCGACTGTCTCTGAAATTCGCAGAGTCGTCAACATACCTTTACGCCCTCTGGTTCATCATTCATAGCCCCATAGCTTGCACACACCAGCCCCCTCTGTTTGACGAATCCCACTAGCTTTGGCGCAAAAATCAGAGGTTGGCTAGCAAGCGCCAAACCATCGATATTCCAAGCTTTTGCAAAATGAATACCTTCTTGAAGATTCTTAGCACGGATATCGCTCGGTTGCCAATTGCCGGAATCGTTGCCGAAGACTATGGGCCAGCGAGCTTGCTTGAGAGAGAGGAGGATGCAGATTTCGGGACTGAAGCAGCAGAGGAAGATAGAGCGTGTTGAGATGTGCTTTGCAAGGCAGAGTAGAATGGAATCAACGAAGAAGTTAGCTTCGATGAAGTAAGGGTCCATTTTCCAATCATCTTCCGCTTCGGAGAGCATGGGATATTCTGTGTAGGCTATGTTAGATAACAGATGCGCAGAATTAATATAATAGAGAGTAGAGAATTAGAGAAAGGACACTTGCTGATTTCGATATCCATTGCTATAGTATCTGGAAGGGTGGTCAAGAGTTCTTCGAGTGTTATAAATGCTTCGTGAATGAAGGCACCCCTGGTGTTAGCTTGGTACCCTCTGGTACTAAAGTCAAAAGTGTGTTTAACTCTGGCCATAAATGCCTCGGTCAGGGCGTTGTCGCAAGCATTCAGAGAGCGAGTGCGTGTTTTTCTTCTCATAGGTGTTTTGAAGCATTCTGTCTCCACTATCGCAGGGGGCGCGTTCAAGGATTGATCGGACTGCTCGACACTGATGCGCATAAACTAAAGCCGTCAGGGCATCCTGCGAAAAGTAGGCATGGAGATAAAAGGTCAAACTTGCCTGTTCGTAGGTAAGAGTATGCATTGGAGAATCTACCCCCGTTTCGCATACCAAGAAGTCATGGTAGATTACAGGCATGTGATCTTTTGTCAATTGCACTCTGTTAGCGAAGTCCCCCTTGATGCTCCACACCCACAACCTTACCAAGCTATAATGTCTCGTTAGTGGGGCTATCGCTGTTCAGGTGCTGCAACTTACCTCAACGTAGGAAGTCCCCAATTGCACTGCTGACAAGAATGACTGGGTTGTCATTAGTTTCTTAGTTCACGACATAGAAAGTCGTCCGTGCTGACCTGTATTGTGTTTTCCCCCACCTGTAGGTTTTTTGCCGCTAACATATTTTGGCCCTGTCCTCGAGACTCATTAGCTATTTGAAGATATACATTTTTAGAGGTAGGCTACCGCGATGTCCAACGACTTTAGTGGGGCAGTTCTCGGACCATAAGTCACTTATGGAAATCGGCGGCGTGTCTGGTAGAGCAAGCGGATGTGATACGATGAAGCTGAAAGTCACTGCCCCGAGATATTCCGATGTGGTATTTGATACGATGGGAATGGTAAAATGCCGATGGAGACTTTCTCTTTTCATGCCAAAAGCTTGCTTGAGACTTGCGAGGAGAGCCATACCACAACCGATGACTTCACGGCCATTGTTGGCATCTGGATTGGTGCGGAAGAGTTCGAATGCTAACTTGGCGTTGCTGGGGTCTTGGGTGGAGAAGATCCAAGGAATGTTTGTTGTATCTTCTAACAGGGGCAGGCGGACAATATAGCTTGGTTCTTCTGTATCGAGGACTGAGAATCCGAGAGAAAACATAGACTCAGGATACAACATAGAAGAACTCTGAGCTAGATGCGGCGTTAGTTAGAGTATAGGCGTGGTATTATATAGGTTCAAAGAGCCTATATTTAGCACAATGTGACTCTGGGTTGTGGAAATCGTACGACGAGGTTGTCCTCCAGCTGGGAACTTCCGTTTCGCAAGAGCCTGAACTGGGAACATGATGTTTGCCGCATATGAATGAGGAGAGTTGCTTTCTGCCAGCCAAAGACTCTTCACAAGTAGAATAGGTCCCCTGTAGCTGGCGTGGTCGATTGCCATCCAGTCAGAGGAATCACTATGTCTCAAATTCGCTCCTGACATGATAAGAAGCTCTGCTACATTCGAAAAACCCTCCGTACATGCGATGATGAGCGGTGTCCAATTTTTGTTTCTCTCGCAGCTGTCGACAAGGGCATTGTGGTCGAGCAGAAGCTTAGCTAACCGTTCGTTGCCAAATCGGGCGGCAATATACAGCGGTGTCTCCCCTAACTCATCACGACAGTCAACGTCAACGGATGTATTCAAGAGGAGCTGGACTGCCTCTGCCAAGTTCAACCTGACAGCCACTATCAAGACCTTGGCTAAGATTGCGTTGAAGGTTTGTGCGTGCGTGGTGTCTTGTGTCTCATATAGACTTCTGTGCGAATCAACTAGGACTTTCGTAACATCAACATTGCCTGTGACCACTGCGAGGTGCAACGGTGTGTTTGATTCATCATCTGCAAGTAAGATTGTTGACAGGGCTTCTGGCCCGGGGCATGATGTCAAGATCATCCTGCAGACTTCCGCCAAGCCATATTCGCAGGCGTAGTGAAGAGGCAGTCGTCCAAAGGAATCTTTCTGGCTTAGAAAGTGGCGATTTTTGGCTGGCAGGCGGTGGACGAAGAAACTGAAGATAGAGACGGACTTCGCATAATCAAAGTCGCACTGAGACTGCTGACCTTTCCTTGTGTGGCCACGTCCAAGCTCGACAACTAAGTTGTGAAGACAGTGCTGGACGACTTCGGTTGTATCCCAATGACTTGATCGCAATAACAGGAGGTCAATACATGACTCAGAGAAGCATCGAATTGAGCACTGAAGCATGATCAGAAGGAAGGCACTGGGTGAGAAAGCTGGGTCTGATTCGCAGGCACTGTCAATCAGAGCACCAAAATCCAGAGCATTGTCATGTTCAATTGCGTGGAAGATTATATGTGGCGAGATGGAAGGACAAAGCCTCATCGATCGAGTGCAGAACATGTCTTCAATTGACAACACGCTACCTGATTGTTGAAATAACACGACGGCGCCAATAATGCCATTCAGCCTCTCTAAGTCCTTTACACATCGCGACTGGGTTGTAAACTCGAGTCTGCATAAGTATGCCTTGGCATCAAACGCAAGCTGTGTGCCCTCGGCGCCGCGAATGCCTATCTTTCGGATGATTTTTAGGAAGGCATCGGTGTTGACTCGTCCGAACCATCGTACCTTGTCGAGGTCGGATGATAGCTCCACAATGGTCAATTTGTAGTGCTGCAGTTCAAATTGATCAAACTCTTCCAGAGCAGACTCTCCTGCGAGTTCCAGCTTCGCCCCATGATACCTGGAATTTGACTTATGATGGAGGGTGGAGTATTTGCTGTTATAGAAGCTATCAACCGCGTCGATTGCGCATGTTAGAAGTGGCATAATTTCTACAATCGCGATCAGAGTCATGGCATGACACCGAATGGAAGATAGCCTTTGACACATCTCTTACCTTGCAGATCATCACATGTTTTGCACAGCCTTTTGAAAGCGCCATAATTCATATACTCGTCTTGTCGAGGGGCTCTTGAAGACAAGACCGCTCAAACCGGTTGCGAACCTACATAAGAATCGATCTGCAGAGTCTTACAGCACGCGACCACCGCTTCGATCCCTCTCCGACAGGACAGGAACACCTCCGAAACGAGACGTGCTGACCAAGCTCTCCTACAATCACGATTGAATCGCACAATCCTTGTCCTTGCAGGAGAACATGGAGCAGATCAAATCACACACGACGCAACTTCTTAACGATCAGGATGCACGACTTGCACCCTATGTCCGCGCTCCTCCGAAGAGCAGACGACCTGCTCGAAATAATACATCCGGTGTGCTGCAGAAGAAGAAGACTGGCCTGCGCACTGAAGGAGTCGCAGTTCGAGTGGCCCAGTATGCTTCGGTTTGCGCATCCAGCTGTTCTTGTGCCTGTCACACACAAGCAAGAGCGGCTACCCTACCTTGTTCAACCGCATGCTGGGCCAACTGTTTGTTGCATATACTGGAGTGCCATATCTCAGCCAGAAGTGCGACTCGGAGGCGTGTAAACGATCGCAGGCCCCACGTATCTACGTTGAATACTGGTTCCCTCTCGGGTTCTGCTGGTCCCAGATACTTCAACTTCAGGTTGGATTTCAATCAAATCTAGGACTGCAATTCAGTCTGAAATCTCTTCGAAGAGTTCCTGATTCGGCGCAATGCGTCCATTACACTATGGATGGTAATATCGAGGGGTTGAAAGACCTTTTCAAGCGGGGTCTAGCTTCTCCACTGGACGTCAGTAGCACTCGTGGTTACACGTTACTCCGAGAAGTGATTTCAGATTTCTCAAGCACAAAATTCTCTCGGAACTGATGGTTTCCAGTGGGCAGTATATGCAAAGCAATACGAGACTGTTAGATTTTTAGCTATTGCAGGTTCCGATCCCGATTATAGGTGATTTCACTCCTCTCGATCAAACATGATGAACAATTTTGATCTAAGACACAGGCCGATAGCCCAGACAGACAACAGCGCTCGCAACAAGGCCTTTGATGCCCTCCTTCAAGGGGCTCTCGACAAAGAATCCGAAGAAAACGTCCGGTGCCTGACAGCCTCAAGCGACTGGGTCGAGGATCAAAACTTCAGCAAGCTGCACAAGATTACTTGCGGAATTCTGCCGCTGGATTTAGAAAAGGAAATCTTGGATGATGTGGCACAGGTTGACATGACCGATGCAATGGGTCGCACCCCGTTGTTATGGGCTGCAGCACGAGGAGATCACACGTCGGTCAAGATTCTTCTTAGTCACAACGCCGATCCCAACATCGTGGACACGTACCTCGCACCTCCAGTGTCGTACGCGGCTGATAGGGGTCACACCCTATGTGTGCGGCTGTTGCTCGAGGCCGGTGCCCTGGCAGAGCCAAAGCTGCCACCTGGAGTGAAATTAGGTAGCCCGCTGAACTGCGCTGCTCGGAACGCTAGGGACCCTGTACTACTCAAGTATTTATTGACCTATGGCGCCGACGTTGATTCGACAGGAGTGGATGGCAATACTGCTCTCATCCATGCTGCTCGTCTTGATAATGTCAGCTTCGCTATCTTACTTCTGGACAATAATGCCAATGTCAATGCAATCTCGATCACCGCTGCTACCCCTCTGACGACTGCAATAACTTATAACAGCCATCGAGTCCTCCAGCTTCTCTTAGATCGATGGGACGAGTACACCGAGTGCCCACGTCTCAAAGGTCCTCACTTGCTCCAGATCACCGCACTATATGCCGACCTGGAGACAGTGAAGATACTCACAGCTACCGATCACGTTAAATTGAATTATGACGACAATTTTACTCTGGGGGACTTTGCGAAACGGTCGGCCAATCGCTTGGATGTGACAGATGAGCTGATCGAGGCATTCGACGACTTGCTTCTTGTTTGCAAGCAGAAGCCACCGGGGAAGCAAAGCACAGAGAACCTAATGGAGGCGGGACTTCTTTCGCGTCCTCCTTCAAAGCTAGCCGTTTTATACGAGACCGAAAAGGAGGCGGCGGACGTTTATGGGCTAGAGAACCCTGTCCCCCGTCTATACAGTGATGATTCGGATGAAGAACTTGTGTATGAAGATGCTGTGGAGGGTTCGGATGGGTTGGATTTGAATGCCCAAGATCTTGATGAGGCAGCAGCATGCTGCCCTCTGGGTTTCACGTAGGAAAGCGACAGGGAGGAAATACTGATGGCCTTTGTGCTTATTGAATGCATGGCTCATGACTCATGACTTTTGGTTTTTAGCAAGGTGTTACGGATCACGTGTGACCAGGAGGAGCTTAGTACTTAGGGAGTATGATGAAGCCCTGGGAGCCTAGGAGGATCTCTTATACTCTCTGACCATTAGTAGAGTCTCACTTTGGTAGTAAGCGTGTTAGAGCATAAGATTCTCGGTTCCGCGCGGTATTTTCGTAAAGGTGGGCAGAAGAGCCAGAATTGATTCCTTTTTCAACGTTATCACGATTTTGATATGTTGAAAGAGACAGTTTTATTCTGGACAACAAGTAATAGTAATATCTAAAAAGTAGATAATATAGAAACTACAACCGATTCTCGAAGGAGCCAGAAAAGGATTTTTTGAACATAATCCAGCTGATTTATTAGCGTGCTTAAGACTCAGGACTCAGCTCAAGTTAGAGTAGTGATTGCTTAGCTCCAAATATTGATGGAAATGGACTTTGGTCAAGTCAAGATTCTGCGCAAAGTATAATCGATATTTGCTAGCAAAAACAACTCAACTGAATCGCCCAGCAATTCGATTAGATATAGTTCTGGTAAAAACAAACAGCGCTAGCTACTATTTTCTTGAGAGAGTCTAAGTCAAAACAGTTCTTAAGCACATCTGTCACTCCTATCTATAATAGCCAGCCAATGTTATCTGGCTGGAATTGAACGATAATTTGATTGAATATAGCTCCGAACAACGCTAATCACTCTTGTTTTAAGACCAAATCACTAAAATAAAAGAGTTATTTAGCAAGTCTATTCCTCTTATAAATAATAGTCAACAAGGATTGTCTGGCTAGAATCGAACGACAATTCAATTGAATAAAGCTCCGAACAACGCTAACCGCTATTGTCTTGAAAGCGAATCACTGAGTCAAAAGAATTCTTTAGCGTCATGTCCGTCTTTCTTATCGATAATATCCAGCGAAGATTCTCCGGCTGGAATCGTACGACAATTCAGTTGAATATAGTTCTCGAGATTTTCTTTCTATATCTGCAACCAACTTCCAACAACACCTCCACCCAATACAACTCTTCGCAACACCAGACTTCCTGAAAATCATAGACCTTCAGTCAAGAACGTACTCTTTGTCAAGCACCGCTCTTCTATCAAGCAAGGCCCTTCTATCAAGCAAGGCCCTTCTATCAAGTCCTCGGTCTTTCTCCAAGCACCACTATCCCTAGCAGGTAACGCTCTCCTACCAAGGACTCGGTCTCTCTTCCAAACGCCACTTCCCTCTACCAAGTCAGCCCTCTCTATCAAGATGTCTTCTGTCTACGTTGCGAAGTACAGAAAGCCCCACAATGTGGTGAGTGACAGCTTTCGCGACTGGCGCAACTTCAACTAATGCGCTATAGATCTTCAACCAAATGGTCTATAAGCAGACTGCTATCCACCCTGTTCGTACCCTCTTGTCTAGATCTTTCTCTCCACACTTATCGGCTATGGAATGCTGGACAGTTCTTCAATTGTTGAAAGGCGGGGTTATAGCTTGCTAACACTTCAACAGCAAGTCCTCATGATCGACGGAAAAGAATATACAACCACAATGGTTGAAGGAGACGTACAAGGTCTTACCGAGGCTGGTATCGAAGCTGGAAAGAGCTACAAGTACATCGTATTCAACTACGACGTTTACGAGAAGACCAAGATTGACCCGGTGTGTATATCTCTGCTTTAGTCGGACCATTGGGCTCATACTGATACTATTAATAGGCCATCACACCAGATCTCCTCAAAGTCGTTGCTATCTGGGAACATGGCGATTATGGTCCCAAGACCAGAGTATATCAACAACCACCCCAACAACCTCCTCCCGCAATGGCCCAGTCGGGCGCTCAGGGACCGTCCGATCATCTTCCCCCGGCACCTTACGGACAATTCCTCTTTGCCAATGCCCCTCCTTCTACGTACCGCAGCCCGTATAATCCTTCTCCGCCTCCGCGTCCAGAATCCGAAGAATAATTTCGCCATATTGGTGACTTTTGGCTGGTAGAAGTCCGTTTCCTGAGACGGGCTATGAAGAGGGCATATTGTACAATACCAGAAACATTGCAGACTTTCAAGAAAATAGTTGATAGCAATACAAGCATTCTCCCTTTTTTCAGAGAATCAATATGAAACTTGTGCATTCAAACGTGATATTTTATTTTCTAGCCTTCCATACTTTCATAGCTATGCATTGTATATATAAAAAGCCAGTGCATTCCGACGTGGAATTAAACATCTTCATTTCAGACTTTTCAGATCCGTATGTTGGGATATATTCTCGAGATGGACCAAAAAAACCCGGACGAAAGTTTAAGCGAATGGCCAAGGCCCCCCTAACTTTTAGCGAGGGGGGCCGGTTATGCGGTGAGGGTAATTAGTGGCGGGTATCACCATGATTTCTAATCGCTTTTGCGGACTTCGGAATACAATTGATTCCATAACATGTGATGAATCATTTATCACAAATAATATTTTTTGGTACACACAGTCATTAAGATAAAGCAAAGTACATCAGACCCTAATTCCCAACAGTTCAAAAACCATTCTCCACTCCGACGCAAGATGGCAACTACCACATACCCCAGAAAACCAATCCTCATCTCAGGCGCCGGTCTCGCGTCTCTTTTACTCGCACAATCCCTCCTCGGCGCCCAAATCCCCTTCCTAATCTTCGAAAAAGACGCATCCCTCTCCTTCCGCGCCCAAGGCTACCGTCTCCGCCTCTCCGCCGAAGGCCTCGACGCGATCGAATCCGTGCTCGGCCCCAAAGATTTCCAGACCTTCTGGGACCGATGCGGGAAAACCGGCGGCGGAGGAGCTACTGCCATAGATGCCAGGACTGGGCTGAAGAAAGAATTTCCGCAGCCGCCTGCTGATGAGAAGCCGACGAATCGGGTGGAGAATTTGTCTTCGAGGGAGGGGAAGATTGTGGGGATTTCGAGGGGCGATATGAGGGCTTTGTTTATGAAGGGGTGTGAGGCGTTTGTGTATTTTTCGCACCAGGTCACGGGGTACGAACTTACGGATTCTGGAGTTAGAGCGGTGTTTGCGGATGGGTCGAAGTCAGTCGAGGGGGAGATGTTGGTTGGTGGCGAGGGCATTTATTCTAAAGTCGCAAAACAGGTTTCTGGAGGGAAACTGAAAGTCTATGATACGGGAGCGAGAGGGATTCATGGACAGGCGCCCAGTACGGCATTCAAGGGGCTGGGCGAGGGGGTTTGGGTTATGAGGGATGAGAGCAATCCGAAGGGTAAGATGTTTGTGATTACGAATGTGAGGCCGGGGGAGATGGATGATCCGGATGTGCAGTTTGGGTGGACATTGGGGTCTCAGCCAGGCGTGATTCAAGTACCGAATGATGATTATTCTTTGGTTGGGAAGCCGGCAGCGGATATTGCGAAGGCATTGACGGCGGAGTGGGATCCGAAGCTTAGGCCTCTGTTTACGGAGATGACGGAGTATGAAGCTGCGTTTTGGAAGATCACTTGCTCAACTCCGAGTGGGGTTCCGGAATGGAAGAATGAACCGCGTGTTACTGTTATTGGAGATGCGGTGCACTCGATGACTCCTGCGGGGGGCATTGGAGCGAATACGGCTATGAGGGATTCGGCGTTGCTGGGAAAACTGTTGGCAGACGCGGGCGGGTATAAAGAGGGGATTACAGAAGCTTATGAAAAGGAGATGAGAATTTACGGTAGTGAAGCTGTGAAGTCAAGTTACGGGATGGCAAAGATGCAATTTGGTGTTGTTATCGATGGGAACTCCAATACGGTATGAAGGGAAAGAGAGGGTAGAAAGAGATATAGATCAATTTTTTCAGTCGTCAAAGAGTTGTCTTGCAGTATGTCATTATATCTAAAGGTATCTTCCCACTCTCATTATCATCAGTGTGCGCCTAAATATGCGCCAAGTACTGTACAGATACCAATTCTAAACATCCCCTTGCCGATCCATTTTGTCTTCATAGATATCTCGATAGTGAGCTAAAAGTCGCTGTACATGTTGGAAATGGCTCATGATATGTCGTTAATTGTGTTTCAAATCATACTGGAAAAGTGGAGTGGTTCATATTTCGCTGAACATGAGTTGAGAGAGATGGCCTAATGGGAGCTTGATGGGACAATATAGGGCTTGGAGGAAGGTTGATGTTTGCGAAAACGAAACACGACTCATCATCCAAAATGGCGCGAGATCCCGAAGACAAAAGCCCACTTTGTCCCCGTATCTTGACGAGTGGTTTGGCGTCGAATTATGAACGGTTTCCATCGAGTTAAGTGGCTCATGTATCCCCAGTGTAGCCTTCGAAGGGACACCACGAATCATCGCGGACCTCAGAATACCCAGCGGGAAGTTTATCTTTCCTGGAGCCGGAGTTCTCTTCGGGTAAGGTGAATCCATTCGGACCTTTGAGTCCAATGTCTACAATGTCTTGTCCACTGACTTGCCCTTCAGCCGTTGCGCCAATGGTTGGAAAAGTCGGTCCACTGATCCATGACTTGAGGTCTAGCCGCTGGGAAGAAGAGCCAGGAAGATTTGAAGTCGTGTTTGTAGGTGGTTGAGTATGAGGAGGTTGAGCACTTTGTCTATCAAGGTCGGCACCAACTACCGCGCCAGTGTTTGACCAAGGGAAGCCTGGTGGAGGTGAAGGGTGACCCGGAGTAGACGATCGGATTGGAACTTGCATTGTGTTCCCACTAGACGATTGGATCGGTTGTGTTCTTCCGCTGAGAATTGAAGCACCTGTTGAAAATTGGCCAAGCCCAGTCTGGTCGAAAAGGTTGTTGGGATTGGCGCTGGGAGTGAGAGACCCGAGTTGCGGAGAGCGATTGTTCGCATCAAAAGCAGATTTCATACCGGAATCCCAAACCGAAGACGGTTCAGATGGCACGTCTGGGCTCTCTCCCGAGTGAGGGCTACTGGTGCTGCCGCCCCTATTCACGACACTGGTGGCAGGGTCAGAGCCTGGTCTGCCTGACAAATAATTCTGAAGGTTTGCGTAGGTCATCGGCATTCCATGACGGTCTGGGAGAATTCCACTGATTGGTAAGCTTGGCATTTCTTGCTCATAGGCTTCGATACTTGGTATTGCCGTAATTTTACCAAGACCTGCTGCCTGCATGTCTAGTTCGACTTGTGCGGTGAAGTGATTTGTGATATTATGCTTCGATCCGATTGACTTCATGGCCGATAACAAGAATTCTAAGTTCGTCATGACACCAGGGTTACGGCTTCCATGTTTCTGATCCTTCACGAACACGCCAGCAGCGACGTATAGGCAAAAGCCAATCCAAGGATGCAACTGAAGAACATTAGCGCTATTGTATAAAAGAGGTGTGCACATTACCAAGCTGTGATCAACATGACAGATGAGACGCATTATGTTAACGATCTCTTCAGCAGCAAGTAGACAGCGTCCACGACTTTGATCCGAAACATTCTTGGCAAGCGAGTGCTTCTCGGCGGTAAGAATAGCTGCCTGATGAAGACAAATGGCGGAAGCATGGATATTCATGTGGAGAAATACCACGTTCATATTCCGAACGTTTGACGGCAGCCTGAGATGATCTGGTAAGAACATGAAGGTATTAGATAACACATTATCCATTTTCCTATGTCGTTTCCAGAATTCTCCATTTACGGGATCCTCGGGATGCTCGTCGGGACCCGACTTGTGAAGATGGAGGAAGTTGTGTCCAAAAAGGGTGGCGGAGAGTATGACTCCAGCAAAAGGACTTAGATTCCGAGCTCCATCAGGGGTAAGTGCTTCTGCAAGAGAGATAGTTGGCTCCACCACGCCTGACTCGAATGCCTCGTCAGAGCAAGGCAGGTTTGTAAAAATCTGCAGCAACTCAGTACAAATAATAGAAAACGACAATGGCACATACCTCATCTTCATGAACTAACATCGGCCAACCAGTCCCTATGAGAGTTAGTATCTCCAATCATGGCAGATCAAACATGTATAACCGGCGAAACATACCTGAACTCGCCCATCGATCACCATAGTAAGCTGCCCAGAAAGTTCGACGTCGTTCTTCAAGCTCAATCCAATCTCGCGGAGGAGGTAAGATTTGCTTGAATTCTCCCCTTTCAATATCTAGTCTGTAAAGCCCAAGCATTTGGGTTAATCGAACCATTCTCCCTGTACTCATCCAAGAACGAGAGAAGTATGTCTTCTTCGCCTCGAAATTAGATATAAGTCCCCAAGTCTGAGCATAATATATTGAAACAAAGCCCTCGCCGTGTCCCTAAATCCAATTAGAACTGGCCAAGGTCTCCCAGCTCAGCTACATACCTTCATCTCAGCATCTTGCAGGTACCTTCGTGATCGTTCATATAACAAATCTTCGTAGCAACGGTATTTATCGGACAGAGATGCTGCCACAGCCCAAATCGCATACCGCAGACAAACAGGAGGACGAAACATAGGCGATTTTGACAGTGACGTATAATAGCGATATTTGTGTATGAAAGGGACCTGTGGATGAAATTTTTCGAAATAGATCTGATGGAGATCATCCATCATTTCTTGAGGAGGAAGAGGTTCCTGCAGACCCAGCTCTAGCAGCTCTTGTGAGAATATATCGCCCATAGGAAGCGAAGGACCTGGCGGTTGGAAATCGAAGCCAGCTGCGTTCAAATCGAAGGTCCCATCCAAAAGCGCATCATCAACCATATCCATATTCATGTCCATTGTCAAATCGTTCCAGTCAGCGTCCATGCTAATGCTGGTTGCGCCTTGGGTCGTAGCTGCCTTGGTCTGCTCGGAGACTAATTGTGTTTCGACCTGAGCTATGTATTGTTAGATTTACTACACGCATAATAGCATTACAAAAGGGCTACCAAGTCTGGCTTCCAATTCCTTCATATTGCGCCTCTTGGAACCTAAGTTCCTCCTCCGCTCTGGATATTCGCAGTCATGTCGCAGCCTATTACAAGTCCCACAAGAGGGCTTGACGCGATCGCATTTGAGCTTCCTTTTCCTACATGATACGCACGATATCGTTTTCTCGATCGGTTTAGTATTCGCATCGTTTGTACTTGAGGGTCCTGCTGGTTCAGCATCCACTGCGCCGCCTCGATGATTTGGTGCTCTTAAGGTGGTGTCGACCTCAGCAGGGGGCCCGTGGTAATCTGGATCATTTTCTCTCGCAGCCATGTCGAGTAAGGTCATGAAAGACGACCAACTCATTGATCAAGCACAAAGGCGTGTTTGAGGACACTGTTGACTTTTCACCATGTGAGAGTGTGAATGTACGTAACGCGTGGTGATAGTCAGCTATATCGACTAGAAATTGCCACTATCGATTGCCGTAGTGGAGCTACAGGTGGCACAGCCTTGTAAGCCTTGCAGCCTTACGGATGTGGCTCCGATGGGTAGACATCAAGGTGTTTGAAGTCATTTTATTAAACATCTGTTGTTTGCTTCGACTCTCTTCTTGTGTCTTTCGCAAGATTTCACTTTTTAATGGTCGCTGTTGTGTTACCAATGTAAAGCCTCGAAAGTCACAGCCCCGAAATGCAGTGTAACGGTCATGTGTTGTACAAAGCAAGCATGCAGAATCGACAGCAAAAGAATGCTTTGATCCTCTTCGCACAAGTGTGCAATCTTCCAGCCCCGTCGACGCTTCTAGCTGTCATCATTCGAGACTTTTATCATTTCCTCGAGATGTTAAATGGGCTAGGAATCATTTTGCGAAGACTGCATAGTGGTGGTGTGATGTCCCTGCAAATCACCTCGAAGCTCCTTCAATCATTTGAATACGAGCACTTGGAGAAGCATCAGATTTGTAGTCAAGTACTAACATTGATTTATATATCTAGGGTTCCCTTTATCTATTATAAAATTCCTCTTTTTTGCGTTGAGTTGAGACATTTCCACAACTTTGGAGTGCGGGGTTTCGTCCCATCCTACTACGATACATTTCACAACCTGAACTCCTTTCGATAAACAAACTTGACTAAATCTTACTCTCCCCTTGTTCAGCCTTATCCCCAGACTTGGCTTGATCTTCAGAGACCTTTTCCCCTTTGATGTTCTTCCACTCCACAGCTAAGGCTCCCAAAATCATGATTGCATTCAATGCAGCAGCCATAATGAAAACTCTGGTCAGTGAATAGCTGTATGCATTTACCACAGTACTCAGCTCACTTTGAGGTACGACTTTGCGCAGATCCGTTGCGCCCGTGTTGACGATGACCTCGGCATCAAGACCTGCAACACCAGATAGGAGATGTACCAGCTTAGTCGAGAAAACATTTTGACTGACGGAAAGAAAGATGGCTCCACCGAGTTGTTGCATGAAGAACATCATTGCCATGCCGATAGCAACGTCAGCACGTGGTAAAACGGTCTGTGGAGCCAAAGTTGAAGTCTGAAATCCGGTAGCAAGGCCGCATCCATAGAGAATCTGGTAGCCAATCCATTTGCCAGAGCTTGAGCTCGGTGTAAGTGTTGATAGTAAACCAGCACCGGTTGCGGAGAACACTGGGGTTATCAACAGAGACGGTACATAGTATCCAGTCTTCTGGGTAATGATAGCATTCGGAATGCTCAAGATTATCATAGATAGTAGTGTTGGTAATGTATCAATACCAGAGTGTATTGCCGAGACTCCTTTCGCGGCTTGGAACCAGGTTGTTAGGTAATACACGATGGAGAACAAGCCTCCAGATAGCAAGAGCATGAACAGCATGGCTCCAGCGACGGAGCGATTCAGAACAACTCGAGTCGGAATCATCGCAGTCTCGGGCGTCAAAACCTCCACGACGATGAAAAGGACGAGTAAGACTCCGAAGGCAACGAAGAGTCCGATGATCTTTGGTGACGACCAAGAGTATGTGGATCCACCCCATTGCAGAGCGAGGATGAGGCACACCATGGATGGAACGAAGAAAAGAATGCCGATAGGGTCAAGCTTCTTGACTATGGCAAGTGCAGTGAGCTTTTCGTGTTTGGGCGATGGGATGTGGAGCAAGAGGACGATTGCAGCGATGGTAAAGCCACCAATAGGTAGGTTGATGTAGAAACACCATCTCCATGTCCTAAGATGCATCAGCAATGAGTAAATAGTAGTACACAAAAAGTCAACTGACAGCTTGTCCGTAAAAGCACCACCTAGCAGAGGTCCGGCCACCGACGCAACACCAAAGGACATTCCGAACAAGGACGTAAAGAGAGGACGTTTGCGCAGGGGAACAATAGGAAGTATGATCATCATGCCGCCCACGAAGATTCCAGCTGACCCCAAACCAGCTATGGCTCGTCCAACGATGAATGCCACCGAGCTGGGGGCGGCACCACAAAGAGCAGAGCCAATCTCGAAGATCACCAGGAAAGCAAGGAAGACCCATTTTGTCGAATAGAGCTGGTATATTCGGCCAGCAATAGGAAATAAACAGGCTGCAGCCAGCATGTAAGCACTTCCATACCAAGCGATATCCTCGATCGAGTTGAACTCGTCTGTGATTTTCGGGATGGCTGTCGCAATAATGGTCCGATCCAGTGCAACAAGAAACGTAGCTAGGTAGTTGCTAATCATAATGATCCAAAACTTGATGGACTTTGGTTGATAGTTCTTCTCGGCATCTTCGTATTCGTCTTCAACTGCTTGAGTTGGAGTCGGTTTTTCTGGCGGGAACTGACGGACGGAGGATTGCTTGGAGGAAGGTCTGGAAGGACTCATAGTTCGTAGCTGAACAAGGCTAACGTGAAGAAAAGAATATACGAATGGAATTCTGAGAAGAAGAAACTCAGTGAAGATTGATTTGTCTCGTCTTACCAGGAACGTGATGCTGCTGTTGCAACTTTGCAGCGGCAGACCCTGATATATATACAGGTCTTATTTTGTCAACGGGAGAGCGTATGTGTGACATGGAAGTGCGTTGACTATAACGGGGAGGCTCAAGGGCCCGAGAGTGAGAGACGAATGGAAGGATTTGAGAAAAGGGAGGTTTTCGGACTCTTACTAAAGTCCCGGGTGGTGTTGAATATTCACGTGATATTAGTCATCACGCTCCCAGGTAACACTCCATGTTTTGACGGAAGACATCCCATTTCCGTACAATACGATCGGTTTAAGCCGCATATTGTATTGTTCGCCTTGCATCTGATTGCCGCTCGGTCATTGTCACGCTCGGCTCCCCTTTCTTTGTCACTTCCAGGACCCGAGCCCCACCTGACTGGGCATGTCTCTGTTTGCCCCGTCCTCTCAATCACAACCGGCAAAGTCCCAGCGGATACTGGCATGTGTTCGCTGCCAGCAACGTAAGGTCAAATGTAATCGCCAGTTTCCTTGCGAGAGTTGCAACACATCCCGTGTAAAGTGTGTGCCGTCAACTCTAGCCCCGCGGGGCCCCAGACGACGCAGATTTCCCGAACGGGAACTATTAGATCGCCTCCGCAAGTACGAGGACCTCCTCCGGGAGAACAATGTCAAGTTCGAGCCACTGCACAAGGGTCTGGAGCAAGTGAGAGAACATGAAGATCCCCAAACGCAAGGAGACAACGAGGTGGACGACGAGTGGTCAGAAGCTTTCAGTGCAAATTCGTCGTCTCCTTCTGTAGCTATCAAGTCAGAATGGATGTATGATACCAAGTGAGTCCACGTAGTCAATAGAATATCACCTCACGTTGACTAAATTGCTCAGTAACAAGATTTGGCATGCTATGCGCGAAGCGGTTTGGATTTCTCCCTGAGTTTTCAAGCTCTACTGACTGGTGAACGAAATAGTACCGCGATCCAAATGATGATAGCGATTCTTCAGATAGAGATCCTCCTAATGTGATCTTGAACCATGCGTGGAATCGATACGTTGAGAATGATGACGACCTTCTTTTTGGCTCACGTAAATTGGCTGTCGACATTTGCACTTTACATCCCGAGCCCGTTCAGATATTTCGACTTTGGCAGCTCTACCTTGAGAATGTCAACCCTCTGCTGAAGATTACACATACTCCCAGTCTACAAGGACGCATTATAGAAGCCGCTGGTGACGTCTCAAATATCAAGCCCACATTAGAGGCGCTTATGTTTAGCATATATTGCATGACAGTTACAAGTCTCGATCCTGATGACTGTCTAGCCATGTTTGGATCGTCACAAGTAGACCTGTTGAGGAGATATCAATTCGGATGTCAACAAGCTTTACTGAATTCTGGATTTTTGAGGTGCCACGAACGCGACTGCTTGACCGCATTGTATTTCTACTTGGTAATTGGGTATTACCTTCTATCTTCATACTGTCTTCTAACCATATCAGATCTCGGTCAGACCCAGCACAGCCCCTCATGCTCTTTCCTCGATGCTTGGCATTGCCATTCGTATTGCCCAACGAATGGGCATTAACAGAGAATTGTCGTTAGTTAAATGCACTCCCCTCGAGGCTGAAATGCGCCGAAGACTCTGGTGGTCACTGGTCCTTTTCGACACCCGCATTGGCGAGCTTGCAGACTTCAAAGCCCCGACATTGAATTCCACATGGGACTGTAAAGTTCTTATAAATGTCAATGATTCTGACTTGCGGCTCGAGATGAAAGAGCCTCCACAAGTTCAGGGAACATCCACAGAGGCAATATTCGCCGTTGTACGTAGCGAAATGGCCGACTTTATTCGGCACACGAAATCCCACGTAACTCTGGATAGTCCACCTGTTGTGGATAAATCTCAGCGCAGCACCACCCCACAGAGCTGCGACCTGGACAGCCTCGAAAAGAAAATCGAGGACAAATATCTCACATTTTGCGACCCTGACAATCCACTTCATTTCATGACGCTCTGGTCAACACGAGCATTCCTCGCTAGGTGTCGCCTGGCAGAACATCATTTCGCATCTTCTGACACCTTTACCCCGACCGCCTCCATTCCGTATGCCCTCCAGATGATTGAATACGACACAAAGCTTCGGAACTCACCTCTCTGCAAAGGATTCCTCTGGATAACAAACTGGTACTTTCCCTTCGCTGCATACATTCACATCGCCCAATACCTGACGGGACGACCTTCCAGTGATTTCGCTGACCCCTCATGGGAAATCATGAGTGATAACTACGAGGCTCGTTTCGGCGCGTTTGGCGAGCCGTTTGAAGAGAGTCCTTTCTTCAAGATTTTTGCCAATATCGTACTCCAAGCATGGGGACCTCGAGAAGCAATGATAGGCAAATCAGGAGGGTCGTTGGTCATACCGAGAATTGTATTGTCGCTTCGAGAGAAGATGGCGCAAGTAGCGCTGAACGCGCATATTGCGCAGAAACCCGGCGTAGCTAGTGATCCCCAATTTCTTATGTCTACGCCAATAGAGTTTGGTAGTCACCCCGCGTTCTACGGCATAGTAGGACAAGAGGACTGGTCAAATGGGCCTACATTTGATCCGTTGGATATCGATGTCAATCAATTGGACTGGTCCGTCATGGATTGGAACTTACCAACCGGTGCTGGGCCTGGCCTATCAATGCCGTAGCCCGACGATAACCATCATGTGTGTACGAATAAATCTGTCGGTTGTGGGAAAACATCTCCTCTTGTTCACTGGGTAGACCTCACCTCACTCTGTAAATTAATTGAAACGAGTCCGCTTAGATCAATGACTAAAAACAATTTCTTCCATTTTAGGTCAAATCCATCTTGCTAATGCTTTAAACATGCGAGTCAAGTGCGCTAGAAGTGTTGATGCTGCCAGGTTAGGTATAAAATTTCAACTCGCCACAGGATGTCCATAAGCTATGAGAGAATTATGATACATTGTTTTTAAACGCCATAATACCCACTTCTTGTTCTATCTTCATACACGTCGTCGATCTACCTTTCCTTCGTCACTTCGCCCCAGACTTCCTATGCGAGCGATTAACCTGATACTCAACATTCACCATTACCCCACTCTTCCCATCACACTCATTCTCCTTCTTCCCATTCTGCTCTCTATACGTCGGCGGCGTTATAATCCTCCTCTCACTCCCACCATCACCGATATAGTTGCCAGTCTGTTGATCCATCTCATAGCTCTCAACCGCACCATCTCGGTCTTTGCGATCGACGGCCGTGATCTGCGTTGTGCAAAGGATACTCTCGTCATCGGGCCTGAGTTTTGGTTTGTTGCGGAGCTTGCCGAATGTGCTGGGGCGGTCGGACTGGTAGTTGTTGGGTGTGTATTTGGCGGAGGAGCCGCCGCCGACCCAGTTCTTGAAGAGGGGGGCCATGGCGGGGACGCAGACGAAGACTATTCCGAGGCTGGATTCGAGGATCGAGCACAGTGCTGTGGGAGCCCAGTGCCTGTGAGGAGTCCAGGTTAGTAAATTTTGTTCAAGCGTGGGAGTTGCCAGGCATTGAGCTAAAGTGAGGAGTGACTCGTACCATGTGAAGTCTGATGTGTTGTTGATGGCGATTGCATTTGTTACTTGACGAGCGATTGTACCTCCGATTGCAAGAACACCGAGAGAGAACATGATGCCGAGAGCGCCTACTGCTTGTCAGAATACCGTCGAAGATATCTTGCACAAGACAAGAAGTGCTGATCACTTACGTTTCCTCTTAACATCCATTTGCAGATTTTTGATCACGGCTAGGGGTGCCAAAGCAAGGAAGATATCGGTTATGATGAACAAAGCTGCGTTGTAATAATTGAATGTCAAGATGTTGATGCAAGTCGGGCCTCCAATCGCAGTAGGTGTGGTCCAGACTTGACTTAAAGGTGTGCACAGGAAACCTGCAACAACCTAATTTATCAATTAGCTTGAGGTTACACATGAAGAGAGGAAGCTGGCCATACAATTGTAGACGAAAGTCCTTGTGCAAGAACAAAAATCAGCATCCCCCAAAGGATATTGCGCTGCAGAGGAGTAACAGCGAGTCGAAGATAAAGTGCTACGATGCTGGCTTTGATGCATCCCAGGCCAAAGTAGTAGAGGGCTTGTGTTATCCATGGCCAGAGAATCATTCCATTTATGACGGCGACGCCATTAGGCAACATTGCTAGGTCTGCAACGTGCCATCCTGTACCGTTTTCGAATTGAAGCTTCACACAAACAATGTGTACGACCTCTGCCATCTACATCCCCGGTGAGTAAACCATCTTGGAGATAGGTGGCGGTGTCTAGGAAACTCTTACCCATGATAGTGTGATCAATAAGTCATCAAGTCCGAACTTTCGTGATATGAAAGCCCGTACGTAGAATCTGTTTTTAGGTTAGAGACAAAGCTCTCTACTTCAGGCAAAACAATATCAACTTACCTCACGAAAAGAGTAGCAGTACAAACCCCAAAGAGAATGTAACAACCAATTCTCAAACTCAGACGATTAGGAGTACCAGCCGGAAAGTCCGAAACAGAGACCGTCATTGTGAATAAAAAGCGGCGAATGAAGATACAGAACTATACCAGCAGAGCAGAAGACATGCAAGCAGATTTATCTATTCAGAAACCCAAAGTGCTGTTCCTGTGTTTGCCATTGAAGTCCGTCGATCTCGCAATGATTCTGGCATAGGAAGATTCTGTCGAACCCACGTTCGAGTTTGAGGACGTTCAAAGCGACCGTTGAACTTGCAGATCATCAGGCGAGCCTATAGAGTGGAGGAATTGGGCTCAGGAACCAAGTGACAACGGTCGGGAGCGGCTGTGGCATCAGGGGCCCCGGTGCTAAGACGTTAGTTTCCACGACAAAGGTCAAGGAAGGGTCCACGCAACCTGCTCAATGATCCCACTTGGGTTCTTGGCTCAATCCTGTAAAGTCGGAAGACTGACTCCTCGCGAGTCCGACTAAGCTAAATAGGAAACAATCTTCATGGAAATGTCCAGACTTCGAATCCTTCGTTCCACAGTGATCATTTCTGTCACTTACCGACTTTTTCTGAGAGCATGTTGGATTTTTTTACCTAGTCACAGTCGATCCCAATGACAGGGTTTGCAGCTGCTTGGGACTCGCTTGCTCCTGAAACCCCCCACTCTTGGGAGTATTGCAAGTTTGGAATTCGCACACTTCTTGTATTCCCAGAACCGATATACAGGACCATTTAACCTCAGTAACTTCTGTTCGCTATGTTGAGAAGTGATCAGACAGAACATAATGGAAAACTTCATCTTTGCCATGCCGGGGAACTGTCACTGAAGGATCAAAGTCTCCGTGGGTGGACGGTGACCTTGACCTAGTCGTTGGCGTGCGGCACGGCCCCCACCGCAAGGTTCACCGGTCATGCATGACTGCCGACCCGTTCTTGTCCCGGAAATGATTCCTATTCGAGTTGAAACCCAAACCTCCGCGTCGCTTGACAATTGAATTAGGAAGTGCTCCAGCGACGTGGGACGATCTCTTTCAGAAGTCTTCTGAGTTGTCAGTCGAGATCAAACTGTGGGGCTTTTCTTTCATTCTTGGAATCCCCATCTCCAGTTGAAGGATGGTGAAAAAGACAATCCGGGCAAGATCGTCAGGAGGCTTGCATGGGGGCATGATAAGGTCGCTGTTCCAACAGCAGCTTGCATCTTGCGATGTTGCATTCCCTCATCTATCTTCCTATCCTGCATCTTCCCCCTTACTCGCTTCCAAGATCCTGTACCCTTTGGAATTGCTCAGAACTTTAAACCTCCTCGTCGATATGGCAGACTCGTATACACCGCCTGCAGAGATTGCTGCTTTGGTAGCAAATGTGAACAAGGCTGCGGCTGGGTTCGAAGCTGCTGTTGGAGGTGATCTCCACGTTGCTCGCCGCAATCTGCAGTTGGAAGCTCAAAAGCTTTTGTATTCTCTGGAAGAGCCAAATATTGAAGTTTGGCCTCGTATTTTTCAGGTAAGTGTAGCTTATTGTATTTCCTTTCTTAAATACGTACTTATCGTATGTCTAGGTCAATGTCAGTACCGCAGTTGAGATACTTTCCAATCTTGGACTATGGGAGAAATTCGAGGGAGGAAAGACCGTCTCAATGGCCGAGCTATTGGAGCTCACCAAAGCAGACGAGATCATAATCAGTATGATGTCCCTCCATAAACGAAGACCCATGCTTACAAGTCCTCACAGTCCGTGTCTTCCGTCAGTTGACAGCCGCGCACATATTCGTTGAATCGCCAGCTGGTTTCACTCTCACCCCTCTCGGATTACCGTACCTCAACCCCGACCACCGCGCCTTCAACAACTTGATGTTCTTCGACATCATCCCCGCAATCATGGCCATGCCACGAACGCTAGCAGAACACGGATACAAAGCCCCCACAAAAGAGAGCGGGACCCCGTATAAATGGGCACACGGCGAGGAACTCTGGACGTGGCTTGGCTCCCACCCTGATCGAGCACTCAACATGGTTGCAGGAATGCGATCCCACAACGCTGGAAATGTATCCGGAGACGCTTACCCATGGGGTACTGAGCTCGGCAAGCTGAATATAAAAGATGGCGAGGTTGCCGTTGTGGATATTGCTGGCGGACAAGGCCACATTATGGAAGAAGTCCGGAAACGAAACCCAGAGATCAAGGGAAAGTTTATCGTCCAGGATTTACAGTCGACTTTCGATGCTGTTTCTGGCCCGCCTGAAGGAGTGGAGTTTATGGCGCATGATATCTTCACTCCCCAGCCGGTCAAGGATGCGTATATCTACTACTATCGCCATATCTTCCATGATTGGAGTGATGCCGATTGTACGACATTCTTGGGACAGGTAGTGCCTTTACTGAAGGCTCAGCCGAAGAGTAAGCTACTCTTGGTGGATCTTGTGCTGCCAGATACGAATGCTACGATGCAAGATGCGGTCAGAGATCTTTCCATGTTTCCAATTGGAGGACTGGAGAGGAATGAAAGCCAGTGGACAGAACTACTGGCTAAGAGTGGGCTTAAGATTAAGAAGATATGGAGAGGAAGTGAGCCTGAGGCATGTGTTGAGTGCGAACTGTTGTAGAAAGATAATATCCATAGAGTCTGGGGGAGGATTGCGCTGATGTGCTTCAGCTCGCTCCATACAATTTTCGCCTATCTGCCTTAGACAGTCTGACTCTCTATCTAAGTCTCGTGTTGCGCGCTACGACGTTTGCATTTTGTATTTTACAACATTTTTAGCTCGCTTCTGGAGATGTTTCATACAGAGACTGCCTTTTCCTTTCACTCAAGTCGCTTTCAAGTAGAAGTTGAGGAAGATCAAAGCCACTTGGCATATCGCATATTCGTCAACGAGAAACTTTCCAAACTTGCCTCATTCAAAAGCCATAAGCGAGTGTTGGCTATATCTATAAATCATGTACAAGAATCCAATCTACTCCCGTCCTATTCAAGTACCAGCTTAAATTTGGGTCCTGTTCATCTTTGTCCTCATAACTTCACTCTTCCCGCAATGCCTCGCCGAGAAGGAAGTGTACCGCACTGCCCAAAGATCGGCTGACACCCTACGCCGCAGTGCAAAGGCGTGTTTCCACAGTAATTCGACGACGAGCAACAAAACCCTGTTCGGCACCTCACTGTCCCGCCACATGAGCCGTCCATGGAAATCGTGAACACGCCTCCAGTGGCTGCTGCTAATGCAGATGTGGTACCTGCAGAGGTTGGCAAAGCAGTGAAGAAGCTTGCGCTGCTTGCTAGGGTAGCAGTCGCTTGGGTAGGAGGCGGCATGCTCAAACTTGATGAAGCAACACCCGGTCCTGCATTTCCGTTGGAGCCTCCAGAGTTCCCAATGCCGTTTACTGGTAAGCAGACTCCTTTGATGGTACTGGACATGGTGCTAGCCATCGTGTTTGATAACATGCGAGTGACATCAGGTCCTGGGTCCGGGAAGATAACTTCTGTGCCTTCTATGGTGGTGCAAGACCCCATATTGGCGACGAAAATATCAGGTCTTTCCGAGAAGGGAATGTCTGGGGTGCTTCCTGTGCCTGCTATGATTGTTACTGCGGCAGCATCTTGGTATATCTCACGGTTACCGATCTTGTTGTACCACGTCCAGACGAAAGCAGCGCGGCCAGTGGGCGCGTCAGCTGGTACTGTGAACGGAAATTCTTGACCATCGCTCAGGGGACAAGAACCTTCGTAGCTATGGATGACGGTAAATTTCCTGAAGTTATCGGCAGGATATGCGAGTGTGATTTGGCAAGACCCTCCACCGTGAGTAGCGCCACCGGTTACCGAAAATGAGGAGGCAGCACCAGCAGTGTAGGTCTGTACTGAGGCGCCAGCTCCGCTGGGATCAGACATGTCCACCAAGTAGCCTTTGCAGGGAAATTGAGATGGACCGGAAAGAGGTGATGTATATGAGTAGTCAATAGCAGATTGTTTGGAGTGTGGGTTGTTTTTGGCGCGGAGAGGAGCTGGATTGAGGAGCATCATGTGCCCGTTGACGAGGGATGAGAAGGCCAGGGCCAGAAAGAGTGACTGGTAGTTCATCATGGTGATTTTTGTGAGTTGGATTCGGATCTTGGTATTGTGATAGATCGCAGACTTTGCTGCAGTTGTAATTTGTGCTGTAACAAGATATTTTTGTGTATTGCGTGTGCTGATGAATATGTGCGAAAGAAATTTAAGGATAGTATTCGAGCTCTCAAGCAGATCTCCGCATCCTTTGCTCTTTCCTCAACTGATCGATCGTTCTGTGTTCATGGAAACAGAACATTACTCGATAGTGACTTTGATAAGTATTCTCAGAGAACATTTGCCACGAGAACAATAGGCTCATCAGCCTAGCGAATTCGTCCGTTCACTGTCATCCGCGTTTGGACTACAGTGCTGAAAGTTATGTGGCTGAATGCACTAATTAACAAAAACTTCCAGAAACAGGAATGGGGACGACCGAATTTGCTGGATAAATGGACGCAATAGACTCAACAAAGCCACAACGCTAGGTTGTTTATATCCTAGTTCCGGATCAATATTAATGATTCACGTGATGAGGGGCATGATGAGGGGCACTGGCTTGAAGTCACTTGAATTAATAAAAAGGTGGAGATACTGACTAGCAACGATAGGCTTTGGTACGATAGATTTTTCGGCGACTAACAGAACCAGTCTTACCTTGTGCGTGCCATATTTCGAAGAGGTTTTCGCAACTGTCAAGATCGAAATACGTGATCGCTTCCCACACACCCCACCTGGGCAAATGCAGATCTTATACCACCGGTATGACCGTCCGAGGACATAAAACATAATATAAAGTAAGTTTACTATACAGGAGAATATCCTTGTCCCTCATGGCCACGGGACAAATCCTTTTCCGGTCATCCGTGGCTTATCGTGTACTCGTACGCCACCACCTTGGTTTGAGCAACTATGGGAAAAGCCACTATTCATACAGGCTACAAGAATCCCATTGCCTTGGTGGGTAATGGCGTAATGCGGCTGAAGCTCCTGTTGTTTCTGATTGACTCGCGATTAATGTTCACGTTATATGTCTCCTTTTTAACCGAGCCTTTGTTAAGCGAGTTCGGCTCGGAGACAACCGGAGCACCGTCGGTAGTAGGGTTGATCTCAGTCCTTTGAGGCAAGATATGCAGAGGTGGTGCACATGCACTTGAGTTTGACGTGTGATGTGTGATTCTGGCAGGAATGGCATACGATCAAACAATGATTTCAATCAGTGACGCGATCATCATGCATCGTTCCCCAATTTCACTTCTCGCTTTCGAATCTAAACATCATCAACTTAGCAACAACTCAGTCAGAAGCTTACAGATATCGCTTCCCATCCCACTGCTTTACATCATCATTGCTGCAAACCGATTTTGTCAACTTCCACCAGGGCTCAGAACAATGACGAAGAGACAACAGTGGCAACTTTCGCCGCTGATCAAAAAGCAACCTTGAAACTCAACATGATAATGCGTGTCTTAGATGTTTCACCGAGTATCTAGAGGCTTTGAGGAACTGTGACACTATCTTCGGTGTACTTCCCAAGTAGGGATGTTGCACCTGCAACTGTGCTGCAAAGCATAAGACTTCTGTATGACTGCTTGCGTGGATAACGTTATGGACAGCCAGGTAGGTCGTGAAGGTCGCACAACCATGACAACCTCTGGCAAGCTGCCGACGACGCGTAATCGTGCAGTGTTCACTTGACCATCAAACATTGCAGGATGTCTCGAGACTTGAATTGTGATCATGTGTGGTTCCGCGACCATTACCTAAACCTCCCAGACCGGTATCTGAAAGAAATTGCGGCAGGTTAGACACTCGGTGGTATTCGAATGTGACGTGTGAGCTACAGCAGTATTCCGAACGCAGTGCAAGTGGCCCCCAGATCGAGCTAGGCAGATGACGTGTATTTGAAGTCACAATGAGGCAGCTGCATGATTGTAAAGCCTGCGTAGCTCGTAAAACAATCCCAATGGTGCATCAAAATAAGGCTTCGGGTTTCCCTCACTGGCTCCTTGGAAGATTACCAACTGCATGCAGAATGTCGAATGGAGAGGCATCAAACCATTGCTAAAGTGATGCTAGATTCGTGGCTAAAATGCCTCGCAGCTTTTGGAAAATTAGTAATACTTCATTTCAAATAAGATAAACATTGAGTTTTTAATGAATTGTGCTCGCAATCACACATAAAGCCTCGACTAGACCAATTTCTTGATTTTTCACAACGACAAGATCTTTTCACGATGGATAAAGGGGTTCAGAGAACAATAGGCAACCTTCCATGGCTGAGCCAATAGCCCACATCAAAAGTCAAAAACAACCCTTTGTCACTTCAATTGTCCGTCCCACTTAGTGAATAGCAAAACACCCAGCACCGCTCATCTATTTCCTGCCCACCAACCTCTCACATCTGCCCTCCTCATTCTCATCAACACCTAAGACTTCCTATACCACCACTTCACTAACACTCAAGCAAACTCCCCAACTCCAAACAAAAACTTCCAAATGTGTACCACCACAACAACAATCAGTGCCTGCGGCTACTCGCACATCAAGACGGTCCGTTGCGAGAAGGCAAAGGCGGCGGGCGAAGACTGTGGAAAGGCAGATACCACCAAGGTAGATGTATACGAGATCGACCAAGCATGCATTGAATATTGGTACGCAGACCCCGAGGGGTTTGCCGAACAATTTCCCGAGACAAAGGACGAGGGCAGCATGGTAAATAGCCAGTAGAAGGTAGATAACAGCCACAGGGCAACTTGAGGAAATGTAAGAATAGTACTCTGCTTAAAAAAAAACAGTTTCAATAGTGCATCGTGTGCTCATAACCCAGCTGGCCTATCACGATATCGATGAACTGGCATGTGACATATTTCTCATTGCAACTGACTGCTGTTGAACCATTTCGTTTGTGAGGGAAGGAGTCGTAAGCACTACTCGATATGTTTGAATGAGCCCAAGAAATGGAAAAGTGAGAGATAAAGAGGTAAGACCTGCTGCAACCCCGTGGCATAAACCACTTTTCTGAACATCCTGAGTCAAGTCTTCTTCGAAGTCCGCGAAGAAAAGTTCCAGTTCATGGAAAAGTTCGCGCGTGAGAAAGTGGCAGAGCTTCCCCTTCAGATCCACGGTGCTCATGGCGTAGCTACCTCACGTTATATTTCCCTAATCGGGCATCAGAGAAGTGAAAGAAAAGAGAAAGCACTTCGAAACTTGAGCTGACGGAAAAGATAAAGTCATCACGTGGTACTCCGAGTTGATGGTTTCAAATAAACTCTGAACACGTACTGAGCTGCAGTGCCAACCGGGGATCTGTGTGTTTTTACCCAGTTCACTTAATATAGAGCACCCGCCTGACTCTCAAATCTGGCAATTCAATTTAGCTCAGGTACTGAGTTCCGGAACGGGAGAAGAAGCCACCGGGACAACGGAAACAGGGCCCAGAACTGCGACCTACAAAGTTTAGCATTGCTAATTTCATGAAAGTGTGGAGGAAGCATAAGTTCATAAATTGCATAAACGTTTATGATGTTGAGAAACCGGAAAGGAAAGCTAATGAGCAGTGTTCTAGAAACTCTAGATGAGGAAGAAAGTGTAAGCGATAAACTCAATAGCTCAGCTGCTTGAACAAGCGAATATGGTCAAGTCTCGGGAAGGAATTGCGTGACAGCTCACAAATATTCAATAGATTCCTTCCTTCTTTCGGTTGGCATGCAGGAGTGAACTTAGGAACGTCGGCGCGGTTACAGAAGGAACAACACGTCGTACTCGAATAACATTGAATAATACATTCTTAGTTGAGTAATGGGATCTTTGAAAAGGACGCTTTTGTCGATGATCGATTCCAAGAAGGGGGAATGAGAATCTAGTATTCTGCTCCATGACGACTGGAAATTGACCTATGGAGAGCAGTGCCGAAAAGCTACAGCCATCCATCGTCGAGGTATTAAATAAAGTACCGTAGCCGTTTGAAGAGATAGTGCGTTCGCAAGCGCGCACGTGCAATTTGCTTTTGCTGCTCCTTTTGGATCCGAGGATCTCTTTTCGGGTTTTGTCCCTCGTTTTAGAAAGCCACGTAATGGTGATCTCGATCGGCACGCAGCCGGTCGCATCCCAAGTATGCACCCGCACCCCCATGGAAATAATGTCCCGACCAACTTCTGTGCAACCTTTATACGCAACGATTCGTCCCCGGTACACGGACGACAGAGCCCAGAGGTCCTGTTAACGTTGGATCGACCCTTCCCCGCGGTCTCAATTGTGGGCCTCCCTTCTCACTGCCGAAGTTTTGTACAACCACGTGGGTCCCAGAGGTACGTATACATGCGTTGCGAGATTCAGGGGCCGTGGAGGTCTATGACCGAAACTCTCGATCGAGTAGGCCTAATTGAGCTCTGTTCAACATGAGACATGTGTTAGTCTAGCTGACATCCAGTCTCCTCGGCCCCACAGCGTGATGGGTAGCGTGGATTAGACTTGTGATTAACCATAATGTGTAGATGCCAATCAAGCTCCGGCATTTGACCATGCCAGACTGTTGCCAAGCCGGTCGCTGCCGAAATTATGCAGGAGGCTTCCTGGGCTGGTGCGCTAGACCGTTGTTGCTCGCAAAGCTTGAATATCGATTTAGACGCCACCCTAGAGGCTTCAGCCATGGCTGACTTCTAGGTGTAACTCAATATTCCCTCAATAATATTACTCTCCTTCCTGCGAATTGACGCCATTGCAACATCCTGTCAGGTAACAGAAACACTGGAAGGCCAGTGCAATAATAGTTCTTACGGGTAGGCGTTCCGCTAATGTCCCTACCAGCGGGTGCGTGCTCATTTCCACCGTTACACGCCGTCACAGGTATGGAAGATTTCTCCTTGTACTGTACGTCGCATGGACAAGAGTATTTTCGAACGTAGTCGGTGCTGCCGTTACGCTTATGGGGTTTTGTTTGAGAATGCCGAAAGTCAAATTCGTCCTCGGGTCGCCAAGGATGCTGCCCATTAAGATATATATGTCTTGGCACTTGAACCAGTGTCTGGCATTTGCCACGATTCCCCAGCTTTTCTGGCTTTCTCTTACTCTGGACTGTTTCTACTTTGTCTTCTTTTCGTTTCTTCGATAATATTTCAAGGAAAGCTTCGGCATGAGTTCGTCGAGAGGAGATGCACTGCATGCCGATGCTAGCTACATCTTGCAGTCACAACACATAACTTCAGACGCACTTACCATCCAAGATGTTACTACTCTTCCAGAATTGTTCAAATGGCAGGCTCAGCGTCGAAATGGCGAAACGCTATTCACTTTTCGAAGCTCGCCAGACGCTGCCTTGACCACAGTCTCCTACGCCGAAGCATACGAAAGAACCAGTCAACTTGCAGAGTCTCTCCACAGCTTTCATTCATCCTCTAGCAACGAGAACGAGAGCCCCGTAGTCGGTATATGGCTGGAAAGGTCCATTGAGTTGCATTTCGCTATTCTAGCAACTACGATATCAGGTGCCACCTGGCTGCCATTCGATGCCGATGTTCCTACAACTCGTGTCTCTGCATGTTTGGAGGACAGTAAGGCGTGTATCTTGCTCTGCGATACGGTTCATTACGACTCCGCTATCAAAGCAACAGAGAATCTTCCTGGATGCCAGGTCATCACTTTCGATGCCTTGTCTAGACAAACACCAACTAGACGAGGAGCAGTCAAGGACGTTCGTGGTCCAAGTCCGCATCATACGGCATACTTGATCTATACTTCTGGTAGCACTGGCACACCAAAAGTAAGTATTGAGAGAATTCTTTTCGCCGTCTGAACTCCGACCAAGTCCCAGATTATTAGGGCAAAATAATATGGAGCAGATGCTGAGTCTTCTGATAGGGAATCGAAATCCCTCATAGCGCCGCCCTCACATTCTGCTTAAGTGAACGATCAGTCCTAGAAACGAGACCCGAAGACATCGTCTGGCAAGGATTCAGCGCAGCGTTTGATATGTTCATCGAGGAAGTGTGAGTGACAATCTCATCCATATTAAGCAATACAACACTAACATGTTGTTCTACACAGGTGGGTCAGCATAGCCGGCGGAGCACAACTCGCTATCGGCAATCGTTCCGAATGTCAAGATGTGCCAAGCCTTGGAGGTGCAGCAGGGGTCTGGACACAGCGTGGTGTCACAATAGTTAATGCTGTGCCTACGCTCATCAATATCATGACTTCGCTTGATGATGATTGTCGTCTACCGACGTCTGTACGTCTGCTCAATTTGGGTGGAGAAGCCTGTCCACCGGCTCTGGTCAATCATCTGTGGACTCCAAGCTTGCGCATTTTCAATACTTATGGGCCTTCGGTAAGCTCGTCCTTGTCCTAGCGAATACCTCTCTCTCACTTTTCAGGAGCTTTTGAAATTCTCGATACCCCAGACAAGATTATAAAAGTTCATACTAACTCGAGATGTTGAATATAGGAAACGACAGTTACAGCTACATTCCAGGAACTTTTCCCTAACGAGCCAGTGACAATCGGCAAACCATTGCCCATGTACCACGCCATGATCCTACCCATCCTTGAAGATTCTCCAAAAGAAAAAGTGTGGTCACCAATACCATTTCAAGAAGGTACCGAAGGAGAACTTGCCATCGGCGGTCCATGTCTCGGCAAAGGCTACGTGCAACGACCAACCCTCACAGCGGAAAAGTTCATCACTCACCCCCTCCACCCCAACGAACGACTCTATCGAACCGGCGACCTTGTCCGCCTCGACAAAAACCACAACATCGTCTACCTCGGCCGCATCGACACCCAAGTCAAGCACCGCGGCTTCCGCATCGAACTCGGCGAAATCGAAAATGCCATCTCCTCTCATCCCAAGGTGCAAACTACAGCCGTGATCCTCTCCACAAGCACAGATTGTCTCGAAGCATACATGGTCACCAAAGATGACGAGATTCTCGACACCAGAGAGCTACGGAATACGATTCGTCATCTGCCAGCTTACATGCAACCCGAAGGCTTTTGTTTCGTTCCCGCGAAAGAGATGCCTCGTCTACCCAGCGGTAAAATTAATGCAAAAGCGCTGCAAGAGACTTCGGCACAGTTGGCCTTGGCGCAGAAAGAGGAACTTGGACAACAAGTTTATGCTGGCACTTCTATCCCGAATGATGGTTCGGACCTGAGTATTCTGCTCCTGGCAATGCTTGAGCTCTTCCCGCAAGCACCGAACATTACAGCCTCTAGTGACTTTTTCCATGACTTGGGAGGGCATAGTTTACTTGCCGCTAAACTCGTTTCGAAGCTCCGGAAAGGAAGTCCCAAGGGTTCTTCATTGAAGAAATTAGGGTTGCAAGATATCTATATCTATTGCACTGCCGAGAAGATCGCGGCAAGCCTAGCTGAAGTCACGGATACAGATGGGAGAGATTCTTTCTTCGAGAAAGCCGATACGCTCAATTCGCAAATGAACGACCACTGGCCTGTCTCGCGACGCAGATACGTTCTTTGCGGTATAGCCCAAGCTATTGCTCTCCTCCTTCTTTTCTTCATCGAGGGCGTTACGTTCTTAGGCCCCTACCTCGTCTTCTTTGAAATCCTCCAAGCCATCGATCTCGGGACCGCCGTCGCTGTCACTTATTTCGTTTTCGTGTCCCTACCGCTTTTGAGGGCTCTGATCGGTATCGTCGGCAAATGGATCGTACTAGGAAAAGCGAAAGCAGGCGAATATCCTCTGTATGGCGTCTATTACTTCCGTTGGTGGCTGGCCGATCATCTAGTTGGACTCATTGATATGGTGACCATTGCCGATTCGGCTCTTTTACCAGCTATGATGCGCTGCATGGGGGCTCGCGTTGGAACGAATTGCCATCTGGGAGTTACCCATATCGGTGCGGCCTTTGATCTTGTGTCTATTGGCGACGATGTCACAATGGGCAAAGATACAGTCCTGAGCACAAGCTGGGTTGAACGCGGCCGTCTCATCCTCGCTCCTGTTAGTATTGCCTCACAAGCCCACTTCGGCAGCAACTCGGTCATGGAAGGCGATTCGTATATCGAGGAAGGCGGCGAATTGGGATCTATGAGTATGTTATCGCAAGGCTGTCATGTACCTGCTGGAGAGCGATGGATTGGTTCTCCTGCACGCTTCCGAGAATGCTCGACAGACATAGGAGGCATGCGAGCATCTCGACCCAGCGAATTCCGCGCTTCGGCCATGATACTAGCTATGTCTCTAAGCTCCATTTTCCTGCTCCCAATCATCGTATTCGCGCCCCAGATCCCCAGCATGCTGCTCTTCGACTACATCAACATCCCCCGCATGGGCTGGTGGGCGCAAACCGCCATCGTTTCCGTCCCCGCGGCGCTCATCTACATGATCCTCGTCTTCCTGGAGCTCATCGTCCTCCGCTGGCTCGTTCTCGGCAAGGTCGTCGAGTGTTCGTACCGCACCACGTCCGTCTACTTCTTCCGCAAGTGGTTCGTAGACCGGCTGATGGACATGAGTCTCGCGATCCTACACCCCGTCTACGCGACCCTCTACGTAGTCCCCTTCCTGCGCTCCCTGGGCGTCAAAATCGGCCGCAGGGCAGAAGTATCCACCGCCAGAGGTATCAACTTCGAACTCACTGACATCGGCGAAGAATGCTTCATCGCGGACGGCGTCTTCATCGGCGACGGCGACGTGCGTCGCAACATGGTAACCCTCAAGAAAACAAAACTCCACAAACGAGCTTTCCTAGGAAACGCCTCTTTAGTGCCCCAAGGCACCGAAATGGCGTCCAATACCCTCGTGGGCGTCCTATCCTGCGCGCCAGAAATCCCGCTCAAGGAGGGAGAGAGCTGTTTCGGATCTCCTCCCGTCCTGATGCCCTCCCGGCAGTGCGGGCGGGAAAAACACGCAGATCACCTCCTGTACACACCCCGCGCCTCACAAGTCGCGCTCCGGCTCTTCATCGAAGGGATGCGTATCGTCGTCCCACGCATCATCGTTACCTTTGGCCTCGGTTTCGGGGTGCAGGTCTTCGACGCCGGGTATAACGCTATCGGGATCCTGCCCGCTATTGTCCTCTTACCCTTTTTCTACTTTTTCTGTACGTCCTCTTTCCTCTCCTCTCCTTTCCCTCCCTCCCTCAAATGAAAAAGCACTTTAACTGACGTTGATGATAAAAAATCAAGTCTTCGCCCTCCCCGCCCTCCTCGTAACACTAGCCTGCAAATGGGCTCTCATAGGCCACTACCGCCCCGCCTCCTGGCCGCTCTGGAGCCCCCGCGTCTGGCTCTCCGAATTCGTAACCTCGACATCCGAAACTCTCGCCCTCCCCCTGCTCCTCAATCTCCTAACCGGTACGCCCTTCCTGCCCCTCACGTTCCGTCTCTTCGGCGTGCACGTAGGGAAACGCACTACTTTGCTGTCGAACGATATCACGGAATTCGACATGGTGACCCTGGGCGATGAGGCGGTGGTGAATAAGTTGGCGGGCCCCCAAACGCATCTTTTTGAAGACAGGGTGATGAAGATTGGGAGGGTGGAGATGGAGGAGCGGGCGGTGTTGATGGCGTATAGTATTGCGTTGCCGGGGAGTCGGGTCGGGAGGGGGGCTAGGGTGGGGGCGTTGAGTTTGGTTATGAAGGGGGAGAGTGTTCCGGAGGGGGAGGCGTGGGAGGGGGCGCCGATTGGGAGGAGGAGGGTGGTGGTGGTGGGAGGGGGGAGTAAGGAGGTGGGGAGTGAGGGATCGATGCCAAGTAGTAGGGGGTCGAGTTAGTTGTTTGGGATGGGATGGGAAGGGGAGAAGGTGGGTTTGGGGTAAATGTTTGGGATTGAAAATGAGATAAAAAGGGGTTGTATACTTCGAATTATCACTATAAAACCTGATAGTCCTTTGTTAGGTGCAACTGACTTTACCTGCCTTTAGTCGATCTTCTATCCATGACTCTAGGAACACCTTCCCTCACGAGACATTGCTTTTCGTATCCGTCAAACCAAAGAAAAAGATATTCTGATTGAAATGCAGATCCTTATAAAATGAACATTGTACCTTAAGCGCAGTAAATTTCTGAACTAATCCTGATCTTCTTCTCTCTCTCCCTCTTTTCAGCGGCTTCTCAAAACGTGTTTGCAAAGAAAATAGGACTACTTAAGATGGATCAAAATACTGAGGAATATGTGCGAAGAACCGGAGACCACCTATACAATCAGCGAATAAAACAAGATCAAGCAGCTAGGATAGGCAAGGATATCAACCATAAATATTGCTAGGAGGTGGATAAAGGCGCTAGGGACTTTTTGCGGTGTATAAATCTGAGGGTGTTCTGGCCGCTGGTTGCGTTCTTTGGGGAGATGAGGGTGCTGTGTATCTTGCTAGCTAGCTTTTAATATACACACGAGTTTGAGAAGAAAAGGTACTTGGATGTAAGTAGTGTCGGGGCTGTGTGTCAGTATGCAATATTGTTATGAAAGAGATTTAGAGAGAGATGTATGGGACCATAGACAGGGAGGAAGAATGATCCATCGATATCGATGTTATTCGTCTCATGCCTGGAAACATACATACATGCTCAGCTATATAGTAATACTGTCCTTGAAAAAAAAAATAATGATATACAAACACCTCAAACACCTGTCCATAAATACAGACCGATTCAACCAATTCATCATGAGGACCGGAACTCCTTCGCTTACAACCCAAACCAAACCCTGAACCGCGAAGGCTATCGCGGATGTAGTAGTGAGTGATGCCATGAGTACCTATGTTCCTGCCAAGAACAAGACCTCATTGGCCAATCAAATGCCCTTGGACCGTGCAGATCGTTGGGAGGCATTGCGCTCGCGGTTTTCTCTGTTGTTGTAAGGACCGTCCTTCACTTCATCCTTCCTAGCTTCCGGATTCCAATTCCGTAGATATCCGTGTATTCGCACAAGCCCAAAGGCTTCTCTGGTAATGACCGTCTCTTTCCGTTCCATTACTGCTTCCGTAAATTCGCCTTTCGATTGAGATATACAATTCGATTCCCGTCAACCTAGACATTCGTCCTCGTCACTCTGACCCGCGTAACCGTCTCACTCCTCGAGCTTCGACTTCGGCTACTTCCATGTCGCGACGAGCGCTTCCGTCCATACTGCGCCATCCAACAACAATCAATCGCCCCCGAAACAATCATAATAAAATGCACCGCCCTGTTACCACCAATTAGCATCTCATCTCTTCTCATCCCCTCCTCTCCAATGCCAGTGCTACTCACAAAAGCGCGCCCAGCAACCAATCCGACGTATTAACCAACCCGGGGTTGCGCAACGGCCGATTATTCCCATCCCCATCATTCTTGACCACGATATTATTCAGGATCCCGCCGACGCAGAAGCCGACGGCCAGCGTGTCGAGGAAGATCAGGCCGCCGGGCGGGATGCGCGTCCAGGACAGCAAGCAGATGATGTCGAGGGGATTGAGGATCAGGCACCAGATGGCGGCGACGTAGGCGAAGACGGGGGTGCCGCCTTCGCTGCTGAGCTGGATGGCGAGGACGAGGACGCCGATGCTGAGGCCCAGGCCGGCGGTGCGGAAGAGGAGGGCGGAGAGGCGCAGGTTCTCGGGGTAGAGTTGTGTGGTCATTGTGGTGGTTGTGCGGCGGGAGGAAGACATCTTGACTAGCTAGCGAGCGAGCGAGCGATATATTTATAACAGTTGAATTGTTTGTTTGTTGATTGTTGATAATGGATGGGTAAATTCAGGTTGTCGTAAGGCTGGGAGGAAATAATAATAAGAGGAGGGGAGGTAAGCTGTTTTTGTTGATACAGGTAGCTGTTATGCGATAAGTGGGATTAGGATTCCCGTCTCACCCACTCGAGTCGAGGCAGTTGGCGGCTGTAAGGTTAGGCAGGAGGAAGGCTGATAGCTGACTGTGCCGTCGTCTCGTTGTAGGATCCCCGCAATATTGCGATGACGGTACTGTATATGCAGGGACTGTGGGAAGTTCGTAAGCAGCGAGCTGGCGAACTCGGGATGAAATCAGAAAATCGTAATCGTGATCGCGCGATAGGAGGAAGGAGAAAGGAGAAAAAGTAAAAGATGTGGACAATGAATGGGAATGATAAATACTAATTAATGCAGGGGAGAAGGAAAGGTAGCTTTGAGCATTGATGGAAACGAGGCTTGAAGGTCAAACAGCTCGTTGTGTCACGACGGATGCTTATCTTTGACCCCTCCCTTTCCCTTGGCACCCCTCCTCCGAGAGAGAGAAGGATTCTCGGATTGTGGTGGTGGTACTTCGTACTCGATGGTGGTGGGTGCTCGAGAACGGACGGACTCGTCGTTGGTGTGGGAATTGTGGAGGAGGGAACACCAAGCCCAAGCTGGCGTGCAGCGTGCATGAGCACTAACTGCACACTGCGACGCGACGAATGCAACTCACTCATGTCGTCAATCAGCCTAAAAATTAAAATTGATCTCCGAGCGATCGGTTCCACCCGCGCACAGAACTCTGCAGCAACCTCGAAAAGCGCTGACGACTGACATTTCTGCCCTTTGGCACGGACATCGTTCTGACTGCGCCATCAACCCTCCGACCTCCTTGTGCGTAGGATTGCGCCAGCAGAAAAGAGAGGGTGTCCATGGTCTTCGTGTGAGCACAGCATTGCGGACTTGTTCTTGCTGGCGATGTGATCATCAGATAATAAGATGTGTAATAAGAAGAAGGTTGGAACAGACTTCTGACCTTTGTCAGATGCTACGGCGCATTAAAATGCGCCTCTTATGAGCATTGTTGTTCGCGAAAATGAATGCGATGAGCGACGGAAGAAAGAAGTCTGGAAGCTGGAAGCTGGAAGCCTGGGGAAGTCTAGGTGCAGATCGCCTAAATTTAGCGTGCCGGACTGCCAGACCTCGTCCACCTCCAGCTCTCCAGCAGACGGTCAACTCGAGATATCACCCATCAAATCGAGTCCTGTGTCTCTTGTTCATCCTAAAAATGAGAGAACTGAGATCTATTTCGTGCTTTTCTTAGTGTCAAAGTATACCGCAGGGTTTCTCCTTGTTTGCTCGTGCGAGAATTGTCCTATGACAGGTATTCCTTCCGATGGTGTCACAGCTTGCAGCGAGTCAAAAGCGAACGGACCAAGCCACTTTTTGGGCCTCGAACACACGGAGCTGCGGCAATTCAGAGACGTAAATCGAGATGGCTCAATCGCACTCGAGCAACAGGTACAGGATGTAGAATATCAATTGCGAGAAGCGCATTAAGGAAGTATCTCGAGGAGATCAAATCCAGAATATTATGAGCACGGTGCTGCTTGATGAAAGAGACTTTGGAGAGCATGACGGGAGAAGTATCATGCTGCACGTGACGGGACTCCAAACCAATACCACCGATTCGACTTTGAACCAATTGCGGCGTTTTTCAAAAAGTGATAAATGTCAAAAGATATATGACAACGCTTTCCTTCAAAGTAGCACAACATACAAGAGAACATTTTGGGAGTTAACATCGTACCCACGTGACTCAATTGCTTCGCCGTTCGCAGTCAACTTCCCATAAAACGGCCCATAAAGAAAAGCATTGCTACTTGTTTCGAATCGATGATTCATCTGAAATGAAACCAGAAGACATTAACAGAAATAACTCAAAGTACAACCAAGAATTCAAAATAGCAAAGTGCGGTCAAGAGAAATGGAAATAAAGGGGTGACTGCTACAACGCGAAGGAGAAGGAATTGCTGGTGGAATATTGACAGACAAGCTTGTGTACTATTGGCTTGACTCATCAATAAGTCAAAATTGCCTAGAGTCGAAAATTTCATGTTGTTCGAATGAATTGAAAAAAAAAAATCTTGATGGAATGTTATTTCAGAAGCTCCTCAATTCGGACTAGCTTGGAAATGTGGACACCAGATTTCGGTCACGCTAATTGTCGATCCTCGTGATGCAACTTCAACAGCTTCAACGTCTCTCATTTTCAAACCGACATTCATGGCATATTCAGGTTGAGCACGAGAACAACAAAATCAATTCTCGTACATCTCATAATCCCTTCTCGTTCTGCTTTTGGTCACGTTAATCCGTTTCCACAGATCATGCCTTGTTATCTACTTTTCCCACATTTCAATCAATCTCAAGCAAAGCGGAAATGCGCAAATAGAATGTTCCTACAAGTCTGCAGACTAGATAGACTTCAATTCGGATATCACGGCTGACGGTTGACACAGATAAGCAGATCTGAGGGCTTTCGAATTGTCCATCGCCACATTAACGATTGTCTAGACCTCTCGAGTTTCCTTCCTCGCCTTCCTGTTCTATCTCAATCTTCGTACCTCGAAGATCATTCCACTTCACGCGACCATGTCAGGAGAGAGGTCTCATGCTGTCGTTGCGGACTAGATGCCGTAGTAAATATCTGCTCGCACATCGGAAGGAAGTCTCCAGATGAAGAAACCATCCCGCAACCCACTGATTAAACAACCCGTTCATCTGGTCTCGGAATTTGAGCAACTTTGATTCAATCGGAACGAAGAGATGCCATGCACCCCGCAATACTGTCAAAGGGTAAATTCATGAGGCAATTCAGACCATCCCAGCTCGGCACTTCTGCATCTAGCCTATGATTGGCCCGCGGGACTCTTATATAGCGCCAAGGCTGGCAGATAAAGTGCACATATTGCCAAACCTGGGGAGCGAGGCTGGGCACAACAATCGACCCATCGCCTCGTCGAAAGTTCCCACAGGCAGAATAAGTCAATTTCAGAGTCTTCTCTCATTTGCGTTCCTTCGTTCGTCGTATACACCCGCGCCGGGGGTGTGCTCCCATTCGTCGTATCAAGGGTACCCACGATCTCTTGATTTGTGTTTCAATGCTTAATTCGTGCGAATCATCCCCTTTGAGCTCGTACCTGACGCCTCTTTTGCTCTTCCGGCCCTAAGTATCGGACGGAAGTGTGCCGTTAGTGCAAAGTCAGCAATAAGCCAAGCACTTTATTGAAGTTTCATATCATAAAAACATGCATTTCCAATTCCATGCACCTATCAGGCTGTTCTTAAGCCCCATTCGAAGCTTGAATCTATTCGTCAGGTGTTTTATCAAATTCTGCCAAGAAGCAAACTGCTCGTCGGGGCAAAACAGTCCTGTTGATCCGTAGGACGGCGAAACTTACGGCGGGACTTCCTAGTCCCCTCCTTCTCTTCTGGAAAACTGTTCATTCCATGGGTCACAAGGCCAAGAAGGGTAGAATATCCGTAAGTATCGGCCCTGGAGTTCCTGATCCCATTCAGGCACGGGGAAAGCCTCTTCAGGCCAAAGCACGGCATATCGCCAAGCTGTTCGTATAAGAAGGACATCGTCCTACCTCCCAATCCGAATCCCTCACCTCACCATCCACCACCTCAACTCTCCAGTTCTAGTCCGATCAAGATGAAGTTCACTTTGGGTTTGGCTGCTTGTGCGGCTGTTGTTGTTGCTACTCCAACCAAGACCGTCGAGAAGCGTGACGCCTCCCAGGCCAACGCAGCATGTGCTTCTGCTGTCACTCTCGCTGCGGGCTCTAACCCTTTCTCTGGTCGTACGCTCCATGCCAACTCTGCGTACGCCTCTGAGATTGCTGCGGCCATGCAAAGCGTTACGGATACCTCCATCCTCGCCCAAGCTTCTAAAGTGGCCCAAACTGGTTCTTTCTTGTGGATGTAAGTTCTAGTCCCCAGATCTTAGATTGACGCAGGTTACTAATTCAATGAACAGTGATACCATTGCCAGAGTCCCACTGGTTGCTCAGATGATGACCGAGACTCCTTGCACCGACATCATGGGTCTCGTCATTTATGATCTCCCAGGCCGTGATTGCGCAGCTAAGGCCTCCAACGGTGAACTCAAGACCGGCGAGTTGGCCAAGTACAAGTCCGACTACATTGACCGTGAGCTTTCCCTTCTTCACCACACAATCATCATCAAGCTAAATCTTTCCCAGCCATCGCTGCCGCCATCAAGGCTGCACCGAATGTAGCCGTTGCCCTGATCATCGAGCCCGATTCCCTCCCTAACTTGGTCACCAACGCAAACTTGACCACCTGCTCCTCCTCCAAATCCGACTACGAGTCCGGCGTCGCCTACGCCCTCAAGACGCTCAACTTCCCCAACGTTGCCATGTACATCGACGCCGGCCACGGCGGCTGGCTCGGCTGGGACGCCAACCTGAGTACGTTGACCTCCCCATTCCCCTCCACCTCCCTCCCCCACCACTCACTAACAAACCCCCTTTTAGAGCCCGGAGCAGCCGAAATCACCAAAGTCTACACAGCGGCCGGCTCCCCCAAGCAAGTCTTCGGCTTCTCCACCAACGTCGCCGGCTGGAACGCCTTCTCTCTCTCCCCGGGTGAATTCAGCACCGCCTCCGACGCCAAGTACAACAAATGCCAAGACGAGAAGACCTACATCGACACCTTCTCCCCGCTCATCAAATCCGGTGGCATGCCCGCACACGCCATCATGGACACGGGCCGCAACGCCGTGCAGGGCCTCCGCGCCGCGTGGGGCGACTGGTGCAACGTCAACGGCGCGGGCTTCGGCGTGCGTCCTACCAGCTCGACGGGCGATTCGCTCGTCGATGCGTTTGTGTGGGTTAAGCCCGGTGGAGAGAGTGATGGCACGAGTGACACGACCGCCGATCGGTATGATAGCTTTTGTGGGCATGATGATGCGTTTAAACCAGCGCCGCAGGCGGGACAGTGGAATGAGGCGTATTTTGAGATGTTGCTTAAGAATGCTAAGCCTGCTTTCTCTTGAGCGGGAGAGGGTGGTGATGGTGGGGGTGTTTAAAAGTTGGGGAATTGGGGGGGAGGGGGAGAGGGGAGGGAAGGGAAGGGAAGGGGAAAATGGAGGGAGATTGTATATATGACGAGAGAGCTCTTCGAATGCACATAATTCTTTGAGAGAAATGTTTTCTTTCCCTTCTTCACCATGTCAGCACAGTCAGTATGTTTGTTGGAGTTCGACCTAAACACCAGACGATCGAAAGAAAAACCTTTTCAGCCGCAAACTCCACTCCCATCCATTTAGCAATCCCCATTTCTCCCGCCAAATTGGGACGAGGCAGGGGTGCAGTTGAGCCTGAAAGAGTGGGGTTTCTGTACTTTGTGTGAAACGGTGGACAAATGAATGGCTATGGGGATTGTGTGTGGGGTCTTGTGGGGGATCCTGTAGGAGGAAGGGGAAGGCAGTGAGATGTTGGAGAGTCACGTGGTCGAGATCTTGTCTTTGAACGTGATGAAAGTCTTTCGTTGTAAAAGAGATGATCCGGCTTCGCCCAGTTTACGACTTTGACACTAGGAATTAAAAACTTGAAAGCTATAGTAAGACTTCTTAACTTCTTATTTATTTTTGTTCTATTTTCTTAGTACTGTACCTGTCTTTTCTTTCTCTCCTCTTCTATACTTTCCTGTAAAGCTAATACTTAAAGTCTTTAAGAGAGCTTAACTCTAGAGTTATTTTAGTTCTCGTCTTTTGACTAAGAGCGTTTGAATACTGAGATGACTCTAGAGTGAGAGCTTGACTAAGGTATGGTTTAGATTGTGTTGCAGGGGTACGAAAAAAACGTGTTTTTTTGTTTTTTTTTGGGAAAAATGTGACTTGCAATTAAGTTATAATCAGACCCTTGTAAGGTAGAGAAAATCGATAGCCTCGGAGGAACCTTTGATTTTGTACCTTAGTTAGTCAAAGGCATATCCTTCGGTTCTTGACCGGGAACGAGATTTTCGTTCCTCCTTCTCAAATATTCCAGTCAACAACGTCGTCAACCCTGGATATTTCCTTTCAAAGAAAACCAAGTGGCGTTTCTTATATAGTATGCGAAAGTCTACTTCGATAAAGCGAATCCAAGAAAACTTGAGTGCTCGCGTACGTGCCAGAACCGGCCTCGCTTTGCCCCGACCGACAGGACAAACCACTTATGATTTCTGTGACTCACATTGAATGTGGGTTTGAGACGTATAAATACCGATTCGGCCTCTCAGCGAGTAATCTTTTCTTTCGTCTAGAATAGCAGGTAGTCAAAGACTATCCGGCGGGTGCTGAAAAGAATTACTTCCAGTGATGTTATGTTACTCATGTTTTCAATCTTGGGGGAGTATCAGCAACACGTTGCGTACAAACGATGAGGTGAGTCGAGCATCCGGAACCCTTTCAGAATATAAGTAGGAGAAAGAGCGATGGCCCCGGTAGCTCGACATTAGGGAAGAGGAAGAGCGCAGCCGCCTTCTGAATGCGGCATCCCAATTGAGCATGAACTTGTCTCCAAGCCTTCCTCCCCAAATCTTCCTGTGTTTAGCTACTCCATCCACATCATCCCCTCTACTTTAATTTATTTCCAGTCTTTCCGTTCGTCCATTTCTTCTCTTATTTCACGAGAGCGGGAGTCAAGCAGCGATTGAAGGAATCTAAATCCCGTTGCACCCTCCCCGTGCGTGGGCGAAGGCGACAAGAACGCAGATACATACACAGCGAACTCGACCCGAACGCAATCAGCTCCAGCATGATACGTTGTTATCAACTCCATTCCATTGGAGTATGGTGGCGGAAGAAACCCATCGTGTGGCGTGCGAGCTCATGCGAAGCACGAAATGCAAGGATTAGAACTGTGCAACGGCTATCGTTAGACGGAGTCTGCTTTCCACGCTTTTGATTTCGACGCCGAAGCAGAGTTGGCCGGAAAAACCTTTGGTGTTTAGTTGGCCGTATGGGATTCGACTCCGAGTTTTCATCGCTGACAGTTTTAGGGTTCGTCGCTTTACCCAGATCCAGATCGAGCAGAGCAATCAATTTTTACCAGCAGATTTTGCATGCCACATGCACATACTGCTACAAAATACAGCCAACTTCAATTACTGAAGGAACATAAAAGATGATACCAGAGTCGTTATATTCTAGATACCCGGCACGGAGTTCTTGCGCCGAATCTTTCACAAAACACCACGGAAGCATGCTGTCGATCTTGCACGATTGATGCATGTTATTTCGTGACAACTTCAATGCAAATCCCAAGCGATATCCAGCTTCCTCTTTCGCATAGTCCCTACATATGGTCCAATGAAACTCTCAGACGATTTTCGATTCTCGATAATGACATACAGGCCTCAAGCGTTGGGTTCAAAAATGAAAGGGCTTGACAGAGTTCATCCACAACCCCGGTCTGAGGACAGCATTTTTCCAATAAAACCCTACCGAGCTCTTGAATTCTCTCCACCTTCTTCATGTTCCGGTTTGGCGGTGGGATGATGGAATCTGTCAATCCCCTTTCGTACAGTGGGGGAGCATCATTCCTGGGAGTCGAATTGACCAAACATCAAGGTAAGCGGCAAGGATGTTTTGGAAGGTGGGTGGTTATAAGTATGCCTGAGCTCGCTGTGCTCATGCATGCTCGTAGCTGTCTGAAGATCCTCTTGATATCAAACATCAAACGCAGCCATGGCCGAGGAAAAGATCCAATCGCCAATTACACCAGCAAGCGATTCCGACTCAACTCGAGAGGAATCGGACAACAAGACAACCACAGTTGTTGATGTAACCGAAAACAACGTCAGGGGAACATTGGCAGCAGGTCATCTAGACCACAGCAATCCATTCGCAGACCCTGCCGTAGCAGAACATTACAGAGATCTGTACGAGAAGTCGCAGTATGAAAGTCGCGCAGCATTTGATCCTACGCTAGAATGGACAAAGGAAGAGGAGAGGAAGCTGGTCCGCAAGTTGGATTGGCATGTTTGTTTGTGGGCTGTATGTATTTTGGCTTTATGATGGAAGAGGGATACTGATCAGGGTTGTATCAGTGTATCATGTTCTTTGCTCTTCAAGTGGATCGAGGGAATCTTAGTCAAGCAGTGTCGGATAACTTGTTGGATCAACTGCACTTGACTACTAATGGTAAGTTGCGCTATTTCCATCATTTACTTAGCTCACCGAGACTCTTTCTTATTTGGCTGTTCTCATGGTTGAGTTGAACTGTGCTGACTAGAACAATATACAGATTTCAATCATGGTACATTTTCCCTACTTCGAGCTCGGTCCATCAGCAGATTTTAACCTTCACTAGGCAACACCATCTTCCTCGCCTCATTCCTCTGCGCTGAAGTACCATCCCAACTTATTTCCAAAAGAATTGGACCCGACCGTTGGATTCCTACTCAAATGACTCTATGGTCCATCGTTGCCATGAGCCAAGTCTTTTTGTCTGGGAGAGCCAGCTTCTTCACTTGCCGTGCCCTTTTAGGTGTTCTTGAGGTGAGCATACCTAGTGTGCCGGACTTTTGAGTGCTGATGGAGTGAAACAGGGTGGGTTTATTCCAGATCTTGTGCTTTGGCTCTCCTATTTTTATACTAGTCGGGAGCTTCCTATCCGACTGAGGTAAGGTTTCCCAGGATCGCATACCAAATCTTCGCTGACCTTGGGATCAGCTTTTTCTGGACGGCTCTAGACGTCACCGGTATCCTCACCTCTCTACTAGCATTTGCGCTTCTTCATTTGGACGGTGTACATGGAGTAGCTGGATGGAGGTAAAATCCTATCACTTCCACACAAGGAATAAAGGTTAACAGTCCTTTTGCTAGATGGCTTTTCCTAATCGAAGGAATCATCACCCTAACCGTCGGCATCGCAGCCTTCTTCCTGATGCCCGCATCAGCCGTCCAAACAAAAGCCTGGTTCCGTCCCAACGGCTGGTTCACGGACCGTGAAGTCGGCATTGTGGTCAATCGCGTATTGCGAGACGATCCTTCCAAAGGCGACATGCACAATCGACAGTCCATTACACCTGCCAGACTATGGGAATCTATAAGAGATTATGACCTCTGGCCTGTAAGATCATCACACTGCCCCAAATTACTATCCACTGATCTGCAAGTAGATTTACGCTTTAGGCTTAATAGCCTATATCCCACAATCCCCTCCAGGAACATATCTAACCCTCACTCTCCGAGAAATTGGCTTTAGTCCAGTAAGTCACCCTCCTGTAACCCCGAAAAGGAACCACCAAGTTAACAAAACAGTTCACAACCAACCTCCTAACAATCCCCAACGCCGTCTTCGGAATCTTCACCCTCCTAGGCATAACCCGTCTCAGCGAAGCCGTCAACGAACGCACCTTCGTCTCCATGCTCCAACCGCTCTGGACCCTACCCTGCATCATTGCCCTGCGAGTCTGGAAAGGCTTGCTTATCGAGAAATGGCAGACTTACGCGTTGATGACGGTATTGCTTAGCTATCCTTACTGTCATGCTATTCTTGTGTAAGATCTCCCCTCCCCCCCTCTTCTCCAGCTTTACCTAGCGAAAATTGATTTTGATCCAGCGGGTGGACGTCAACAAACTCCAATTCAGTGCGCACACGGTCTATTTCCGCGGCTGTGTATAACAGTAAGTCTCCATCTTCCCCTTTCTCAACCCAACCTTCGAAGATAACTCAGCTAACGTTCCAAGTGTGCGTACAACTCGGCAACATCATCGCAGCCAATATCTACATCGCATCAGACAAGCCGCTCTATCATAAAGGAAATGATCACCTGCTACTCATCAACGGGCTGGTGATCGTGCTGTTCTTGTTTACGAAGGTGTATTATGTGACGAGAAATCGGGTGAGGGAGAGGAAGTGGGATGCGATGAGTACGGAGGAGAAAGATTATTATCGAGCTACGACGACGGATAGGGGGAATAAGAGGTTGGATTTTAGGTTTGCGCATTAGAGGGGTGGGTGGAGGAGGTTTTGATATCAGTTCCGCCATCTGTCATCCGAGATGATCTCCTCGAGCTTCGTTGCCGATCAAGGAATGAGAGTCGATCACGCCAAGGGTGGTTCTGCGAGTTCAAACAAGGATCTCTTCCGTGTTACTCACGCTTCCTCAGTACTTAGAGGGCAAAGTATCACGCAATCTGTGACATTGAGTAGAAGCAATTCATACCTCTACCAAAACTCAACTCAAATTTAAAACCAAAACATCAACCTCCAATCCCTTCAACCCCATCGTCGTAAGTGTATTCCCACTCACACTCCAACTCGAGCTCCCATACAGCACCTCCGTCACCGAAACCGCCGCCTCAGGCAACATAATCGTAACCTGCGACGAGAAATCGACGTACTCCCCACTCGCGACCCCAATCATCATCTGCGTGCCCACAATCCACGCACTAGCATCAACCAGCGGTTCGCCCTGGACGGGCAATCCTTTGATGGCGTTCGTGCCGAATATAAACGCCATTGCTGACGCTGATTGGAATACTTTTCCGAGTTCTCCACTTCCGACGTTGACATCGTTTGTACTGGGGTAGATCCAGTACGTGATGCCTTTCGCGTTGTGGTTGACGGAGAGCATCATCATGTTCTCGACTTCTGCGACGCTGGGGATGCTTTTCCAGTAATCCTGCTCGCCGAATGCTTGGATGACTGACCAGGTCGGTTTACTGATTTGACCGGGGAGGTTTGCTTGGTAGGTTTGGATATCGTCTAGGCGCGTCGAGACGTCTTCTAGGTCGCCGACGCAGTTGTCGCATCCGCAGTCTCCGTAGGTGAGGTTACATGGTGTGCCCCAGGGGATGGACCACGTTGCGTTGATGGCGACGGGGTAGGCGTCCTCGAAGATGATATCGGCTCCAGAGGCGTAGTCTGAGTAGAAGAAATTCTGGCAGTTTAGCACTAGGGATACTGGATGATAGGGATCGAGTTCTCGGAGTTGATCGTAGGCGAGCTTAGTTGAGTTTAAGGCGTACATCCACCCATCTGGCTCGTCGGCAGTGTACCACATCAACAACGTCGTTCGATTCTCCCAGAGAGCTACTTGCTCGCTGATTCTTGTCGAGTTCATGAATGCGAAGCGCATGTCGTAGATGTTGAATAGGTTCAATTCGTCCATTCGGTCCCAGTATTGGGCCAAGGAAGCAACTGGGTACGATTGGTCGGGCAATCCTCCGTCGGGCACAATGTTGATAGTGTTGAATCCTTGCGAGGCGTATGTGTCGAGGCCACTCAGACTGAAATTGCTGGGAGTTACATAGCCACCGTCGGCATAGTAGCCATTGGGAAAGATTGCATACCATCCTTTCCAGTTATTGAAAGCATTTTGAACGTACAGACCTCCATAGAGATTATCAATCTTGACTGCACTGCCGGATGTACGGGATGGTAAGATGTAAATTTCCGTGCTTGCAGTATACGTCTGCTGTCCATCCGGAGAAGTGCCATAAATGGAAATCGTATATGGCTGAGTTCTTGCCTGGAAAGTCGAGAATGAGAAGCCAATGAGGTTGCCAGTGGAGTTGACAGGGACGGAGTTGGACACGAGTAGTGATCCAGATTCTTCACTGTAAATCTCATAATCCATAGTCGTGAATGGGTTCCCCGCTTCTTGGCCAGGTGTGTCGTAGCTGACATTTTTGTACGACTGGCCGAAAATGTGTGAAATCGTGGCATCAACGATGAAAGATCCAGACTCGTCACTCTCGAGAAATATTGAGTATCTTGGCTGAATAGCGACATACAGTAATGGATTGGCCTGTGGCGTTGGGAACTGGAATTGTCCGCCTGGATCCAGAGAATGGTTGCTGTCAATGTCAGTCAAATACTCGGTCATCAAAGAATTACTTACGAGCTCATATACGGCTTTCCGCACCAAGCTGGGACACTCGGAGGAGCATTGAACGCCACAGTCTCCGTACCCATCAACAGTCCCACCAGAGCTGCCGGCCACGACTTCAGAAACCCCATATTGACCGCCTTTGAGCTCGAAACCCAATTGACAGGAGCTTGGTTGGGAGTTCCGGAGCCTCGACGCCACGAGTCGAAGACATTCTCCAATACGTACCAAGAAAGCATGTTTATATGACCGGCGGCGGCGGCGACGACCGGGTTCCCCTCAACCACGACCGCCGTTCCTGCATGGCATGGCTAATCTGGATCAGCGTCCACGTGATGCGACGTGCATAATGCAACGTTCCACGATAAGAAGGCGCGATGGAATTGAGCAATCAAGTCCACTCTTGACGTCTGACCGTCTTACCTACGGGGGGGAGGGGGGGGGGTTGTGGTTCTGCAGCTACTTTGTGTCGATCTCGGTCAAGCTTTTTGGAGGCGCAGGAGGGTGAGGCGTTGGTTGGAGCCAGATTGCCGCGTCCCGAATAAGAAGGCGGAATCGTGCATTGATACCCGTGCGATATCTTAGGACATCTGTTTATGAGGGCTCCACTAAGATCTCTGTGGCCTTAATATTTCGAGAGAGTAGATATCGCTGTTGAAAAGAGTACTTCCATGAAAACAAATCTCGGACTGAGATTCGAGTTGGTGTTCGGATCCAAATTTCGGAACCCTCCCGGCTCGGCTAAAGATTGCCGAAAGCCTGTCTAGCGAGAGATTCAGTCTCCCCGCACGCTCCGTTGTTTACTAATCTGATAGCCACCTCACTTGTGAACCAAAACTTCGTCCCTTTGGATTTCACAAACCCGGTATTCAAGATAGCTTCTTTGATATGAGGAGCGGGGAGAATGACAAGAGATAGCAGCTGTTGCACAGTTGAGGTTCTGCTGAAAATTGACGAGATATTTTCTTTACCAAAACCTGTTGCGATATCAGAAGCTTGTGCTATAACTGCGTATGATTGATTTCATCATTAATTTTGCTTGGTTTCTTGACCGCAATCTGAGCATCATTCTTGCACGAATGAGGTAAATTCTTGAGAGGCGCAATCTCGGGAAGAAGATATATATATATCAGAATCTCGACAAAAAACACTTCAACTCTTCTTCCTATTCTTATAGAACATTTCCATCTCCAACCTCGCACCCTCCCATCTATCCATCAACTCCCTCTCATTCCGCTGCAGCTCACTTCCCACCCACCAAAGCTTCGCATGCACACTTCTCACGCCTTTCCTCACATCATTCATATTCGGCAGATTGATATTCCACTCCCCATGTCTTCCACCCAGTCTCCGCCAGGGCATATTCCCAAACTCCCGGTGCGCATAATTCAACAAGTTCTGTTCCGGATACGTGGGATCAAATCTGTTGGTGATGTTCAGGAGTGAGAGGTAGTAATTGAACAAGGCGAGCGAGGGTGAGAAGAGGAAGAATCCCGCGTTGAAGTTGCGCCATGCGTGGGGAGGGTAGGGATGCATGGTGTGAAGAACCTCGGGGAGAGATGCAAAGAGGTAGGTTGGTGGTAGAGGCGCTTCGTTATCTTCTTGTATGACTTGTTGTGAAGTATTGAGAGGGAATGAGGCTGGGTCGGAGAAGATGCCGTCCATGGGTTTGAGAATAAATGTATCGGCATCTAGGAACAAGATTCGAGAGTATTCGGTGAGTTCGAAGAGGCGGAGCTTTGACATGACGTTCTGCCAACGATGGGCTCCAGGCTTGATCCAACTGGGAACTTTGATGAGCGAAATTGGTATGATGGTTGCTCCTTCTTCGGCTAGTTGATCAACTTGATATTGTGGCACGTCCAGCGGTGTGAGAACGAGGAATGGAATCTCAGTCTTCGAACGTGTGGACTTGCAGTGTTGCAGTTGATAATTCAGCATTCGCGTGCTAGTGAAATATCTTTCCGCTTCGACGACATCATCCTCTCCCGGATCGGGTGGGAGGAGAAGGGTAACAAAAGCGACCCGAGAATCCTCAAATTTACCATTATGACCAGCTCGTGGTAGTTTCACATCCTCGAAGAGCTGCTCTCTGACCCGTCGATAAATCACAATGAAAAGGAACAAGACAAGCAGTACCGGGAACAATCTAGAAGACCTCTTTGGACGATGACGATGACTGAAGCCTTTGGGCGACACTGCCATACTCAAACAAATACTGCCACATTGGGACGAGAGTGGATACTGCTGCTGCGGGACGGGAAGTGCACGTCTTTTTTTAATGCTCGCTGCATCTCTCAAGCATGTGCCGGGTGGTGACACCGGCGGTGCTGGAACATGCGGGGTATTTTACATTAATATGTGCAATCTAGGCAAAACCCGAAGCCAAGTGAAGCCAAGGAAATACCGTCGATAACACCGAATAAGGATGTGAAACTCATATGAATACTTAGTGTCTGTGGTGAGTGTTGCTTAATCGGACACTGGTCGGTCCAGATTGATTAGAAAATCCACCTTGGGATATCTGCAGCACGGAGAGCTAGATTCCGCAGGATGGAAACAGTAATCGAAAATAGGTTGATTCAAAAAGATCGTCTCGTGTATTGAAAGAAGAATGACAAGAACTAACTCCAGATAAGAATTCATAAGACACGCTGTGGAAGTGCAGGCTGCTCTGATCGCAGAATGTTTGTCTTCGAGCACGATCTCAAGTCCGAAGATTATTAAGATCTAAGACACGCAGGGCAACGAATACGTCGCCTCTGGACAAAGAATTGTTGATGAAGGAAGAGATGTTTGTTGAGGGGAGAAATTTCAGGGTTGAGGGTACCTGAACCCTTACTTCGTTACGAGCCTTCCATATTAAGTCTGTGCTCTTCAGGGCATCTTTTTTTCGGCTTTAGCGAGGCTTTTGAGCCTGAACATTTCAAAAATCGCGACTATCACTTTGAAAAAACATAAGAGATATAAAGCAAAATTGTATGTAATGTTGCATCCAAGCAACAAAATGGCCGGAGTTAATTATAAACCAATTACTTTTTGACTTTTCAGAAAACACCCTGTAGCGCACAGACTTAAAGTGGAAGGCTCGTGTGGCGGAGAAGACGCTAACCTTAACCGAATTCGCCTCGAGGTTATCCAAACGTCGCAACCCATTCATTCCTACGTAGAAAGCAACCTCGAAATCATACATCGCAATATTTCTGCCATGACAGACCCCAGCGACAATGATGAGAAGTACATAGTCTCTCCGCAGGCTGCTGTTGAACGAACGAGCGCCTCCAAGACTCGATAGCAGAGACACGAAAAGGCACCATCTTCTGCCGACCATCCCCGCGCGTACAGCCTTCGATTGAAGCAGGCATAAGGCTTTGGGACAATATTGATTGAGGCTTTGGCGCATATACATGGCCTGGAGGCGTTCCTGCGGGATGTACAGCAAGATTAATCGCCCGATGTCTTCGAAAAGTGGTCGGAAGCCGTGTGTCTTTGCGCTGTATTCGTGATTTTGGCGTACAACTCCGTCATTACAATATTTGTCGAAGTCGAAGGATCGGTAGATCTATACTCTTTTTCTGCTATTTAGAAGTGCAATAATAGATGTATTGTATCTCACTGCTGCTTTTTCCATGTGTTGTTTGTGTCTGTTCTTCAATTGACGCGCTGTTCCTGTCCAGCCACCAATCCAAGCTCATATCACAATGCAGGTGCTTTGCAGTGCGAAGCGCTTGGTCAGGCAGAGCTGCAGGTTGTTCGCCCCGCGAGGCTGAGTACACCGAACCGCCATTGAGCATCTCAATTATCAACTGAGCTCGGCGGCTCCCTTCAATTCTCTACTCATGAAACATGGTCGACGATATTATCTTACTATATTCACAATTGGGTTCTTAGCTCTTCTGCGCACACACCAGGACTAATTATGGAGGCTGTTGCGGCAGTCGCCAGCATTGCTGGAATCATCGGCCTTGTTGGCCAAGCGCTGAATGGGATCATCATTCTACGCGGATTCTTCCAAAGCTGTGCCTCAGAGTCGCACGCCATTCAAAGATTCTTGAAACGACTCAATGACTTGATTCAAATTATTGAACACGCGAGAGATTTGATGATAAAGCTGAGCAGTGCCCCACCAAAGATCGTGCCAGAGTCTATCCTAGCCTCGTTACAAATCCAACTTGACGATTGCAATAAAGATGTGTACGGATGGCTAGCGATTGCTAGAGAGTGCCTGCCAGCATCAAATGCGGGAACGAAGGCAGCTTTCAAGAAGTTCTTAGTTGCACTTGAGAGGCAAAAGATGACGGATATCTACATGGAGATTTCGGTTCACAAAGATAATACTATGACGAAGTTGTCTGTAATTGGAAGGTGAGCCAAACTCGATCGTTCCGTCCTCACAGTAGCGAACCTCTGCTAAGCCGCAAAGATGCTTTGATATTGACCAGTCCGCAACCTTGGAAGCGCTCTGTGAAAGGTTGAAAGTATGGGACGGCATGGAACAATCGATGCAACTCGTGAATGGAGGCAAGCAAGAGACCAACTCCTCAATTCATGAGACTATGTCCCAGGCTGGTAGCTCCTCGCTAGCAAGCATCGCAGAAAGTCTCTCTAGGATTGAAAACACGATAGGGGATTTTATCGGGCCGAGTAAGTCTAGATACGGCTCACCATCGGCGTCCATTGGTAGTCTCGATTCTGCATCTGTATCAGGAGGGCGTGGGCGTGGATGGGGCTCTGAACCAAGTCAATATTCGACTTCTACGTCCCCTCGTAATCGTGAAAGCGTCTCTTCCATCTCAGAACGGATAACGCAGTCGCTGCTGGATGCTCGAAGCCCACTGAGTGAATCTCGATATTCAGCAGCAAGCCAGGACGGTGCACCAATCGCTAACTATTATGAAGCTCATCAGCATTCTCCACAGGATGGCTGTCTGGGTGTTCATTATAATCAGTCGACTCAAATGTCCCGCAGAGGATTCATCCAGGAGACAACAAAGTACATTGATCTCATCCTCCTAGCAGAAGCCATCATTTCGAAGATCAAACTATTCAAGTCAGCACCATCATTCTTCTTCGGGCTTTCCGATCAGATATTACAAGCTGAGATCGACTCGCTCGAAGACCAACTTTGCACAATCCGCTCCGAAGCAACGGTTCTTCAGATTGCTTGTTGGAGAAGAGGATTAAACACAGAGGACCTTGACTCCCATATGGCTGAATGTCGAAAGTCTGGGTCAGAACTTCCAGATATGAGTGGTGATGTCCCAGCTAAGGAGAGGAGTGGCCCAGCACCAGCAGGCAAAAACCTTCGCCTGAACACATTGAAGATAGACGCGACTCGGCACGATCGAATCAATATGTGGTTGCTCAACAATCTCGAGGCATCTAAGAAAGAGATGAGACGCCATCGTTCGTTCCTCCCAAATTCCGTGACTTTGGATAAGGAGCAGTGGGCGCGCATGGTATTGAAGTTTTGGCTGTTGGATGAAGCGGCAGTTGGTCCTGAGGACGAGTGTTTCTCCTCCATCGGTGCCGTGGATAGTGATGGATTGTGCCATTCAGAGAGAGTCTTGTTTGAAGTAGAGAATCCTACCTGAATGATTTTGCCCGACGGTGTTGATAGCGATTTACTATACATATGTACTTAATACCTTGCCTGCAAAGATCAGTAGGCCCTCCTCATAGATCTCTCCGATCTTCGACATACTTCCCTTTCTTTGGGCATTTCTGCTGTCAACTGACTAGCTCGAGATCTCAAGAATCAGAACTGGTCAAAAGGAATCTTCCGATCATCGAAGGCAAGAGCTCGCAAGCTATCGGCTAGAGAGATCGCAGGAAGCAGAGCCTCGTTTTCGTGTTACTCTTTTTTTTTATCTAGTCAGAACCGTCTGATTCGTGAAGGATTCGGGGGATGAAGTAATCATTGCGTGTAGTGACGATTGCCAAGTGCAAATCAGCCTCATACTTTTAGCCCTTGGACAACGGTTTAGTTCAATTTGCACTGCTATTTCTGTTCACGACTTAGTTATACTCTCTCATCACTGCTTCCGGCACTTCACTTAGTGCAAAGTCTGTTCTCTGGTTTTCCTCCGTCACGGAGCAATTCTCCACGTGATGCTTACCTTTGCAAACTTTGTCGAGTTTCAAGTCAGTCGCATCGCGTAGCATTCTGCGCGCCTACTCGTCGATTGATACATAGTTTCAGCCTAAAGAGGCTTGGAAGTGCTGTACCTTACTGACGGTCGCATCGCTTGTGAGGAAAGGGTATAGCTTTGCGAGGGTTGCTGCAGATCTGCCGCTCTTTCATGCCTTTACAGTTTTATCGATAATCCTAGGGTAAATCTCCGAAAGCAACCCCTACTTAACGAAGACATGCTTATCGAAAGAGTCTAGAGAACATCGGCTACGTTGGTAATCTTTTTCGTACTATGCCTAATCAATGCGAACGGTTTGATGCACGTCAACCGGTTTTCAACCGAATTGGTTTTTATACCTAGGATGATCCGTGTCAAAATGGCCACGTCCAGTAGCCGTCCTTTTTGCATGCCATTCTGACATCTATCACGGTACGGAAAGACCAGCCTCTCGTCATGCTCACCACTTCGGATGATCCTATCGCATTCAAGAAAGCTACAAATTCTCGAATGCCTCGGCTTCCAAGCATGGTGACGTGGGGAAACATCCCTCTTCTTGGGATGCCCCCGGATCAGAACGCTCGACTTGCATAGGAGAGCCTCGATGATGGCGCCAATTATGACACAACATCTCCTTGAACACTCACGCGAACACGAGCATGCATATTTTTCCCTTTCTTTCAGCCTTGCTTGCGAATAGAAGTCTAGCCAATGATGATATCAATCGTCTGATCTCCGTATGATGATGCAAATCATCACATCCTATTGTCCATAAATACAAAGGTTCATCCACTGGATAACCTTCTCTCATCATCATCATTATCCTTAACACCAGGTTGATAGTGCTCTTTACTAAAGATCATAATTTCTATTCCCACTCAGCATGTCTGCCATTTTCCTCTTGGCTCTGCTATCAGCCTCTGCCTTTGCGGCTCCTGCTCCCGTCACGGAAGCAGACACCAACAGTACCGATCCCACCGCCGCCGCTCAAGCATCTGCTCTTAGCACCGCAAACACTCTTGGCACCCAGGCCGCCAACTTCCCTAGTGCAGGACAGAATATCTCCGATCTAGGAGACTCACTCACCACCTACGAGACAAACCTTGGCACAACCCTCAACCTTCAAGACACGCAAAATGGCGGCGGCGCATGCACAGCAATGACCGTCATCTTCGCTCGCGGAACAACAGAGCCAGGAAATGTAGGCATTCTCGCCGGTCCGCCATTCTTCAGCGCTCTCGAAGCAATGGTAGGAGCTAGTGCCGTAACGGTACAAGGCGTTGACTACCCTGCCGATATCCCAGGCTTCTTGGTCGGAGGAAGTCCTCAAGGTAGTCAGACTATGTAAGCTCCCCATCACAAACAGGGGATGAACTCAAGCTGATTTCGATACAGGGCAGACATGATAACCAAAGCTCTAAGCGACTGTCCCAGCACAAAGGTCGTTATGTCTGGTTATTCTCAGGGCGGTCAACTGGTACACAACGCTGCGAAGTTGCTTCCTGCCAGCACAATGGCTAAAGTGAACTCGGTCGTCATCTTCGGTGACCCAGGTAAGCTACCACTTTACTCTACAGCATCTTCGAATCATGAAACTGACACGGTACAAAGATGACGGAGAGGCCGTCCAAGGCGCATCGGCTGCTAAGACCAAAGTCATCTGCCACACCGGAGACGACATTTGCCTCCACGGCGACCTCGTCCTGGCGCCCCATCTCACGTATTCGGAAAACGCTGGCGAAGCAGCGAGTTTCGTTGCCGCCGTCGCGGATCTGGCTGTTGGGAATTGAAGAATAGAGTTTGAGGCGTTTTTTTAATGGAGTCCTGGTGACATGGGAGTAATCCAGCATGATAGCATGGAGTTGTTGAGCGTCTCTGGATAAGGACGCATTGCACGCAGCGCTGGCACGAACACTGTGCTGGGCACTGATTGCAATTGGATTTGTATTGTTTGGTCCTTTTGAGATCTTGGGAGATGATATGGGCAGTATGTAGATATCCACAACTGTCAAATGTCATTATTGATAAAATGTCCTCTACCATTAAAATAGCCTATCTTCCGAGATGCCTGTAAGCCACAAGGTAGTGAATTATAGCTTTGCTTGTGAAATTTTTCAATTGTCTAGTGGGAAAAGTGAATAGCTGGGAAATAAAGAAGCAAACTCCTGATTTTTATATGCACAACATATTTATTCTAAGTACAGGTACAGTTTCGAAAAGCAAAGATAAAGATTCATAAACAAAACCCACAGCCCCTACTCCGCAACATAGACAAATTCTTCCTATATCACTCGACACTGCCGCTTATCATAACAAGAAAACAAACGAGCATTGTAGAGTGACAGTTAACCGATGTAAAAGAATCGTATATACCAATCGGTCACCACAGATCAACTAGTCGTGCATCCCTCAGTAGCAGCAGTCTTAGCCCGCTTCGCATTCCGCACAACAAAGCCATCATCTTCCGCGTCTCTCTTTCTCTTAGCCTCAGCCGCCGCAGCTGCAGGATCGGTACTCAGAACCGTAGCCACGACCCGCAAGCTCGCCCAGGTACCCGCTGCAACGATACTCGCGCCCACAGTGCGGGCGTCGTCAAAGAGATAAGCGCTCGAAGCACCCATCAAGACTCGTCTTTGCTTAGCCATGACCTGCGTCTCTTGTGTGATTTGCCTTCTAATCAACTCGGCGACTCGCTGGTCACAGTACCCTCTGTACAGTGCTAACTGTTCCGTCAAGTCTGGGTTGTTGTCAGCGCTCATTTGGTAGAGAGCTTCGACGAACTCTTGGTAGCGGGCGAGAGTTAATATCGCATCTGCGTTTGTAGGTGGCGGTGTTGTTGTTGTTGGATCGACAGGTGGTGGTGGCTGTCTGACTCTCCTAGCAGCGTCTTCTGCGGCTTTTCTTGCGGCGGCAGCAATATCTGCTGCTCTTTTATCGTCTTCTCTCTTTTTCTTGTCTTGGATCGCTTGTCGACGTCTGCGTCTCTCGGCTCGCATCTCTTGGTTTATTCGTGCATCGTCGATTGCCTTTTGAGTTGCGGCGTCTGCTGCTTTCTGAGCTTCGGCGGCTGCTATTTTGACCTAGTTCTTGTTAGCTTTTGTCATGCTCTCAGGAATTCATGTGCTTACCGGGTCAGTCTCTACAAATAAGGAGGCTAAGATGCCGAGATAAGTAGTAGGTGGAGGTCGTTGCGGGGGATCTTGTGGTGGTTGGTATTCCTCTGAGTCTCCGAATGGAGGGATCGTATCACGGAAAATCGTTGCAATCTCAATGAGCCTGTTGAAGTTTCTCAGATCTGTTGGTACGAGTTGAGTCTGGTAAGACGGGAGTGCGCTCTGATAGAAGGCTAATGTTTGAATATACTTTGCTGCTCTGGCTTGCGCGTGGACGGTTGTCTCCTCAGTAAAGGTTTGTCTAGTCAACAACGCGAACATCTCTTCGCAATCTATTCGGACTTGCTCGATATGCCCAAGTGCGGAAATCCTGGCAGGGCTATCCTCAGTTGAAGGCGTGTTGAATGTTCTCAGCTCATCAGCATATCTTCTGAAGTCAGCGGTAAGGATACACCCAGGTTCAACTGTCGCAGGCGGAGCCGGAAGCGGCCCTGCAAAGTTGGTTGCATATGCTCTCAATCGAATAAGAGTATTAGCGGTGATACCATCTTTAGGCTCTGTCCAGTCCTTCACCTTTTCGTATGCAGCATTCTTAGTTTTCCACAAGGCGGCCCTCTGGGCGACCAGAGCTTCGTTTTCTATGCCTTGATTGGTGCGCGCAAGAAGCTCATATCTCTCTCGAGCAAAGGCTCCGACTGAGAGACAAGCTGCCTTGAATTCTGCGTTTGTTCCGCTCATGAATGGCCCCATCAATTCATTCAGACGTTCACTAGCGTAGTATAGATCCGCAGTATTGAGACGAACTTTGGCGGAGTAGAAGGGAACTGTACCAGCGGCGATGTCCATGAACGTTGTCAATCTGTCAAAGGTGTCCGTTTCTGCTGCATTCAACGTCGCAGCGTCGGCCGCTATCGCGTTATACGCAGCAGCGTGTTTCCTTTTGTATTGGGCTACTCTCTCAAGAGCTAATACAGGATTCTCATCCGTGAGATTCGCAGCTTCTAATTTGGCAGCCGTGGCGCGAGCAAGCGCAGCAATCGATGTGCAAGCATCTCTGAGTTTGATATTGGTTCCGCTTGCGTTTGCAGCCAAACGTGTCAGCTCTATATCGGCTTGCTCAAGTAGAAACCTAGTGAGAAGCTGTGGAGTTGGCAACCTTGGAGCGGCTCTCGCTCTTCCCATCAATTCGGTGACGATAGCTCTTAACTCTCCCAGACCCCTCAGACTGTTGGTGTCGGTCAATCTAGGTGCATTGAGTACCAATCGATAATGTTCAACCCAGTATGTTGGCCGCCAATCAGCCATATCTTCGGGTTCTACTCTTAAGTTCTTCGCGGTCAGTACAGCTGAATGACGCTCGTTAATCCGTAGTCTAATTTCAGCCGCCAACCTTTTGATGGCTGGGTGCGCCGTTGCAGAGTCCACCAATTCTACCATTTGCGAAAGTGCTGAAAATCTCTGAGGGGTTATGAGAACAATTGGAACGGTGAGTGGTGTTGGAACTCCTGCCGCAAACGCTGCATCATGCGCTGCAAGAAGTGCTACTCTTTCCGTCTCGGCTTCAGCAGCTAATCGAGCATCTCTCTCCTCAGGAGTCTCTGTTGGCGATCCTGGCTGAGAATTTGTAGGCGAGCTTGCTGGCATTACTCGCGCAACTCGTCTTCCAGCTAAATATTCAGCACCCACTCTGACACCCCAAGGGTACGGATGAACCCAAGTTACACGCGCTCCACTCGCAGCCGAGTAGTTGCCTGTCCTTCTCTCGTAATCCATAACCGCAAAATCTCCGAAGGCCGTCTGCGTGGCGTACGGAGTACTCGTACTCAGGAAAAGTAACTCATGCTCATCGGCCTTCCAGGATCTGGGGATGCTATCGTTGTCTACAGCTGCACCCGGGAAGAACCAGTTGCCCTGATCTACCCGAAGTATTGGCAAGCCTTCACCACCAAACTCGACACGAGGGAGATCCTCTGGAAGGTCGAACGGGAGATGCAGACGTTGGACCATTCGATGGGGGATGTGGCGCTCTTCGCCCATAATATTGCGGAAGCGAGGGTTGGGATCAGCGTCGTTCTCGGTCAAGTACAAAACCAAGCTACCCTCTCTCCAAGCTCCTCTCGCCATTACCATTCCCGCGGCGATCAGCCCAGCAGTATTAGCATCGGCTATACTGGTACCATCTTTCAGGGTTGGGTGGATGATTCTTCCTAGGCGGAATCTGAGTGGCATCGCCCCATCAACATATACTTCGGGAGTCCACGCACGAAGCTCTTGGTCCAAGCCTTGCTTGCGAGTGTTCAGCCACTCCTGTTGAAATCTCAATCCCCAAGGAAACTCGAAGGTTTCGGTAAGAACGCCAGCCGCCAGATTGCCACGTCTCATTTCATAATCTGTGACTCTTACCAGCGCATTGGCGCCAAGCGCGTCCCGATTTTCTGCTGGAGTAAGCTGTAGCAGCAGTTCTTGGTCTAGTGCATCCCATTCTTGAACCTCGGAGTGCAAACCCGGGCCACGACCGCTCCCGACCCGAGTCCCAGCTGCCAACTGCGGCACGGATCGAAGCATAGGAAGACCTACACCATCGCCTGCCAACGTGACGTTTTCTGGTATTCCCCATGGGAAAACAACCGGCTGGATCATACGCCATGGAACGTGCTTCATCAAAGTTCCTGCCATGTTGAGAAAGAACGGATATGGCTCGGCCTCATCGTCGAGATATAGAACGAAACTGCCAACCACGAAGTCGCTGCCACGAGGAGCAGGAGCAGGAGCAGCAGCAAAATGTTCTGTTGGAAGCATAAATTCTGCGGCCAATTCTCTTCTGGTGTCTCGAAATCTGGTATTGAGCGTTAAAGGTGATCCATTCTTGAGGGTTGGAGCAATGATGCGGCCAATTCGGAACTTTCTAGCAGCAGGCTTCTGTGGAACCACATAAGGCGTTGTACCCGGAGGAGCGTTCTCACCCGTACCGTCGGTGATATCCCAGAGAAAGAGACACCGCTCCCTCATCGTGTCTGTGATGGGGATTTCTGTGAGATGGTATGGGCCATCTGGGTTTGTCATATCAAATGCCATATCATCCGCGAGTGCCCTCGTTGATTCAATTCTTTCGTCATATGCCGCTATTTGAAGCTGGGGCGTTAGATTAGGGTCAACCACTGGGGCCCTGTATTGACCATGATTAAAGCTGCGGGGAGCCCAAGGATGCTGACCCTTCATATGCTCGTAGTAGAAACCGTCACTGGAGGCCTGGAGTCCGCAGACCTCGCACGTACGGACAGTTCCAGCAGAATCATTACTTACTGCCAAAGGAGGTGCCAAAAACAGATACTGTGGCCGATTTTCAGATGCGGGCGGCCAATCTGGGCTCCATGGCACCAGATTTTCATTATTCTTTCTCGTCGCTCGAATTCTGTCGATATTAGCATCCGTAGGAGCATTGATATTTGGATCCGTATTGATGAATCGCTTAGGAGGCATTGCGACTTTGGTGATCTTCAGATCGGGAGCAAAATTGATAACTTTGTTTCAGCTCAGCTAGGGAAAATGAATTTAAGTTGGAAACAAGAGACCGTTCTCAAACATTTCACCTAAGCTATATACCAGACAAGGACAATAAAGGACAAGTACCCTTTCAATGAAAATTATTGACCTTGTATGGCCTTTCGGTATCGAGGCTAACAATTAAAAGCTCCTCGAGTGCACGCTTGCGTCTGGTGCTCTTTGTTCTCTTCGCGAAATGCTTGCAAACGGACATCGACTACACACAGCTAAAAGGATTCATTTACAGTTAACAACATCAGTCAACTTTTGTTCCCCACAAAGAAACCTGATTAGACAGCGACATAGCTAGGTGATATCAGTCACGTGATTACCCCTCTCTCATCTAATAAGAGAAAGTTGCTCACTCCACTTTGGTTGACGAAGTTGTTGTGTTTATTTGTAGGTCAAGGAATCTGATTTTCATATCGAGGTTAGACTCAAAGATTCGCTGAACGTGATAGTGTGGGTAAAATGCACACATAACAAAGAACTGACCAACCAAGGAATACCAAAATAATTTGAAAACAAATACATAATAAGAACTGTAGAGAGGTTATGGTAATTCAAACGTTGCACATTCTGCCAGCTCTCGTTGGTTTGGCAAGTAGACAATCCAAAGCATCTCGAATGGCACGATTCCACATGGATCTCAAGATGGGCAAAGCGAAAAAAGACAAAGAAGGTACAACAATCGCAATATTCATTGTAAAATGAAAGGGCAAAAGAGATATGGAAAACATGATACCAAAAACGAATTGACAGAATTATAGCCAATGTCAAAGGCAGTAACACTGCTGGCGCACAAATCCGCTTGTCTTTGCCAACGGCTGACATGAACAAGCATTCATATTGTCTCTTAACATGGACGTCTATGGGGGTATATGCTTGACACAGAGAACGCCTGTCCGTACTCCGTATATGCAGAATTTTGTCATCGTGACAATTATTGCATGTTCTCCGACGTTGGCTTTCCGTCACACAATCCTCACCAGCTTTATGATATAGTCGCTTCTGCACCGCTCGCCTTTATTACCCCATCTCCAGAATTGCGTGCCGGCACTGCCATCGGACGACCCCTCGATTTCGATGTAAGTTTCACAAGTTCTTTGAGCATTAATTCTCGGGTGTCGCGAGTCAGATCTTCGACATCGGCAGCCGTCAAATTCTTCGTCTCGATAGGTTTCAAGACTGGGTTGTGTCAGCGTGGCCAGTGAGACTGGACGCAATTGTCCCTACCTTTGACCGGAATTTCCCCCGCGTTGAACCTTCTTCCTTGCACATATAGGACGTCGGAATAGTTACCCACGACCACTGGCACAATCGGAACACCAGCTTGAACAGCCAAGTGGAACGCTCCCTTTTTGAAAGGCAGAAGCATGGGCTCTTTCGCATAGCTTCTGGTGCCCTCTGGAAACATGAAGACACTTTGCTTTTCCCTTGTGATCTCCTCTGAGGCCCCTGCCATTGCATGCCTTGCGCTCGATGAATTGGCTCGATCAATAAAGACCGTTCCAGAGAGTGCCATGTACCAACCGAGAATGGGAACGTTCTTCAGTGATTTCTTAGCAGACACTGAACAGTATTTCGGGAAGATCCATCCCAGCGCCAGTACGTCCAGCTCCGTCTGATGATTCCCAATGATCACTGCAGGTCGTGTGTTCTTGAGGTAGCCGTTGGGATCATCGATCTTGAAGGTTACGCCAGTCGTGAAGCGCATGACATATTTGAAGCTGCGAGCTGTGGCCCACTGTGCCAGACGCACATTTCCAAATAAACGGAGAAGTATAGACGCAAAGACTCCATACCAAGCGCATATGACTAGTGAAGCATACGATGCTAGGAGGCGCGCAAAGAACCCAGCCGCTTCCACTCGTAATGAGAGCATATAGAGAAAGATGGTCAGTCCGAAGTATCCAGTTGCGAGCAAGCCGAGGTAGTAGAAGATGGACAACATGTCTATGACACGGCAGCGGCCAAGTGGCGTGTTGAATCTGTTGCACAATCGTCGAGCCCCTCTCGAGGGAGGAGGAGAGCGAACATAGAATGTCTCAGAGACGGTGGAGGATTTATGTTGAGGATTGGAAAGAAGAGATCTGGAGGCTTTTGGGTGGAGTTTTGCCGAAGACGCTAACCTTACTGTAGTGAATTAAGGTTGGGCCGATGGCCGACGACGGATGATTTGACAGAGAACGTCACCGGACGAACTTTTTCTCACCTCACATGAATTTCTCAAGTTTACCTATTTGGAGTCTTATGATCACGAGGAGACCGTCATATTTGTTGTATTATTTTCACAATGGGATCCATTGAGGGTGTGACAAATATCACTGTCGGCGTGCTCGCTCTGCAAGGCGCTTTCAACGAGCACGTGCAGCTGTTGAGACAAGCGGCCAAGATCCTGTCTACCAAGGAAACCGTAGAAAGGACTTGGTCATTCACAGAAGTTCGGACCGAGCCGGAATTGAGATCATGCGATGCTCTGATTCTTCCAGGAGGAGAGAGTACTGCGATTTCGCTGGTAGCACAGAGATCCAATATGTTGGAACCCCTTCGAGATTTTGTCAAGTGAGTCATTCGAGGAGTTGTGAGATACTTTTGACTAACAAACATAGGGTTACAAGAAAACCAACTTGGGGAACTTGTGCAGGTCTGATATTGCTTGCCGAGTCTGCAAATCGAACCAAGAAGGGCGGCCAGGAGCTCATTGGCGGTCTCGATGTTCGAGTCAATAGAAATCACTTTGGACGACAAATAGAAAGCTTCGAAGCGGACCTTAATCTTCCATTCTTGAGTGATGGGGATGATCTAGGGTCGGACAAGCATCGATCACCTTTCCGAGCAATTTTCATCCGAGCCCCTATCGTGGAGAAATTGTTGCCGCATGTGGCTGGAGAGCAGCAAGGAGAAGCGAGCATTGGCGATACAATCGTTGCGCCGTCTCGGACAATCGACGAGAGTGTGGCCAGAGGCATCAATTTAGGAGAAGTGGAAATCATGGGTACTCTACCTGGTCGAGCTGCTGCTCTGAAAACCGACGAAAACACAGGGAAATTAGATGCAGAGGCGGGTGATATCATTGCCGTGCGGCAAGCAAATGTGTTTGGCACCAGCTTTCACCCAGAACTTACAGGAGACCCTCGAATCCATGTTTGGTGGCTGGAGCAGGTGATTGAAGCTGTCAATCTACGAAGAACATCTTGAGTCGACTCAAGTGATTCATGATAGCACCCGAAACTTCACACCTTCTCTCTCAGACCTGATATTTGGCACGAAACAATCCGAAACGACCTCAACGTCTTCGGGACCTGTATCAACCAATTCTAGCACCCCTTCGTCTGCCTCGAACCTCACCTCTCGAGATCCAAACTTTGTAAAGACACCTGAGAGCCAGAGGTACATTTCGGCATTTGCTAGATTCATGCCCACACACTGCCTGCTTCCCTTGGTGAAGGAAACCAGATATCGGTCCAACCTTGGATCATCGATCCACCGCTCCGGTCGAAATTCTTGCCAGTTCGGATAAATGGACTCATCTTGATGTATCAATAAAGAGGTCATACCAACAGGAGTGCCTGCTGGAATGGTCCATTCTTTTTTGCCAGAACAGAACACTAGAGGTTCCAAAGGTATCCTTTGAAGACGTGTGCTAGCCCCGTAACTCAACCTGAGTCCCTCCTTTATCACACCAGTCAAATATGGCAAGTTCTCCAATGAAAAAAGAGGTGTAGACGCCTTTGTATTTGGAATTGCAGCTTCAAGTTCAGATTTCAATGTCCTCAGCACGGTTGGATTTGAGAGCAGGTGGTATGTGATAACGGTCAGGGTCCAGGCTACCGTTTCTTGGCCCGCCACGACGACCTGAGACCTGTCAGCAATGGCAAGCAGTGATGTGTGTACTAGTGTACAGTCCACCATTCAGCGCTAGTATATATATAGGGAACCATACCGTTTGAGCCTCTTCTGCTAGTCTTTGAACCCTTTTCTCTTCTGGAGGGAGTTTGCTGTCAAGCAACTCGTGGAAGATTGTAGGATGTGATAGATCTTGTCGCTCATAATCTTTTTCGGCAATTGTCTCCAATACTTGTTTCTTACACTCCTGTTTCCAATCATGTTAGTTCGTGTTTCGGACAATCAGGTTCCATGGTCTTATATCCTGAAGTGTCACAAACGTAGCGAGTGCTTGGCCCATTGACTTCTGAGCAAATGTCGGGAGACTTTTCACTATCCACAAGATCCAAACCATGTGTTTGACCACCCAACCGAAGGATGCGGCTTCATGCGTCGCATCGTAATCTCCAACATCGAAATCCGACTTTTCAAGCCGCTTATACGAACGACCAAAGGAGTACATCATGATCACATCTCAGCAACCATCAGCCAATACCAGAGAAACCGAAGATGATCCTCACCTGAACTGAAAGCACTTGCTGCCACAACACACCGTACAACTTCGCCAGTCATCGCCAGCCCTCTAAGCCTTTGCACGAACTTCTGCACGTTATCCTCAATGACTGGCTGCAGCCGTCGCACATTCGCCGTCGAGAAGTACGGATTCAGGGCCGCTCGTCGCATCTTATGCACATTATGGTCTGCAGCAAAAGCCACCCCGCCCTCCAATCCAAATGTCCTCACGAACCACCACCACTTATCCCTCCTGGCGGACGAATAAAGCGTCTCATAAAAGTCCGGCGTCGAGATATGCAGTTCCCAAGGATTGATCCGCACAATTGGGCCATATTTCTCGTGGAGTTTTCGTATGTGGAACGTATATTGTCCGTAATTAGGATAAACATCAAAATAGAACTCGTACCTGGATCGTCAGTCCCCCAAAACATTCCACGGGGAGTTGGGACGATACCAGAGGGTCAACGCAGCGAGCTTCGGGCCAGGGAATTTTGCGATCGGGCTGAGATACAGCCGATATATCGCGCCATACGCTGTATAAAGAATCAGAGCCAGCACTCCAACTCTGAAGTCCAGCAACGCAAGAATACTCGATATCATTACTGCGCAGATTCAGGACCTGGAGCTACGAGAAACTAAAGCGACTCGATGTGGGGGATCACGCTAGTTATCCAGCTCTTATCTACCTTCCATGCAAGTGCAATGCATGTCTCAATTCTTGTGGGTGTTCATTGTCTTCATGCCTCTTTTGGTACCCAATGGCCGACGTGCATGCAGCCGGAGAATGTAGCCAGCCATATAGAGAAGGAGGCGGGGGAAGCTAATGTACGTTCCCGTTGGAGGGATGTCGTACGACGTGCGGGAGATACACATCAACGGCATGTTTTTTTGTTGTGGAAACCGGTTTGCCGATGTTTTGTTCTTCGCAAGCGTGTGTAATGTTTCTCAAGACGTGACTGCATTTCTCAAGTCTAAGTTGGAAAAGGTTTAGCATACCGTGGACCCTCTTGTTGGGAAAGAGTAAGATCTCAATACACGTTTCTATCTCATGTACGTGCGACCCGTCTATTGAGCCATGGACTCCTCGAAAACTGGGCCACAATACCCTACGTTAGCAACGGCCGGATTTTTATTGGATAAAATATCCAGTCATTGTCCAGGATTTATCCAGTCAAATTTTGTACAGAAACTATCCAGTACAAGTCCGAAATTTTGTTGGGATTTATCCTGTATTCGCAACCAAAAACCGTCACCTATAATGAAAGACTGAAGCAGTTGTCCAGCTCTTGTCCAGGATTTAGAATTTTTGATATTTGAAGTGGACAATTCCTACATAAATTTAAAGGATAATCCAGGAATCCTGTAGAAATCCTGGATTAATGCCGTACAATTTACTCCCGTAGGGTAATAGCTGCCCCAATCGTTTCGATTCTTTCTCTGATAGCTATCTTAAGAAGTTTGAATGTGTTCGTCCTCATTTCTCATAAGCTGGCTTGATGTAGTGAGACAATAGGAAATATAGTGTTGACACCAAAATTCCAGACACGCTCACAGCCAGAATGCCCCAGAAGCTATTAGTACTTTTGGCATGCACAATCCTTAAAGCTTCTCACGACCCTGGGTTTCCACTGTATATCCCTCCTTGAACGAGCTAGATTCCTTTTCCGGAGTGGTTGGCTTCTGTTTCCGCTTCAGAACCACTTCCTTCGATATCTTGAGTTTCCTCAGCAGTCTACTGATGACCGTCGATTTTCGAGCCGATTTGAACAGCTTCTTCTGGCTTAACTTTCCGTCCGGTGTTCTGGACGCCGCCTCCACCAGTCTCTTTTCTCTAGGCGTGAGCACCCTTGCTTTCTTTGTCTTGACATCCCGGAAGGGCGACAGCTTTCGTGTACTGGATAGGGTTATTGGCTTTCTGGTGCCCTTGGATAGAGGTGGGGTCCGGGGAAGCTCCGGAGCTCTTCCTCACGACAAGCCCTTATCTAATAACACCACTAAGGCTAGCTCTCTCAGCAGAATTTTAAGATCAATCCTAGCCCATTTCGCTGTCATGTCCATGTATATGGTCATGTATATGGTTGCTCCAAAATCTTCAAATGCGCGAGCCGTACGACCAGCGTCCCCCTAAGAGAAGTCGAACAACTTTACGTACAACGCACAAAGCCACTCTTGGCATTGTACAGTCAACTAATTCCACTGAGGAACATCGTCGGTGGTTATAGATGGTCCTCTATCGTTGTTGCTCTTCGAGTGCGTATATGGTGGCGCCGGTGTGAAGGCGGCTTGAATTGATAGAGACTGTGAAGTTCATGTCTATATACACTCTGATGGCATAAACGAGTCCGACAGCGGTATTTGCCTCAACAATCGACGTGAATTTCTCCCTCAATTCTTGTACATATAGACATACAATTGCTGTATCATATCTACATCCAGCATCATTCCCGACAATAGCTGATCTTAAAGTCGCTATTCAACAAGCACATTGAGTGAAGAGCATTCTAGACCGATCTTGAAGATTCTCTCAACCTTTCACATCGTGTAATGCTTCTTGGTCGATCTGTGCCCACAAGACATCATCAAACAGAAGAGGATCATTTTCCATTGAAGCTTCATGTGCAACAAGAAAATCGTCAACCGGGGCTCTAGAGAAATCGAGGTCCTGAAGCTCCGAATAACCATGGTATTCAGGGTCACTGGCATCTTGGGATGGCTTGGAACCGTGGTCGGAAACGGCGCTGACCATATTCCAGGAAGCATTGTCTTCAGGTGAACTCGCTTGCGGTGGATCTGAGATATAGGCCGAATCTTGAAGATTGTCGTCTTTGACGCTTAAGGGATCAGGGACTGGGTCTGAGATGTTGAATACCGATAAAGAATCAAAGTTAACGCCAGATAAAGGGCGATGCGATGCCTCCAGCATCTCCGAATAACTTTCTCCTTGTTGCGTGGAGCTCATACCCTCTCCATCGAGAGGGGTCTCAGCTGGTCTGAATCTAGCACGAAAGCTGGACAAGGTGCGATTTTGTGCTTCTTCGAGCATAGCCATAAACTGTTGTCGGATTCTTCCTTCGATGGGCTGCATTTCGCTGATTATGGTCGTTTCGAGGATGTGTTGGAAGTGGCGGGGTAGTTCACGACGGAAGTGGCCTTCGTATTCTGCGAATACTCGTGATTCGGGCGACAATGGTGGTTCTGGTTCCGTGTCTCGGACGTCTTCGAAATCTATGGTTTGTTGTTAGCAATATGCGCAACTCGAAGGTGAAATTTCTCTGCAAAATGCTGAAAGAATAGCACTGTAGCAGTTCTGAACTTACAGGGATCTGGAATCTCATCGCCTTCTCCCGGTTGGAAAATGATTTTGAAAATCTGGATCCACCTGTCGGACTCTGTCTGACCAGGGAAGGCTTTTCTTCGATCTTGCAGTTGTTGTCGTAGCTTGGTCGTGATGCCGTCGACTTGCTCCGCTTCTTGCACCAGACAAGAATCCGGTGCTAGTGTATGTTCTTCCAAGCCAGTAATATCTGGGAATAGGTTCTTACACCGTGGACATTGGTGGATGGTATGGTATTTATACAAATGCGCTCTAGAAGTTCGGTCAGCCAAAATGTTGAAGTGTGTAGAAGAGGGGAAAATAGTCGTACTTTACGCGAGCTACAGAAGTATGTGGAGTGAGAGCACACCTGCGCCAGGCTTGCACAGAGTACTTTCTTGGATTGTGCTTCCGGTATGGACATGCATACCTCAGAGCAACTTCCGAGGCGTCTATAGACGCAGGTTCCTTTCCTTTCCGTTTGGAAGGTCTGTCTCTTTCGTTCTCAGAATCTCCATCTTCATTACTCCGAGATCGTTTCATTGCCTTGACAGATGCCCACCCTGTTGGAGGAAGCATAGAGCTCGAGCTCGTTGCTGTAGCTGTCGCTGTAGTAGTATTTGAAGTTTCGGATTGTGCTGCACCATGTTGATTGGTTCGAGCTTTCCAGCGTTGATGGAAAAGAACCCAGAACTCTTTCATAAGACGATTGACCAAGTCGGCCTGAGCAGACGTGAGTTTGTGTTTCACGAGCAATTGGTCTTCAACAGCATCCTGGAAAGCTGCAGCAGAACCTTCTGAGCTCTCTCCATCCCAATCTGTCTCGTCTTCTGAGCACGTTGATTCCATGATAGAGGTTCTTGCCGACGCAGGCGAGGAGATTGGCGCCGCCTTGTCAGATTCCTCGGGTGTCAGACATTCTCCTTGACTTTCCATGATCACATCATGATCCGCAGATATGGTCTGTGTAGTTTCATGTGGCTCTTCCAAAGTTAAGTTTGCAACCGAAAGTATTTCAGACACAGAGTCCGGAATCGAAGCACTGTCAAGGAAGAATTCCGAGGTTGCTACACTCTTACCATTCACAGAGCGGTATGATTCAGTAGTTGAAAAAAGACTCTCGGACGGGACGGATTGACGTGTGCTCCACGGTACTTCATATTTCATGTCCTTGCCATAATCATATGGCAGAGATTTCCTTGGGGACAGCGCTCTCTTGGGAGGGGCTTTGACCAACTGGGAATGACCATGACGAACCAGAGATTTCTCTCTTATGTCCTCGACCTGTGGCTCAATCTTCGGATATAGCATCCGTTTCTTCTTCGTGTCCTCGCAAACAACCCCTTCTCTCAAAGTAGCAAGCTTCCTGAATACGTTTCCATTTTCAGTCGACGATCCATACCGATAGGCTCGAAGGGTACCTTGAGAGTAAAGAAGTCTGTTCTTCTGCAAGAATTCCTCTAATGGGTGTCCAGCAATAAAGTGTGACCAGCAATGATCTAAACGGTCGCTCCAGACATTCTTGGGATGCTCATTGGCTTGACCGACGAAAGGGCATTGAGGTACATGACATATGGATACGTGCAAAGGTGGGACGTCTTTGAGATGTGACAACGTATGAGAGGTCCAATCGCCACGAGAGTTTGACGACTTGTACTCGCAGCCTAGGAATGCAAACCCGCAAGGCACTGAGATCCCGCTCGAAGTTGCAGACTGTATCGTCGCGTCTTTGTCGAATTTTGGTTTCTCCAGGGGTTTGTTGTATCCAGGTGCATATGGGGACTCCCAAGTATTGTGAAAATCCGGAAAGTCCTGACCATTGCCCATAGGGTTTTCTGGTACAATAAATTTGCTGCTTGGGAAAGTCTTCAGACCTTTGCGACGTATCGTAGGGTGGGTCGTATTCGAAGTAGGTCCGATCTTTTCAGAAAGGAACGACTTGTCGTACTCGGGGTCAACCCATGGCTCAGAGGAATAATAGGCCATAGCAACTGTATTGCTGTGATTGCTTGTATGTCCGCATTAGCACCTAAGTACGGCATTAGCATGAACGGCTCCCGTCCAACAATATGGGCATACGTACTCCCAGTATCCGAGACAAGCATACCATCGTTAGGCAACACCAATCAGCAAGGCTGGCAACAAGAGTGTCCACAAAATGGATCGCGCAACGTTGAGTCTCGTGCGACGACCGAGAAGGGATGCAATTGAGGTGGAGAGAGCAAGCAGTACAATAGGATTGTTGAGAGTTGTCAAGTTCACGAGGTCCAGCTGAGGCGTCAGCGGCTGAAGATTTGGCCGGGGTTGAGAGTTATGCACAAACGTGCAAAACTCATCCCGCGTTTTTGACTCGTTCAAGTAATAACTTGCACGTGATTTATTGTAGCCTTCTTTGACAATGCCATTGTTTGCGCAAAGGGAGGTTTGCGAAATTGAACTCGTTGTTGTTGCATTTGTGAGGTTGTGCTGTTGTTATGTGAGGAAGAAGAGGGGCTATTCGTGATATATAAATCGAAGTGTGGAGAACGTAGATGAGTTACACTAGATCTTTAAATTGAGGAACCCAATCCTTGCCTTCCAATACACATGATAGCGACATTTAAGATGGTGCAATGCGTACAGCGATCGTCCCTAGTCCCCCTCAATAAGCCCCAGCAATTGGCATCGGCATGCGACAAAACCTTCTCCCCTATCCCGCGCGCAGCTTTGGTAGACATTTCAAGGTAGAGGGTGAACTGATAATACTTATGCAAGCTTTCTGACAATACACAAGGTCGAAGTTCAAGCAGCGAGGCTCGCAAATGCTGAACTTTTTCGTATATGACACCGGGGGTGTCATCGAATGGTTACTGGATGAAAAGCGAGAATGTCCTATCGCTCTACATTACGAACTTAAGGCAGCGAACGCGATAATGGACTTCGAAAATGCGTTCAAGGAGGCAAGTCTGGGTTCGGTGATGTGATGTGGCTATGTATCTCTGGACTATTTGTATAGCTGTGGAACAGCGAATGGTCTGTAAGATATTTGTATGTATTGTTTGGAAATCGAGGAAACGGGAGGAAGGTATACCCACGATGGAATGGTCCATCTAATTAAAAGAAAATAAGAAAGGATCAGTAGAGTGAAGAGGAATGCGATCACGTCTTAAAAAATAGCAAGTTAGTGGAAATTGATATACCAAAGCCAACACAACGCGAAACTTTACATGCATTGCCAAAAACTGAAGTAATCGAAGAAATTTGAAGTCTACTTTTAGAACAAGCATGCTTGCGTGATTAAAGTTACATGACAGCAATCTAGTACAACTGGAAATCCAATGGGGAAATGACCCGGGTGGGGGGTGGCAACGGATATCAACCGTGGAGAGGCAGTAGAACGAGAAACGCCTACTTCTCCCATCTAATTATACCACAGGCTTCAGAACAATTGCATACGAAAATCTTTTGACTCCTTACCAGACAATACTGAAACTTGCAACAGGACTCCAATTGAAAGCAACGAGAACGAAAACAAAGTCATTAACATGCTCGTGAGGCACCCAAACTCCATTATGCAAACCGTATATACGTCAAGTAGCCGTCCAATCCATCACATCATCCCAAACCACCTCATTCACCACCTGCGGCGTACTGACCACCCACGGCTGGTTATTGTCCCTCGGCGTACTCAACACTCCGGGCCAACTCTCCTGACTCACCAACCTAGGCGTATTCCCCAGCTGCGGCGCCTCCCTCGGTGTGCTCAACGTCTGCGGCCAGGTCTCCTGACTGATCAACCGTGGCGTATTCCTTGGTGCGCTTCTCTTATACGCACATTTGCCTATCGGACAAGAATAGAACATCCCATCCTCGTCTCTCCTGCTGGAAACTCGGCTAGTGAACCCGCATCTGCAAACCGGGTTCCCGTCTATAATGCCAATGCTGTCGTCGAATGTGATGAAGTAGCCGGTGTCTTGCTCGTGCGTGCCGGGACAGATATAGTAGGGCCGGCCGGCGTTGCCGATAGGGTTATTGCGGCGGACGTCAGGGCGCATCCCGGGACAGGAGCAGGTTTGGCATGTTGGGGGTATGGAGAGGGGGAAGGTTGGTTGAGGAGTTTGTGTTTGCATTGGAGGGTTTGGAAAGGTGATCGATGGGGCGAGGCTGGGTGATTGGTAGAGCAGAAGAGTGCTTGATAGCTCTAATCTGACTTATTAGCTAGCTTCTGGTGCAAAACTGTGGACAATTGGAGCATACTTGGCTTTGATTTATCTGATTCGAGGCGGTAATGATTGAAAAGGAGAATTGAGGTCTGCCGTTGGACAAAGTATGCTTGCGTGATTTGGGTTACATAGGCGCGTACCGCCCAAGTGCGGCTGAGCACCCCCTGTAATTGGTAGCCTCGTACGTATCGGCGATCGTACTACGACTACGACTTAAATGGAGAACTACTCCGATCACTCAAAGTGTACCGGACGTATGCATTATCGATTGCTTGTAGTGGAGCTCACCTTGGTAGGCATTCGTTGACAGGAGGCGGGAGTATAATGTCGGTAAACGCCTGGGTCATTTTCTCTATCCGGTTGTTGTTTCTCTTGATATACACCATCGTACACCGGTCTCAGGTATCACCAACCCAAGAACCGTCCTCCATCTTCCCTATTTGCTTCGGGCCCTCTTCCAACCAAGTCTCAACCAATCCTTGTTTGGAATCTTCATCCGGGTATCCTAAGCTCCTTCTAAGCTTCAACACCTCATTTCTAATCCTCATAGTGACCTCCTTCCTCAATTCTACAGCCTCGTTGCCATATTTGAGTCCGTCTGTGAGTTCTCCCATCTGCCAGTCTGTCGACTCTCCTCGCTTCATCAAAGCCTCTTTCTGTAGTCTGACCAATCTCTTCCATTTCGCTCTCAATTCCCCGAACACTTTCTCTCCATCCACACTCTCTCCAAAGGCAATCTTGATTTTCTTTCCTGTTCTAGGTACGAATCGTGGCCATTCTCGAGCTTCGTGCATGACTTCTTGGTTACCATCGATGAATATGGGTATTATTTCCGGCAGAGGCTCGGATTCGAGGATCAGACGAGATACGCCCCATTTGAAGTATCGTAAGGACTTTTGTGGATGCTGGTGCACACGGCCTTCTGGGAAGATGTGGATCCAGGAGTGTTTCTGAGAAGGAAAGAAGGAGGGAGAGGGGAAAGAGTCGATTCCATTTGTAGAGTAGGTCAAAGTACCCGACGTGAATGGATCTGCAGTATCGATGGGCTCCCAAATTGTAGGATGAGATGGAGGAGACGGGGCGAAAGGCTGTGAGGAAAGGAGGCGGATCGCTTGAGTTATGGTAGGTTGGAAAAGACCACCATGAATCGAGTGAAGGCTGCGATGCGTAGGAAGCACTTGGCCGATGTTGAAGAATGCTTTGAGGACTCTGCAATATCATTTAGTTAGCGATGTGCCATGCAACATAAGCAGACAACATACCTATTAGTGAAGCAAATATCATAACTCCCTAAACTCCATCTATGATTCGAAGGATTGAAAGCGTATTTAAAAGGCAGGACTCCCCAAATCAATGGATCATCCACTCTACAGGCACATGGAATGAGTATTTATCGAGAGCATGAACAGCGCATAACTCACACGCTGACATGATTTGATACTGTCCAAACTTGTCAACAGAAGGTCCACTGAGGACAGCAGAGTAATAGCTACCAGTAATCAATCCCCTCTGCCTTTCCTCGACATTTCTCCTCCTATCCAGAGTTTCCATGAACCTGTCCAACCCAACGACTTCCGTATGGTTCAGGCCATACAAGAAACTCCTCGAGGCAGAGCCGGTCAGACCCATAATCAAAGAGCTGCTGAACCGCCATGGCAGACTTGGACTCGAGGGAGGATTTGGATTCGACATGGCGCATTTGCGCGTTACCGTACGCCTGGCATAAAATGAAGAAGAGACGATATAGCCATGGATTGAAAGAAAGTGAAGGCTTAGAGGAAGAAGCTGGCGGTGGTGACGTACCGCTGGCATTATCGACTTCTCGAGGAGCGGGCCGAGAATTTCGCCGGGACTGGCCTTGGCATGAGGAAAGAGCCGCTTAGCACCTCCAAAATCAACGATGGAAAACCACAACTCCCTTCTTGTCATATCTCTTCGAACAACACAATCTCATCAATAGATACATCTCATATCTTTGGATACTTGAACTCAAGCAACTTGTGTGTGGTTTCAACACGCCTCTTCGCGATCTCCTCAACATAGTCACCTGATCTGTGTACATCTAAAGCAACCTGGAAAATCAACAACCAAAGCGCGCTCGCAACCGAGTTGGCTACCTCTGCGACGAATTGATTGCGACCTGGAGATCTACGCACAAATAATAAGTGTCAGTAGCTATCATCATGTCTCACAGTCAGATAATCTTCCTCTTCAACCCAAGCTAGCCTAGACTGACATTCGAGCAGGCAAAAGAAACACCTCAAGATCTGTCTTCACTTCTCACGAGAGATCATTAGCCAAATCTGCTTGGAACTCGACAAGTGCTCGTCTATCTAGGGAATCTTTCTTGCCGTTTGCATCCTGTCGGCTATGTTTGTTACCTGCTCGGACCCCAGTCTCCTGCTCTCATGGAGACATTTTCTGCCGCGAGTGTGCCTTGAGTAATATCTTAAGTCAAAAGAAAGAAATCAAACGTCTCGAAAAGGCAAAGGAGAAAGAGGAAAAAGAGTCTTTGGAAACCAGAGAACTCGACGAAGCGGAGGCAAAGCAGCGGGCAGTCCAAGATTTTGAACGAATCCAAATGGGATTGGAGGCGAAATCAGGGTCGAAGAGCTCTGGCCAGAAAATTGTGGGAAGAGAGGGTGGCAAGATTCTAGTAGAAAAGGATGTCGTAGACTCGAAGAGAGGAGAAAAGAGGAAGTTTGAGCTTAATGAGGATGAATTACTTCGTATTGCTCGAGAGGAGAGAACAAAGGCGAGAAAAGCGATTGACGATGAAAAAGTAAGAACACCCTCTCCATTATGTATTCCAAACTAACTTTGTATCTTGAAGGCATCCAAGACTACCTTGCCCTCTTTTTGGGTACCGTCCATTACACCATCATCAAACACCAAGACCGAATTACATTCCATCTCCAAGAAAGTAAAGCAATCACCCATGTGTCCGGCGTCACCTCCAGATCGACCACATTTCTATTCTTTGCATGCGTTGATCACAGTCGCGTTCACGGAAGAGAAGGGTTCGAATACAGAGAAAAGTCAACGAATATGTCCATCATGCAAGAAAGCATTGAGCAATACTTCGAAAGCGATGCTTGCCAAGCCGTGTGGTCATGTGCTTTGCAAGAGCTGTGTCACCAAGTTTATGACACCAACTGGCGTTCATGATCCCCATGCGCCAGATGTGGATCAGAACATCGTCTCTTGCTATGTTTGTGAAGCTGATTTGACCGAGCCGAAAGTTGTCAAGTCGGGTGGTGCGACTGGCGGGGAAAAGGACAAGATCAAACCTGGCCTGGTCGAAATCAAATGTGAAGGAACGGGGTTCGCAGGAGGAGGAATCAATAAGGTTGAAAAGACTGGTGTTGCATTTCAGTGCTAGGCCGACACTCACAAGAAGCCGAAGCCATCCAAAATCTAACTCCTAGAAAGACCATTGAAAGAAGCTAGTCTAAATGTGATGTATCATGACTTCTACCACTAGCATGAGAGCAATATTGCATTCGTTGAAGCTGCAAGGTAAGTATTTCGTCACGAGACGCTTATTGAAAATCTAGCTGGCTTTGTCCTTGTCATTTTTCTCCTCGTCATCCTTCGCTTTGTTCAAGATTTCGCTGCTTTGAGAGGCCCCGACCCACCTGGGTACTTTGTTTTCTTTATTCATTGTTAATCTCCAGGAATTTTGATTGAATAGACCATCCCTTTTGCCCCTCGACCATTGTTATTGGACCCATTTACTGCCGGCGTTGTCACTTCATCTATCGTCAAGTAGATCAGCTGAGATGGCTTCATCCAGAACGGCGGCCGAAATCGCACAAGACCGGCAGAAAAGATACATCAAAGCTAACAAATACTGGGATACATGCGGGCAATTTCTTCCCACAGGTAAGTACTGTCTGCTAAACACCCAATCGCGCCGCTGGTCTCAATACTAATGTGTTACAGCTCAACGAGAAGCATGGGTATCAAAATACACCGATCTTGGAAAGCAGTACAGCCATCCTATTGGAAATTGGCAATACCCCGATAATCGAATACTACGAAACACAGGGAAGAGCGGTTTGACACCTCTCCCACGTCCCGACAACGAGCAACTTTTTACCAACAATGTTGGATATCAAAAAACTCAACGCACACAACTCGAAATGTATCAAAGAAAACGTTTGAAGGGATTCAGCGCCTTGGAGCTCTACGATCTGGAAGCTATGTCTGCATTGGACAATACAGTTATGCAGGATAACTTGACTGGGGAAGCTGTTCATCCGATCTTCGAGAAAAAAAATTGGTTGAGTGAGGCGGAATTGCCCAAACATAGAGCCTTGGTCCCTATCCTTGGAGACTACGCAGGGTTTTGGTCTGTGAGTTGACAGAGCTTTCTTCGTGAAAGCGTAGCTAATTCTTTTCTCAAGGCGGAAAATCCTCTCATCTGGAAAACGGTTCTGCGTCCTAGTCTATCCTTAGTGCGAAACGCTTTGGGATCATTGTCTGCATATCATTGGTATCATCGCTCTGCATAATTACCGAGTTTCTTCTCACGTACATACAGGCTGGATGCCGTATTCAAGGGTCCCATTGTCCCTGCGACCAAATCACAAGGCACCGGTGCTGGCAATTTCAGAATCACTCAACGAATATATGAAGAAAAAAACACGACCGCCGAGTTCAACGACATGCAAGCTCGAATACTCGCTCTAGCAGGACGAATAAAATTCACTTTCAGGAACTTTGCTACAGATTGGGCATCGGGCGTTCAAGACGAGGCTCAAACAAGTTTCGGAAGGACGTTCATAAATTCAAATCTTTCGGGGGTAGTAGAGATTCAAATTGCGATAGAAGTCCTGCAGCCACTTTTAAGACTGGACTTGACAGATGCAGAAAGGTAAGATGGCCGATTTGTTGCAGATATTGACTTACTAATGATCTTATAGGTTGACAAACCAGTTTCGCGTCGCGCAGACTCTTCTGCACGAATTTGGCGTACGTCTACTTCTAGAATTTGAAGTTGACTTTAGGATGCTGACAATTAAAGCATGCTGTGTGGTTCTGCATCCGGAAGGATAGAGCGCCCAGTACGATGGTGACGCTCGAACCGTACTTTGACGCTGAGACGATATCTGAGTAAGCGGCTTGTCAATTTTCCTGGCTCCAGACTCCAGACTCCTGACTTATGAGATATATGTTTTTTTCATGTGCACTTTAAGCATTCGTACTTATCAACTTTGTTATTATTGCTTTCAAAGAGGTAGTTTCGTTCCTTCAATGCTAACCAAATTTTGTAGGCTTGGCTTCTCATTCGTGGACAAGGCAAGTTCCTCGTCTCTATGTTTGACAGATTTTTTAACAGTTTTGAGCAGATATGGGCTGGTGAAGCCCACGCAATTCAAGATCCGTGGTACGCTCGTTATGGCCCTGGATTGTACGTCTTCACCTGTTGTGTTGCTTGACCTTTGAGTTGTGACTGACTTTTTGACCAACAGACCGATCATGGGAATCTATCGAACGCAGTGGCTTGAAGGACAGCATGGCGAGAAAGTCCAAAACGTTTACGATCCTACGCAGCCTGCACCAGCTTTTACACAGGAGAATGCTCTAAAACCTCCCTCGGTCTATGATGAGTAAGCAAGTCTTTCGTTCATTCTCACATCAAAATCTGCACATTCAAAATTCCTAGCAATCACCGAGATTCTTCCCTGTACAATCCCATATTGACATGTCACAGTATCTACCCAGTTCCAACATCTTGGGTACACAGCGTTTTCCAAAAGGCCACCTGGGATGTCTCAGTGAAACGAACTGGTACACAGTCGCATATGGGACCTCTGACCATGGGCATGCGCCTACTGCAGACCGAACCAGGAAAGCGTGCAGATTATTTCAGCTGGATATCCGCAGTCGACAAAGAACTAGAATTGACTTATGCACTTAGCATCGACCCCCAAGCCAACAAAATTCCTCCAGCTGACTACCAACGACTTGTAGATGCGACAAGAATCTACTTGAAGATGGGGATATTGGCTGAGAAGAGGGGCGAATTGAGATCTGACAAAGCGTTTACGAGTTGGCCTAGACAATTTGGGACTGATCAGATTACGGCCCACCCCTTTGATCCGTTGCCAGATGATGAGGAGATTCCTACGGAGACATACTCTTCTCCCAGATATGATGAGATTGTTAATTATCTTTGTCGCAACCGAGGTCCATTGGAGTTGGCACTGGATACCATGGGTAAGCCATTCTCGTCATTCCTAGAATCCTTTCCTCTTAGCTCTCACCAGACTGTTGGTGCTTACAAGCACTCTGCTCTGTAATGTATTCAGTCAAGGCTGCACTCCTATGCAGGCTGCATGAAAGATACATGCTTACTTGCGATTGGCAAATTAGGGACACTTCCAACGTCTGTATTCTATAGGTATATCCGAGATCGAGGCGGAATCGACGTCCTTCCAATGGAGCTTTGGCAATTTCTCGGCGTAGCAAATCGAAAGGGAGAGTACTTCATGTAAGTGGAAGATCTTTCATCCCCTCTTGAACGTTTCACTAACCCTCTCTCAGATTCGATCCTTACCCCGGCCCAGGTCTTGTAACACGCATCGAAGCCGGCTGGCCACCTGGAAATGTGCTCGCGAACATGACCATACCCAGACCCGCGTTTCTCGCTACCAGGTTAGAGAAAGACAGGCTCATGGAAATTGTCCGGGACCGTAACGTACAAGACGAGTTATATACTAATAACGTACATATGCGTACTATGAGAGACATGGACGTGGACGCGTTCGGGAGGTTCTTGGAGGCCCGTAAAGACAAGTCTTGGATCGGGAAATATGTCCCAGCTGAATTCTATGCAATCGTTACTCAGTGTGTGAGAGAGACTTGGGATTTCAACGATGAGTTCACGTGAGTATCCTGAGATGCTAATAAGACGAATATCTAGTGTGCTGATGATGTGATTTTAGACTTGGACCACAAGGAATCATAAGATTCACTTACGATGTTAGACCTACGTTGACGAGGAATGGCTCAGATTACCAGAAAGCGAAATTCGCAGAACTTCAACAGAGAGTCGATGAAGCGAATAGAAAGTGGCGGAACAGAGTATAGGGAAGTCTTTGAGCGACGATACACATAACTTTACCATTAATATTCGGGCGAGTTTGTCTCTTGACATCATTTGGGGAGTGTTAGGTTGTCAATCGAGATACTTCGAGGCAGAGGGTCCTAGAGCGGAGGAGCATATCAAGTTACCGAGAATGTAGATTAATGTATATACGTACCTGACCCGTATTCTACCACTACTAAATTCATGCACATCAGAACACACCGCTCTCAAATGATACCCAATCTCATGATGCTCACCAACCTCGCTTGCACCACGAAGGCGGGACACCTCGGACCCAAGTATCGGTGTGCGGCTTCGTGCATAGGTTTATTCAATTGTCCAATCGAAAGCAATACCAATGTCTCGGCAGAAGTCGTAACTGCCGGCTCCAGGTCTTGTCGTTAAAATAGACTCGTATTTTATCCGTCGATCCCCAGCTCGAGTAGCACAAGCGAGGAGCGGGAATACGAGCGGCATCAGATGACAGGATAATGAGATGGCAGGGGAATCGAGACGAGATTGTGATGTATAAATTGAGTAGATGTCTTCTCTGTTAGTGATTGAATCACTCTAGAATATTCCTAAGTCCTGACAGAATAATCACATCAAGACAATACCTTCACTTCAAAATGAAGTTCCAACTCCCCATACTCGCTAGCCTCTTGGCAACCATCTCCTCACCAGCAACCGCACAAACCACCCTCATGGTCCCCGTCCCATGGTCCATCACATCTCTCTCGCTCAGCAACATCCGTCACGGCACCGGTGGCTAGTACGTCCTCCTTTCCCCTCAAATGCCCTTTCTCTCAACTAACAACATCAAGCTGGAATTTCAACATCCTCGACACCCCAACACCCACCCCGCAAGGCTTCAACACCACCTGCGCATACTACGCCAACACCTACACCTTCGCGCTCGACGGGCCTCCGCCCTACAACGCGCCGTGCAGCAATCCGAATGTGACATTTGGGTTTTTTCCCAATGCGAATCATGAGTTTACGTTTAATGTCACCCACATTTATGACTGTGGACAGTAAGTTCCCTCCCCCATCCCTTTCCGATATTGAGATAGAGAAGAGCTAATGAAATTTATTGAAGAGTGACGCCATGTACCGATAATGGGACGTGGAGCTTCTCTTGGGATTCTGTGAGAGGCCAGGAGGATGATGTGCAGAATAATTTTGGACAGGCGGGGAGTTTTGCATCGGCTTCGTTGAGTATGTATCCTACGAGAGCGGTTGCGAGTTCGAAGTGTGAGTTCTGTTAGTGAGATGGATTGAAATGCTGTTTGTTGGGGCGTCCGGGGAAAAGGGAGGATGTACTGATGGGCTTTGGGTTGAAGATTGAGGGGTCAAAATTGTTATGGAGTACTGGCGGATTTAGTTGTTTGATAGCAAATCTTGTGAATATAATAATAACTTTTTGATTGATTGCTTGTCTGATTATTCACTTCTTGATGTTTACAGTCTACTCTACATATAGAAAGGAGGAGGGGCGTGCCACAATTTAGCGACCGAGCCCCTGAATCCAGCCACACCGATTGCCTCGGCAAACGTCATAGCATCCACTTCTATATCCAGACTTCACTTCAAGTTCTCATACTCTTAAAAACGTGACTTACCTCCCAATCTTCATGCCTCAAAATGACATCTTCCTCCTATCCCACTCCACCACTCGTCTCCCTCATCTCAGGCGGCATCGCCGGCGGCGTAGAAGGCTTCCTAACCTACCCCTTCGAATTCGCCAAAACCCGCATCCAACTCCGCAGCTCCTCGCCTCGCTCCCCCCTCCCACGGAACCCCTACAGCATCGTGCTAACCATCTACCGGACCGAGGGTCTGCGCGCTCTGTACAAAGGCTGCGGAGCCCTCGTTTTCGGCTCGGTAGGCAAAGACGCTGTCCGCTTCCTGAGTTTCGATACCGTGAAAAATGCGTTCCGGGATAAAGAGACGGGGACGTTGACGCCGGCGCGGAATATGCTGGCTGGTATGACGGCGGGAGTCGTGGCGAGTGTATGTGCTGTGACGCCTACGGAACGAATCAAAACGGCGTTAATCGACGACGCGAGGTCAGCGAAAAGATATAAGTCGACGGTTCATTGTATTAGGCTTATTGTCCAAGAAGATGGGTTTAAAGGACTGTATAGAGGGTTGGCGGGAACGACACTGAAACAGGCATCAGCGACGAGCTTTCGGATGGGGAGTTATAATATTATTAAGGATTTTGAGGAGAAGAGGGGTGTGGAGCAGAGTACGGGGGTTAATTTTTTGAATGGAGCGGTGGCGGGGACGGTGACGACGCTGTTGAGTCAGCCGTTTGATACGGTGAAGACGAGGAGTCAGGCAGCGGAGGTTACGACTACGGTGCAGGCTATTCAGAGTGTGTTAAAAGAGGATGGGGTGAGGGGCTTTTGGAGGGGGACAGTGATGAGGTTGAGTAGGACGGTTTTTAGTGGTGGTGAGTAAGATGTGTGGAGTGGTTTTAAGATAGTACTTGCTGACTTGGGATAGGAATTCTGTTTACGACTGCAGAGGCTGTGTCGAAGGTTATCACTCCATTGCTGGCTCGGTGATAATTGATCGTTGTGGTTGCAAGATGGGCTATCAGAAAAAGAAAGTACCAAGAGGTTACAAGTTACAGAGCGAGGTCAGATATTTATACCCATTAGAATATCGGTTGCAGCTTGCATAGATAGACAGATTCGATAGACAAGACTTATTACTTCTCGCTGCGCTAGATTATATATACATAACTCCATGAACACAGATTTGTCCAATTTTGTGAGCCAACCAAACCCAAATCCATGCTTGTCCATATGCTTTTGCATTTTCAAAGAAACGCCATGCAGCTGCGAGTCCATTACAATTTGTTCCTCATCTCGTCATTATCTTCTGTTGGGTACTTAATCCTCAGGCTTGATCCCCTGACCAACCCTCTCAATCTTCCCACCTAGCATTTCCTGAGCATTTCCAAGCAGATGTCCGGCCTCCTTACTCGCATAATCGTTCGCCGTCTTGGCGGCCTCGGTAGTGTTGTTTCCAATAACCCCCACCCTTTCAGCTGCAACACCAGCAGTTTCCTTCGTGCCGCCCACCATATTGCTTACCGCCTCAGTAACATTATTATATCCCCCCTTTACCAGATCTCCAGCCTTCTCCCCAGCATCCTGCACCGACTGCCCCGCTTGTTTCGCCAGCTCACTCGGACTCGGATACCTATTCAACGCCTTCAACACCAGATAATAAGCCTGAATAATCATCTTGTGCACCGTCTCCTTGATGATCATCGTAATTCCATGGCTGAAGAATCCCTTCAATATCTCGCCAAAAACTCCTTCATACAAACCCGCGGCTCCTTCTGTCCTGTAGATCTTAAGGATGGTGTCGAATACAGTGTTGCTCTGGGCAAACTTCTTCGCGTCTTGACCGACTTTCTTTACGTCGGATCGGTTTTCGACGTTCTCGGCTTCTTTCATAATGATTTCAGCGGACTCGGAATCTACGGGTCGCTTGGAGGATGTTTGTGCTCGAGCTTTGGCGAGTGAGAACGGGTAGGTGATTGTGGAGGCAATGGCTTTGCTCATGGCTGCCATGATGAATGTGACATGAGTGCTAGGGTTGTCTCGCTCGGAACGGGGAAGGAATGCTCGCTTGAAGGTCTCGTAGAGGAAGAAAGTGATGCTAGGGTTGAGAGTAAGGATAAGAGAAGCAGAGTACCCAGACCAGAAGCCTTGAAGTCCCTTCTCGTTACGGATATCTGCAGCAATTTCTCGGGCGCTAGGTTCTGCAAGACTTGTAGACGAGCGAGCAGCTACCATGGTCGCAATTTGCTTTCGTGTGACGATATTGGCAATTGGCGTAGTGAAGAACTTCGAACAAGCTCCGGCTATTGTCCCAACCGCCAATTCCTCGAATACTGGAAGAGTAGTCGCACTCAAGCCTTTCTTCTGAAGACGATTCGTTCTAATGTAGTTGTAGAACAGGAAAAAGAGGAACGAATCAGCAATCGATTTTCCAGTATCCTGGACCACCCCGCTGTAGAATGCCTTGATCCCTCCTTCATTGTGATAGACCTTGTCAAATGCATCGATGACACCTTTGTATTCGTCCTGACTCGCAGAGGACTTTCGAAGTGAGCGTTGAACTTGGAGTCGAGTGATCACCAGATCCAGAGGATATATCGCTAGATTCGAGATGGCCGTCCCAGTGGAGCCCGCCAATGCATGGCCGAGTGCAGGAAGTGCAGGTCCATTGAGAGCAGAAGGAGAAGAAGCTTCTTGGTTTTTGTGATACAACGAGTATGCGTCCTAAATAAATCAGTATGGTCGAGAGCTGGAATGTAATGAGCACCATACCAACTGACTATTGTAGATGTTCGCCATCGTGAGGAGAGTGAAACACGCTTTGTCGCCTTGGACTGCGACTTGCGATTTTCTGGCACCCCGGATTAAATATGTGAGATGTTAATCAATATATGCCGCTGATGCGGAGAAAGAGGGGGTTGAGGTTGAGGCTAGGAAATTGTTACGTCATTACCCCGGATTTTCACAAGCTGTGGCGGGGCCCTACTATCCATCGGTGAAATTTCGTGGCCGATTTTGCGATAGGGCTTAGATTCACAAAATGTAAAGTATTACGCACAATATATTAAGTTTATATTTAATTTTTTTAATAAGGACGTAGAATAGTTGCTTGATAAGTCAAAACTAAAGTCTAATTAGAAACAAATTATGTAGTAGTGTAGCAATATTAGAGTTAGTATAGGACATTTTGGTGTTCTCGAGTGCTAAGATCGGCTAGGAATTTCACAGATGGAGAGGCCCTAGCCCAGAGCTTCTTCCCCGCCCGTGCGAACTCGAGTCACAGAGCAGCAGTATCACAGAGGTATTTGAAGTATGTCTTGAAGTTCTTTGAAGTTCATCGCATCTCTATTACTGCTCTGACCTTGGCAGTTGTTCATTAAACCAACGATTATTAAAGTCCATGCACCGCTCCCCTGAGATCAATCAATCACTATTACAGAACTTAATCCATGCCCGTTCATCTCATAGTTCAGCTCTCATCTATCTTGTTGATCTCCGCCTTAGCTTCCTCCCAAGTCTCCTTGTTCTTCTTCGCCCACTCGATTTGACTCTTGGCATATGCGAGCTTCTGTATGTTAGCAAATCAGACTCCGCATGTGTGCAACTCGAACATACCATATATCGCCTCAAATCATCTTCCTTCTCCGCTTGAAAGCGCTTGAGATCCTTCAGCACTCCCGCACTTGCATTCCGTATATCCTGCTCCGATGCTTGTTGAGCCTGCTCGAGTTGTGAGATTGATTCCTTGGTCTTGCCAATGAGATCTCGTCTTGTCCGTTCCGGGTCAACATCCACGACTCCATGAATTGCGTGATTGATGCGACCGAATATTCTATTCGTGATAAAATTACCGCTAGAACTTTTCCGGTGAGCCGGGGAATTGTTCTCTTCAGTCTGTGGCGCGCCTTGAGTAGCGGATGGTGTTGTCGATGAATCGCCGTGAGTGGGAGGGAAGTCAGAATCTATTGATGCAGTGTCCTCTTGGTTGTTTTCTCGTCTCGAGGAAGGAGGATCACGAGCAGAAGAGGTTGACCGACGTGGGAGATTTCCCGTGCCGCTTTGAGTGAGGTATTGCTCGATTCTTTTCGCCTCCGACTCGCTCCGCTCCAATGACTCAAGTAGTGCCTTCTTTTTGGCAAGTTCGTCGTTGGTCATCTCTTGCTGAACACGCTTAAGAACTCGGTAGCGAAGAACTGCTCGGACAACTCCAGCAAATTGTGCGCTTTCTCGCATAGGCTCGGCGAAGCTTGCACCTAACGAGCTTGACAATTCTTCCGTAGCAAGGTATGAAGAGTCTACGGCCTGACCAACTCGTTCGATCGCTGCTGCCAAGGATGGAGATGGTTCGGAAAGGGAGAAGCCATTGAATCTTGCACCGAGCTCAGCAAGATCTGCAGCGAGGGAAGATAGGTGTGTCAATGTCCGGCGGTTGACCTTCTCAATAGGTCCAGTAAGGAGCGTCTCGAGCTCTTTGGTTGAAGCTTCAAAGTTTATGAAGTAAGGGTCGAGCTCCTGCTCGCTTAGGTGTTGGGAATCTGGGGGAAATCGGCCATGAACAAGTATTCCTTGTATTGTGTGAGCAGCCGTTGAGGGACTAGCCGCATATTCGGTAGGTTGATTGATCATACCCGAAGCATTGGTAGGAGCCGTTGCAGCGCCCTTTAGCTTCGCAGAGGTTGCTGGAACTGGTAGCCAGGCGTGTGCTGGTGAGGGATTGGCGGGGTCGAGAGGTGGGGCTTTCATGTTGGATTTGGGTATTGATGCGATCGGGTGGGAATGCAGTACCTCATTCTTCTCAATATTAGCAAAAGAGGCTCCAAATGAAGACATAGATGGGACGAGCGTACCCAACTGGAATTTGGATCTAAAAATCTCCACCAGACACCATCGTTCCGGACCTCGTCCATTCGCCTACATCTGTTCAAGAAAACCGCTAGCATCCGCTTTCTTAAGTCTATGATCTGCTGGTCTTGCTTCGCCTTGGTTGGGTTCGCAGCATAGTCCGCCATTGTGTGCTTCTCGGGGATCGGAGGTATAATCAAGGTGGGGTGTAACCTTGACAGAGCGTCTCTTAATGATGCGAATTCGGAGTATCTCCGTCGAACTTCCAGATCCTACTCAGATTTAGCAAATGCACTGCGCAGATGTTCAGCTAGCTTACTCCTGTTCTGATGGTATACACGATGTATTTTCCTCCACTTTCCAAGCTCTTTCCCGCCTCAACGATTAGGATTGGTAGCTCCGGGTTCTCGTAGAGTATTTGCTCAATTCGACTATCGTAACCACCCTTCTTCCTCTTGGGAGGTGAAGGTCCACCATACTCGTCATCGCTGCCAATATCGCTCGTCTCGTAATGTTGAGTTGGATCCGTATCTGTATCGTGGTGGTTGTCGTCTATGGTGGAGGGGGTGCGGGGGCCAGCATAGCCATGCTCTACAAATTCCCATTCTGGATCAGCTTCCAAATCTTCATTATCGAGGCAAATAGATTCCATCATCGTGGAGAAGAGTAAAGATTGCTTGCAAGAATAACTCACGGGAGCCTGGTGAGCTGGGGTTGGCTGTGGACGAAGCTGTTGAGTCGCGGCGCTCAAAGCTTGTCCCATAGGGATTATTGTCTTCGTCGTTCCACATCATGCAGAGTGATTCACTTTTCTTTCAGCTTCTTCAAGCAAACAAAGCGTTGTGCAGCGGCGGCGTCGCGATAATGGCGAAGATGGATGAATTGTATCGCAGGCAGGTTCACAATTAGAGCAAGCCCATGACGCGGGCCGGCGGAAAGTATTTCCGCGCCTAGCGTATTTTCTATCCTGCATCATGTTTAATTTGCTACTTTGTTGCGCTTAACTGCCATTTCACTTTGTTTGAATCCATTTAGCAAGTCTTTTATTGTATTGTCCATGATGGAAGAAGGCATGTGGAACTTTCCCCACTTCACCAGCTTTATTCTACAGAGTCATGCTCCCCTTCACTGCATTCACACTCCACCTTTCCCTTCTAGCAATGTCGATGCTACTTATTTGATATGAAGTTTCGTACGTCAACATTGCCAAATCATTTTCTCTAAGAGACATCCATTGATGGAAGCCCAACAGAGATGTCTATGGAGTTGCGCTCCTCCAATGACCCTCAGCTAAGCACATCCCAACTTGTTCGTGTGAAGGGTGTTTCAATTTCCATCTGATTACTCATTAGTCTCCATGTCTTTCAAGTTAAAGATCTGAGAAAGAATCGGGTGAGCAAACCTCTGCCATTCTCCAGATATCGTGCCCATTGACCTAGACTCCACTGCTCGATACGAGGCCAGCCGCCTGGCTTTATTGTAGCAGCATCAATCTTCTCCTTCAGTAGCGAAGCGACCTTTTCCTCATAACTTGCAGATGCAGTTACCACATAACGAGGAAAGTCTGGTAATCCACCTGTGGGTCTCTTGTCTGGGTCCCGATTTTGACTTGCTCGAATTGTCGGACCTCCCCATGACGGATATTTGGATACCATGACGATGAGCTCTACCTTGCTTAAAGCAATGAGACCCTGTATGATTCTCCAGTCCAACGCCTTCTTCACAGCGACGAAGCGCAAATTCCTTTCGAGGATCTGTGGGTCTTGTAGCGGCCGCTTCGGGTCAGAGCGTTGACACCTCATCAGAGCCTGTACATGATCTAAATTGTTGAAGACCAATGTATCGGATACAAAGTTGATGTAAACCTGCTTTTCTGGGTGGGCTCCAAAGATGATCTTGTACGATTCCTTTGCCACTGTCCTAGCTTCGTGATTTGCATGTAGTATAGCGGGGACTTTGTGGGCAACAAATCTGATCTGGTAGTCATACCCGGTGGCATGCAATACTGCTGCGACCCTTCGATAAACTGGGGCGTCGATCCTGTGGAGTTCATCAAAGCTGGTGCCAGTAACTCTGATAATTCGTGGTTCGAGACAAGCTTCTTCGATTATGATCCGTCTTAATTCAGGAGCTAGCTCTGGGAATAGGGTGAACTTCTTTCCCACACCGAGCGCATGACTTCCCTATTCATGTCCAATGTTAGTACTGTAAGAAACCTTAACTTGCAATGCTTGAGAAGAACCAACCTCGCCACAACGTGTCTCGCTGACGTCGGTTTCCGAGATTTGCCCTGGACTCGTCTTTATGCTGGAGGTAGCCATTGAGCCACCCTTTTGCGCAAATGTCAGCGCAAGTTCTCAAATGGCAGTATGATATACGTACACTGTCTTTCTGCTCATCCATGGCCGGCTCTTGTTCTTTGTTAGGCTGTGAATAGATGTATTTCATGAAGTTAGTCGATCTCAAATAGCAGAGAGATTCCAGAAAAGTCCTAGACGAGAATTGGGCCTACCAAAGTCTGCTTCAGCTCGGAATTGGAGCGGCCGGCGGCCGCATGTCTAACCTGAGCTGAGCCCTGAGTCCTGCATGCTATCACAGAATTCGATTAGAGTCAATTTAGCGCTAGCCGCATTGGTGAGCGGTATGCAGAACCTTTACACCTGCCACTTTTCCTTTCCTATACAAATTTCTGCCATTGCCGACTACATCAGAATTGCGACAACGAATTTCATCATGTACGGTAGTAAGTCAGCTGGATCGTGCTCAGGGGGTCTTGCTTTCTAGCTCTCTCCAGAATCGGTTACAGATTCTATGTTGTCTTTATATAGAAATATGCAAATCCTGTTATCATTAATATAGCACCTGAGATATCGTAACAATGGCCCGTCTCGGTCCCCTGTGACGCTTGTTAAAAGTCCTTAGCAGAGGCGAGTTACGCCCCCTTCTTAGCCGAAATTTGACGACTCGAATAGGTGTTGCTTGAACTGTCCCTGAGACCTTCTCAGCTCTCCTTATACCACTCAACTTGTATCCGAGTATACAATCCAAATTCCAAGAGCTTGTTAAGAACTTGGAAACTTACATTCCACAGTTTCATACAAGACGATGTGCAGTCTTCCCAAGAGCACAATTTAGTAAGCAAGGGATGTAGAGCTCCTTGGTGCTTCTACTTGACAAGACACCATGCAACATCAGGTCACAGCGGCACGCTTTGGGGGAAGCGGAACAAATAGGGAGAGCCCCAGGTTACATCTTTCGTTAGCGTGATGCCGAAGATTTTACTGTCTTTCATTCTTCCAGCTCGCGTGCCGTTATCATGACCCTCTGCAATCGAATGCTGAACAACTGCGACTCGCTCTCCATTTCTCCCGCACGCACGAAGCATTTCCCCGTCGTAAGCTACATCTTAATCAAATATGGTGGCTCGATCCTCGAAGTGTAATTCTAGCCTCATGTCTTTGGCGTTACAAACAAAGAGCTCTTCGCGTATTCCCTGAGCACCAGCAAAGCGCATAACGAGACCTTACCCGTGAAAGGGTTGCCGGAACTCGAGATGTCGGTTGTGAGCCCATGGTATCAGAGGAAGAGGAACCGCGAAGTTTTTGGTTGGCGAGATGCTGAAGATGCTTGCTGCGAGGGAGGGCTTATATGCATAGCTCGAGGGCGAGGAACAGGGTTTATCAACAAGGTACATTTCAACACATTACATGTTTTCGACATAATGATATTGTTCTATGTTTCCCGACCTAGAGCTCTTTCTCGCATGAGACAACATGGTTGGCCTATTGTTACTAACCCTTTGCAGATATCAGTGACCCAGTGAAGATCAACATCCCAAATTCATCTGCTTCACTAAGCCACTTCTCAACCCTATTATAGGCGTACGACTCCACTTGGCGATCCAGTAATTCGGCCATCACCACTTCCCTTCCTTTCCACATCTTGGCCCAATTACCGTACTCATCCCTCCAAGTTCCATACCCCTGAGCCTCCCATAATCGTCCGCAGACTGGGGCTGGGATAGAATCGAGTTCATTACAGGAGTAAACAGGAAGGCTATTTAGCAAGCAGATGACATACTCGAAAATATATACCGCTAAGACTGTTCGATGCGCTGCCGAAGTAATCACCCATGACTCCTGGTCAAGAACCGCACCGGACGGGCGTGCCTTGGGAATTGTTACAGTAATCAATAGATGATATGCCATCTCCTGAAGCTGGCCTAACAAGACTTGGGCCGCATATTTGACCGTCATGTTTGACTCGAGATATATTATGATCGAGTAAATCAAGCTTGCCTGTAACGCCGCCAGCAAGTCGGCCTGACCATATAGGTGATGCTGAAATGTACTGTTAGTTGATACAATCAAATAATATAGGGGCTCATACCTCTTGATACAGCTTCTCAAGCTCACCCTGCATGGCATTCAGCAACACTGCCTCATCACTTCCTGTTCGGTGTTCCCATATCTTTGTCCAAGCCAGGCAATTTACAAGCGGTACAAAAGCAGTCCTGCTTGTCAATTGCAGTCGATGAATCATCGGTGGTACACTGCCATCCCTAGCCATCATCTTTGGGTAACACTTCAAAACGTGGGTCAAGAACGCAGCTGAGGCCCCGTGCACCTGGAGTATTCTACTTGGAGGCTTGAATGACGGGTTGATCCATCTATCGCGAATTCGCGAAAGCTTATCCTTCAACGGGTTTTCTTCATCTTCTATAAGAGTTAGTTCTGATGCCGGAATCCGAGTACCAGATCCTGCTGGCTCGCTGGGCCAATACGGCAACGTCCACAACAACGGATCTGAGAGAGTCATGTCTTCTGAAATGAAAGGAAAAGGCCTTAATGGGATCAGTGATGTATCTCCGAATCCCATAAGGCCAGCATCGTCTGTGGTCATTTGCTCTCCAACGACCATCGGTAGAGATGTCCAAGATAGATCTGTGACATCCGAAGAGATTGTATCACCATACTCTGGTGCGATAGACGCCGGTTCATCTGTACGAACAGACGAGGGATATACGCAGCCCAGGCTCTTGTTACTGCATTGCGAACAAGAAGATTGTCGTAAGTCACAGCGTAGTTTTCCCCTCACGCAGCGGAAACAGGACTTCTGTCGTGGTGGCGTGGGTTGCTTTCGGCGGCAACGTCTGATGTGGCGTTTGCATGACGTTTCTATCTCATATGGTAAGCCTCGTTCTCAGTATAGTCATTGGAATGCAACCTTGCTCGAAAGATTTTCGACATATCGAGCACTTGAAAGCTGCCAGTTGGTCGGCGATCTCAGCCATAGAGAAGTGTATCTGGAGTTCCGTGTAATTGTGGTGGCCTGGCATTAGCGAAGTTGGGGATATATAGAGTCTCGAGAAAGTTGACTAATGGCGCTCGCTCTTGACCCCGGAGTTCCTTGGTCAGCTCTTAAATCTGGTGTCCAGACAATGCCGCTAACGCCTTTGGCTCACCGCTTTCTCCAACTCTACAGATGAGACACCTGAGGTAAGAGGCATGTAGATAATTGATTCTGAATGCTGGTTAAAGTTCGTGTGTACCATGGAACTCCGAGGGCGGGTGTCACCTAGTCACGGGGTCGCTCGTACACCTGATCGGGGGTCACCAATTCAGTGTCCAAAATATATAAAGGCATTTTAGAATTCGAAATATTTGTATCAGTAGATCTTCGGTCGTCAATTCATATTCTTCTGCGATCTTGATTTCATTAATATTATTATATTGGGTACTCTGATAGAAATGGCAAATCAAACTCGTCTCCCTGAGATCTCTCACTACATCACCTCATATGATCCATCTGGGAAATCGACGTTCCTTGCAGCACCTAACCCGCCCCTCGTCCAGATGAACGATCCTTCTATGCGTGTGGATTATATCTACTCTACTGTCGGTTCCGCAACTGGGCCGGTCTTAACGGATCTGGTTGATTACAAGAACAATCAGGATGTTCGAAACACAACTCCACATATCATGTTTCCACTCGCGGGAGGGAGTTCTGCTGTTGTTGCAAGTGTAAGCTTTCGTTCCCGTCATTGCTACAACTATCGGTTCCTCGTTCACTCTTCTTGAACATATGACTAAGACTTTACCAAGTTTGAACCGAATCCGGATCCGGACAATGACACAGGATTTATGCATCGTTCAAATACGCTCGATTACGTCTTCATCATAGATGGTGAGCTTGAGTTGACTCTGGATAGCGGCGAAAAGCGGGTCATGAAGAGGGGAGACGTGTGTGTTCAGCGAGCATCTCAGCACTCCTGGAAGAACTTGAGCAAGACGGAGATCGCAAGGTTTGGCGCAGTCACCTTGGGAATTGAAGGTGCAAAATTGAATGAGATGATCTTTCCTGGGGAATAGATGCCTCATGATAGCAGATTGCCATGAATGTGGCTATGTGCGAGTTGTTGCACGAGGGTTTACAGAGGAATAGAGTCTCAAGGAAAAATGTAATTCAAATCAACTAGACTATTGAAACAGTCATACTTGGCAAATGTGGAAATTATATGACCCTTGCTTCTCATAGTCTCTATCGTAGCAGAGTAGCCAAGATGAGTTGTAATTCCATGGTCATCACCGACTCCCTAGGTGGGCACCCCAATGTCACATTCGCTTTCTGTTCAAAGCTCGAAACTGCACTGTGCGAGGGCACCTTGACGCTGGTGGTTCAGAGTAGCAAAATAGACGTCACGTAGTGGAGAAAAGCTCAAAGATTGCAAAGCTAGCAGAATTGGGCCTAAGAAAATGCACTGCATACGCTCGTATACTGAACTCGATTCTTGATTGGGAAATTTGCCGTTGCTGCATACAATGCTTTGTCCTCTGGGTAGCTGCTGTTGAAAAGGACGCGGACGAGACGGTTCGTTCGCAAGGACTGTTCCAACAACGTGGCTACACATTCTCACGATTGACTATGGAACTCCGTGCTCTAACTAGTCGGCTGTAGTCCTTACTGGAGGTGAAACGGGATGGACACCATCCGGGGTGCCGGGAAATCGGCCTGATTGCAAATCACTTTGGAACAGCACAGAATTGCCCCCAGGCTACTTTAACCACTGGCAACGACTTGTGTCTGGGAAAGAGCGATATCTTATTACGTCTTAGGTGGGGTTTATCTTCTAATTTCCAGAAGGTGATAAATATTACGAACCCGAATTTTGGCATACATTATCTTCGCAAGCAAAGTCAACATATCACCTCGATCGAGAATGGCTGACGGAGATCATACTGAGGAGCTAAGTCTGCCCATTAAGGTGAGTCCCAGTGCCCAGCGGTACCTTGAAGTTCGTGTTTTGCATCTTGAGGATGTGACAGTCTTGCTAACTATTTACGTCAACAGCTTCGTGACTCTTCCACTTCTTTGATTGTACCTGATAATCGACAGTTGGAGCCTGCCAGAGAGATAGGATACCAAGGGAAACCAGAGAGTGTGGAAGACCCTAACTTGATTAGTTGGGATGGCCCAGATGATGCAGCCAACCCGATGAATTGGAAAAGATCTTTCAAATGGCTGATCACTATGTCGCTCGGGTCTGTGACGTTTTGCGTCGCTATCTCGAGCAGCATCTTTAGCACTGGCACGAAAGAAGTGGCCGAGCTGTACCATGTGTCGGTTGAGGTGGCTGTACTTGGTACGGCTCTCTTTATTCTGGTAGGTGTAGTGTGCCTTTACGTTTGTTTTCTAACTTAGTTGTGGGGATTTTGTTTCGGTCCATTACTATGGGGTCCAATTTCGGAGGCGTTAGGTCGGAAAAAACCTCTTTTCTTGGGACTTTTTGCATTCTGCATTTTTCAGATTCCCGTTGCTGTCGCCCAAAATCTTTACACGATCCTCATATGCCGGTTCATGGCTGGCTTTGCTTCATCATCGGCGCTTACAGTCGTTGGAGGAATTCTTGGGGACATCTGGGATCCGGTAACCAGAGGAGTAGCAGTCTGCGTTTTTGCTGGTGCAGCTTTTATAGGTCCTGTTGGTACGATCGCGAGCTTCATAATGTTTTTATTGATGCTAACTTGCGCACAGTGGGACCAATTATGGGTGGCTTCATCACTATGAGTTACATCGGCTGGCGTTGGAACGCTTATATCACTCTCATCATCAGCCTTTTCCTTTGTGTCACTGGTTTCTTTATAATTCCAGAGACTTTTGGACCGGTAATTCTCCAGGCCAAGGCACATAAAATTCGGTTGGAGACAAGAAACTGGGCCATTCACTCTGCTTTCGACGCACAAGAGATCAACATGAAATCAATCATACAGGTGTACTTGACGCGGCCGTACATTATGCTCACTCGAGAGCCGGTCTTACTGCTCCTCACAATATATATGAGTCTGATTTACGGCATCCTTTACTTATTCTTCGAGGGGTATCCTATATCGTTTCAACAACATCGAGGATGGAATGCTCGCGTTGGCGCACTGCCATTTATCGGTCTCCTTGTCGGCATCATGATCGGCGCAGGTGTTGTGATCTATTTAACCAAGACTCGATTTGCACTGTCGATTAAGACACACGGTCGAGTGATTCCAGAGGAACGCTTACCTCCGATGATTCTTGGTGCTGCCGTCTTACCTGCGGGCTTGTTTTGGTTTGCTTGGACTTCGTCTCCGAACATTACTTGGGTACCGCAGGTGCTATCAGGGATCCCTATCGGCATGGGTATCTTCATGATATTCCTTCAGGGAATGAATTATATCATTGATGTCTATATGCAAAATGCGAACTCAGCGATGGCTGCCAACGTTATGCTACGCTCCATCAGTGGAGCGGCGTTTCCTTTGTTCACTCAAGCCATGTACGATCGACTCGGTGTTAGTTGGGCGACCACTTTACTAGCTTTGCTATGTGTCGCAATGTTTCCGATTCCTGTTCTTTTCTATTATTACGGACCGAGGCTTAGGAAGATGTCTTCATTCAGCCCAACAGAGTAATACAAGGAATGACATGACCAAGGTCGCACTGGGGAACGGCTATTTTTTTGAAGTCAAGCCACGCTTCTCCTGACGCATGAAAGGAAGCATCTCTATCTGATTTTTTGGGAGTGAAAATGGGGAGCTTTGTGCTTGATTGACATTACAGAGACAGTCCCTGTCTTCCGAATTTGGCGATAGGTACATGTCCTTACTCGGGAGATGAAGAATGTATGGAATCAATTGACATTTCGTTTTAGATAATTAATCAAGAACTGAATTTACATAAGCATCTCGACAAGTAATTAGCACGGCCTCAACTGAAGCTTGAATTGACGTGATCGAAGCTAGCAAGGGGGTTTAGCCGAGCCGCCCAACTTAAAATCAACCCCACCATCTTCACCTCAACTCGGACATACAATCCTTCTCAAACGACATTACAAACGTGATCGTATATAACTATGCAGTTCTTACTTCACTGGCTCTCCTGGACTGGATATCAACTCAACACCGGGTCCGGGAACGAGTACCAGAGTGAACAAGTGATTGGATTCCCGCCATCTCAGGCGGCGAAGCCGAGGAACTATGCAGCTTTGATACCGTCCGAGAAAGCCCAGCTGGAAGTAGCTGGAATTCCTTATCCAGAATGTGGTGATGATGAGTTAATCATAAAGAACCATGTCGTTGGTGTCAATCCCATAGATTGGAAGGTATGTCCCATTTAATTCTTTGGTACCGTCTTTGAAAGCAGATGACTTGTTATGAAATTGTTTGCGCTTGTTTGAAACTCTCCCAATACATGAAACAAAACTAACTACGAGACAATGAACACAGGTCCAATCTGGTGGCTTCGGTCTCGAGTATCCAGTGGTTATGGGTGAAGACGTCGCTGGCGAGATCCTAGAGGTCGGCACAAATGCCAAGCATAATTTCCATGTTGGACAACGTGTCATGGCGCACACAGTGGGTTTCGACAAAGGATCAAGCTATGGTGGATTCCAATTGTATCCTGTTTTAAGGGCTGCGATAACCTCTCCTATTCCAGACGATCTGTCTTTCACAGAAGCTGCAGTACTGCCTTTATCTATTTCCACTGCCGCGGCTGGACTCTTTATGAATGCTACATTGGGACTCAATTCTCCCAAGACCGATACGATCTTCTCCTTGCCATCAACACACGTTGCGGATAACCCAGTACTCCTGCTTTGGGGCGGATCCTCATCCGTTGGCAGTTCTGTCATTCAATTGGCATCAGCAGCTGGTTACACTGTCATCACAACATCTTCTTCGTCAAATTTCAAGTACTGCAAGGAACTGGGTGCTGCTCATGTTCTCGATTATCATGATCCAGAAGTGGTCCCGAAACTGATCAACTTATTGAAAGGAAATAAGGTAGTCGGTGCGTACGACGCCATTGGATCTGTTACGACAGTGTTACAGTGTGCGTCTGTACTAGAAGCCCTTGGTGGTGGGAAAATCTCAAGTGTTGGAGCTGCTCCCAGCAATTTACCTCCCAAAGTGACACTGGCTCGCATAAGTGGAGGAGCGTTAGAACCACGGGAGCCGACAGTGGCGATGGAAGTCTGGGGTACTTATGTTCCATGGGCGTTGAAATCCGGGAGATTACTGCCAAGACCCAAAGCACTCATCGTTGGCAAGGGATTAGAGAATGTTCAGAAAGGACTTGATCGACAAAAAGAAGGTGTCAGTGCTAAGAAAGTCGTGATCGCAGGTCTCGCAAAATGATTTCAGTGTCTGTATTTAGAGAATTTGGAGCTCACTAAATCTTTCTAAAAAAAAATCAGGTTGTCAAAGAGAGTCACAACATATCATATAGCATTCACAAATAGAGAATCACAGAGCTAGTCTCTAGCAAATCGAAATTGTGCATCAGATAACGTACAAAGGCCAGTAAGTTCATGATACTCTAAGAGCGCAAGTAGAAGACCATGCGCTCCTAGCGATGAAAATGATCGGCCACCCTTATCCATAACCAGACTTTACCACCCAGCCCCTTCAACGGATTCCATTCATTTCTCCTCCAATACAGTAAGCTCCTTTGCCTTTCGAGCTCTGAACTTAAAGAACCACGTAGGTTGCCAATCCCTCCGACTATTAACAAACGACAACTCGGGAAGCTTGAAAGTGTGTGAACCTGTTGCCATCTTCAATTCCTTATCATTTCTCTCTCGTGCAGCTGCCACTTCGACTCCCGACCTCAACCACTCCGCTTCCAAATCCGTCGTATCTTGGGACTGCGCAACACGCTTCTTCGTTACGGGATCTCGGCGCTTGATCAATCCACCGTTTGGGCGCAGGATATACTTCTTCTTAATTATGACTTCCTCAAGACACTCGAACTGTGCCAAGATCGTAACTAGAGTTGTGGTCATGACTTCGTTGATGACAAGATGCTTCAAGTGCTTCAACATGTTCTTTTCGGGGTGGACGAATCCAGGCGGCGTGTAGAAGAATGGAGTGCACTGAGGCATCGATTTGGTCCGGTCGATGGATGCTTCTAGTGTTTCTTGGTTTTGGAAGCACAGGATATCCACTTCAAGATCGATCTAGACTGGGTACTTGGAAGCCAGAGAGATGAGTGTATAATTATCCAGCGCAACTTCTCGAGACTCGCGGTTGACGACGAACATGGCATTGGGAAGATGAACTTCGGTAATGGGGCCGACCACGTTTGAGATCCTGTTCTCGATATCTCGCGAATTAATTGAGCCTATGAATTCGAGTTCCTCAGCACTGGCACGCCAACTGTCAAAAGCGATGACTCGAGGTCGAGGAAGGGCCTCTCTAAACACCATACGGCGCACTTCGATGGGGAATTTCGCAAAGAGCGGAAAGTCCTCCAGCGGGTCGACTTGTAAGGTGCTGGACGGTGCCAGAAAAGCCTTGCTTGTGATCTCACGACCATCGCCGCGATCGTTGTAGCTTGACTGGGGAAGAGTTAGCTGGGCATTGTGTAGAGTACTTGTGTAAGACCTACGCGTGCCATCTTCGTACCCAGGGTGACCTGGCTTCTGTGTGATTGTGAAGGACGAGTTTGGACGGAGTTTTCGCTGGTAGCGGTCGAGGAAAGAATAGTTGCGCCCGAAAGATTGCGCTCTATCCGTCCTGCGACACTAACCAAAAACCATAAGCGTCAATCGTACACGCGTCATTTGTCAACCATCGACTAGTCAAGCTGGTACGCCATTGGTTCTTGCAAGCTTTTTGTTATTCCTTTCTCTCTTTGACTCTTCATGAGCATAACTCGGAGACAAGAACCTCTAGGCATACTATTATGTTGAAAGGCCAACAGCTTCGGCGGGGACTTAGGACATAAAAGTCGCATGCATGATAGTATGATAAGTTTGAAGTGTTTAGAATGCAACAAAGGCTTGAATTGCTATGAAACTACCATGTGAAATTTGCCTGAGCTCTTGTACTGGCCATGAATGCCCCAACTCTCTGAATGCACTAGCTCTTTGGATGTCAGCTCTCTGAATCGGCGCACTGAATGCACCGGCTCATAGTACAGCATATCTACTGTACAGGTGCAAAAAGTGATGCAAAAGGAAGAAAATTTTGTCAGAGGAGGAGTTTTTACTTAAGTGCAATAGGAAGTGGAGCTACCTAAACTTCATTAGCAGCGCCCGCAGGTAGACCAGGGGCGAGTAGAGCTATGGATATGTTCTAGTCCGTACCTAAATACCTGCTATCTATAAACTTTACCCACTATTCTTGAATGGCAGGGTGTTTAATTATGGCACCCCTAGTCTATAAATTACACTTGCTATTCGTAAATGGCAAGGCCCGCCATTCGTGAATAGCGCCACTAATAAACAAGCCAGGAATAAGGCCCTGATTTTAGCCGTACAACACCTCTGCACCTCATCACCTCAGCACTCCAGCACCCTAGCACCTTAGCATCTCAGCTACAACGGGGGGAACTTGAGACATAAAGGGCACAGGCATGAAAATATGAAAGTCTTAATTAGGGAAAGTGCAAAACAGCTCTGATTTGCTATGGCATTTAAGTACTAAACGCTTGCATCTTCTCTCAACTCCCTCAACTAGCTAGCTCCTGCACTCAATGCACCACCTCTGGCCGCACCAGCTTTCATTGCACCAACTCTCTGACTGCACCAGCTCTTCAACAGCACCAGCGCATGCGCAAAAGTAATGCCAAAGGAAGAGGATTTGAAAAGCGCAAAAGTTTGCAGTAGCGTAGGTGCTATGCCTTGTTGCTGTACTAAGGTGCTAAGGTGCTAAAGTACTGAGGTGCTGAGGTGCTGGAGTGCTGTTCCCGACTGTCACCTCGCCATTTACAAAGTCTTGCACTAAGCACGAGTTGTATATGTGTGGCTAGTCCATTCACGAACTAGGGGTGGCATACATAAAGCCTCCGCCATCAGGCTGGCCAACCAGTCAGTCAGTCAGTGATCAGTCGAGCTAACTCTTCAACTGATAGACTGATCAAAATGAGGGCATCCAACTGATCGACTGTCAGTCACTTATAAGTGCTGATAAGTTAAGAAAACGTGACTTTTGATCACGTTACCCTACCAAAAAGCGGCTTCACCAGGTTATCCTTATATTATTCAAAAATGTAAATATATAGAGCGCATAGTATAATAAGAGGGTTCATACTAAGAGAGTACACACTAAGAGAATGCACACTAAGAGAATGCACACTGAGAGAGTGGTACGGGTACTTGCATGCTTCAGGAGGGCTTATAAGTCTTAGGAGAGGGCTGAGAAATAAGAAGATCACTAAGAGGGACACTAATCACTTTTAGCTTAAAAGAATGCATGATTCTTAGTGTTTTTGTGGAGCTTTAAATCGGTAGAATGGTGGTGGGTTAAGATTTGAGTTTTTCACCGCCTCTTTTGACCAATCAAAGTGCTCTTTTTTGCCATTTCGCCCCTGAATCCCCTCAAAATCACCCCACCAAAATCGAAAAAATCGAATCTCTGAACTGACTAGTTGCTGCTCCCTTAAGCTCCACTTTGCTCTCAAATTCTTCCCTGGCCCATAGTCTGACTTCTGGAAAATTTCCCGATGTTTCTGTGCTCACTCTTTTGCCATATTCAGAGACTTTACCGCCCTCATTCTTATTGCCATCACTCTCGCTATCCTTTTCTCCGTTCTCCCCGTTACTCGTATCTTCTTCGTTGGCATTCTTATCGTTCCCGGTCTCCTTGATTTGCAAGTGTTTGTCACTTCTATCAAGGGGAGACTGCTGCTCGGAAATGATCCTGAGTCTCAAAGCTTTCCACTCCTTCAATATTGGTGCTGGATCAATCAGCCTCTTTGGGAAATCCATGAGGTCCTTTGGTGTATGTATATCCACCTGCTTCAAGTTCGGAAATGTCGCCAAGATCGGAACGAGCGAGTTGTTTAATTGAGCATTAACTGCGAGGTATCGAAACTTGGCCGTAGTGTCCTCAGATATCCTCGTAATCAACTGCACGTTGTCATTAGTAATGATGTCATCTGTAACAACGGCCCACATAAGACGGAGTTCCCTGCCCTGAAACGTGTAACTACCGCAAAGCGCTTGTAGAGAGACACTGCTGTCGCAAAGCAGCGTATCTCGTTCGAAGTCAACATAAATTCCAGCTCCGCCACTGAAAGTCTCTTGAAAGCTCAAATGGTATCGTTTCTGGGCATATTCTCGAGTCTCTTTGTTCACAGCTAAGAGAACCCACGGAAGATTTCTACCATCACTGGGGGGTTTGAGAGACTCAACAACGCACATCGAGTCAGATTTCTCGACACCAGAGCAGTCTGGCTCTCGAGCGTTTCTCAAAGCTTTCCCCTCTTGCAATTTGTCCTTCTGGCCATCGCGCTCGACTTTGACTCGGGTGTGTCCGATTTGAAGAATACGAGCTTCTGGAAGGGTAAGATCGTAGATTTCGAGGCGCAACTCTAAGGAGAGCTTTTCGAACCACTTGAACTGGCGCGTGAAGTCTGGTGTTGGGTTATGGATCGATGGACATATTGCGCCAGTAAATTGAGCCTCCACGAGATAGGCTTCGTTTGCGAATTGCTGCATGGGTTTTGGTTAGCCTGCTCTACGGATATGATTTGCGACAAATAGACAAAGACACAGTAGCTTACCACTGCCATGATCAAGATGACGCCCTGAGGTGCCGCCTTCTATTTAGATCTAAATGGAGATTTTGACTGCAGATGATTTTCTTTGTAGAGGTGGTGTTGTGCAGATGTATTGTTTAGTTGAGAACGACGCGCAAAAATGAAGCGATATGCGTGATACATTGGCTAGTTGGGGCGAAAAGTGAATGTGGAGATGACTGACTTGCATTAAGAGGTGTCGATCTGCCTTAAGGCAGATCGTGCTGACTAATCTAAGACTAGGGCTAGGACTAGCTAATCTAGGACTAGTTATGATACACTAGTAGAATCCTAATGCGAACGTGGACTAGTTTCTCTTTATACTTGCTCAATGTCTCAGCATACGAATCACTTTTGAAGTCACGTATTTCAAAAACGCCATCGTAAGGCATTTGGGTTGACTATTTGCATGTTTACTGATTATCAAGGTAGAATTCGAAGAAGTAATCTCTAAGCTGCACGAGTTTTGCCACCAGACCATAGCTCCATGTTCCACTGTCGTCCAAATACTTCCCATGTCCCGCACCAACGCTCAAGAGTCTCGCTCAGCCACACAGTAACCAACCAAGATGATATTCACATGTCAACAGCAGAAGCCTCAATACACCGTAGTTCTGTTTCAAATCTCGGCGCTTAAATCCCCGTATTTTTTGTGCAGAATTTCAGAAAGTATATTATCTCCCTCGTCGTGGTTCCCTAGCCCGTATATTTCTCAATTGATCCCCATGGAGGGGCTATTGGTTCCGAAGAGCCCTATTCGGAAAAATACAGAAGATATGTTCTAATCGGTGGCTATAGTTCAAGCTGGATTGAGCGCGCCGTTGCTTACTGCGATGAACTATGCAAAAATTCTGCTTTTGTGTTATTTGTAGTTTTGAATTTCGAATATGAAGTGTGCATTTCGTATTGTTGTTCTTGAAGACAAAACAAGTTGCGCCGTAAAGGCCACGAGCCCACACTTCTCCATACCTAAATAATCTAGCCTCACTCGAATATCAAGCTGCTTCTATGCACAAATTAGTATTAGGTTCATGTTCTTAAGCCGTGAACAAACACATAGATCGAATGGTTTCTGTTACAGGTTCGATATTCAGTCAGTATCAGTGCATCCTCGAATGTCCTCGATTCCGCTCCAAATGCTGTGAAGGATGTCGCATCTGTATCTCAGATGCTGCATCTTTTGCTGCCCAATCCTGCCTATCGTGAACTTCAGAAGCATCCATCATCAGATCTACCGTCCTCGACGACGAATCTCTTGAGTTTGGCACTTTCGTCCTTGCTGGTACCGCAAACAGTTCTCGAAACACTGGTGGAGTACTTTGGTTATTTGGGAAGTAAGTCGTGGCTCCTGGGAAATTCCTAAACCTGCGAGCTGGTACGTACATGCCCTCTACATCCTCACTCGGTCTATGCTTTTGATACTCCTCCGCACATTGACTGTAACTTGATCTATGCCTCCTCGACCCCGCATCGGTGCATATACTGATATCGTAGTTCAGATCAGAGTATGTAATGGAGGGCTCGACTTGAGATAGGCCATGTCTTTCTTCTTGGAAGTAGCCTTGGGATCTGCTTTCTTCCTTTGTTCGCTGGCCCGTTTAAAATGGGAGACTATAATCAACATCAGTGCAAGAGACATTATTCCGCAAGTGATACCCAACACGATTATTGCCCCTTGAATGGGCGTAGGTTTCCCAGTACCGTATTCAATATGTATAAACGTTGAGGTCGCTGTGGCTGTGGCCGTGGTTGTTGTCACCCACCCATTGGCGCAGCAGATCTGGTAACTTGTTGTACTGTCACTAGCTGCAGCCTGTGTTGACACGATTATTGGGTTTGTATACTCAGCAACCTCAAAGTGAGCAGCAAATGAGTGCAATGCCGAATATTCCTTTGGCACTTACATGCTGGATCTAGGAGCTGACATGACACCAGAATATCAAGATATTAGAATTACAAGTTGAATTCTTTCAAAGAACAAATGTGCTTGCCAACTTTTGTTTGCTACGTGGTAGTGACACTTCGCAGAGCATTCTTGTACCACACGAACAGACCTGTGATTGTACCGCAAACGTCGCTGATTGCTGGTTCCATCATGTATGGAAACTAGAGTGGAGAAGATGTGAGAAGAAAAGCCAGAACTTTAGACTATCATAATGTTCGGAAGGTCAAGATTAGTGAGGTCTGTTTTGAGTTGCCAAGACAAGCTTACATAATCACGAAGCGAGACTCATAAAGGGGGGACAAGACTGCTCCCAACACTTTTGCATTCTTAGATTACAAATCTGACAACGAGAATTCCAACTTTGATGGTTGTCCATTCCAAGTATAATCTATCATCCTTTCTCAGTTTATGACACATGCTGAAGGGTTAACGGGTTTGGTGACCAGGACACCCGAAACAGACTTTCGGGCTTCCGCACAGTGTTGGCTTGTGCGCCGACCTTTGGGCTTCCTGTAACCAATACTTCCTTTCCAGACATTTGAGCCTGGTACTGCCTCAATTCCGCCAATCTCCCCAGCGACTGCGGCGTCATAGGCCCAATCCTTCACACTGACATCGTCCGGAACTGGCGGGGCTGGCGTGTTGGTATAGATAGAACGGTAGGGGTGCAGTTCACCAATGTACGTCGAAGATCGCTTCTTTATGCTACCCCTCGAAGACCCGGAGCTGCTGGATGATTTGCTATGTCTTGAAATTCGGTCCAGTCCGCCATTGACAATCGGCTCCCCCACTCGAGGATCGCTGCTGGACCCACTCGAACTGTGATATACACGATAGGCTGGTACGGTCATCGTACCTTCCGGTACAACCTCCATGGTTCTTGAGTTCCGAATGACCTGCTCGGTCACAGTGCCCGAGTCGGAGCTTCTTCTTCGTCGGCGTCTTGGGACGATATCAAGGCCAGGTATACCCAATTCCTCATCGTCACTAGGCTTTGCCTTTCCCCATCTCCCCAGAATGTTTGGTCGTACTTGAAAGATCCACCATAAACCAATGATTAGAGCGACCAAGAGAATGATGACACAGGCTATGAACCCTCCTTGCTTGCCCTGGCCCCAGCAGCTCCAGTCCACGCACGAACCACCAGTTGTAACAACGACCGTCGAACTCGCAGAAGGAACCACAGTAACATATGTAGGAGTGGAATGTGCGGCACCTTGTGCTAAGGTTGCAGTCATCAAGGGTACGCCGTTATTGCTATATGCAATGCCAACGACATCCGTTAGGGTCAAGGTAGGTGGAGGACTTGGAGCGATCTGATTCGGAGAGTAGGGAGGAACGACTGTAAACTGTAGGCTTCCGATAACAGAGGCAGGTGGGTACAGAATCGTATATGAGAGCTCGTTGGGGGTCGCGTTGTAGGTGGTGGTGAAGGTTCTCGTTACGGTAGCGCCGTACAGTGAGAGAGAGGCAGGAAGTGCGGAAGCCATTTTGCTTTCGTGATACGTACAGTGCTAACAAACAGCTCTTTGAAAGTACGTATGATGTTTTCGAGCTTGGAGCGAAACTGCGGTGGCATGTGTTGTGCTGGCTTCAGAAAGAGGACTCCAAAGCTTTGGTCGATGTTGACTCCAGATCGTGAGGCTGACTCGGTTAAGAAGGAATTTAAAACGGAGAATAAATTCTCAATAGCCGGCTCTGAGCCGTCAAATTGTCTGTTTCCAAGTACGAATCGCTTCTGAACAATCGAGTTGGCTTGGTTCTCAAGACTTGGGCTGCTCTACGGATCTCGATTGCCAGATGATGATCCAACGGTCTTCGGAATATTCGATTTCAAATTTGATGTTCAGGCTATCATGTAAACAATATGACCCCCTTGATTGAAGGAATAGGTCAGTCATATGCTGGTTGATAGTATGCTTGGGACTCTTCAGCTTGCCGGTGGTTCTCGCTATGATGACGGTAAAGACAGTGGTGGATAATCTCGCTATCTTTCAGGAATCTGATCAAAGTCTCAACACTTTCGGTTGTTGTTCTGATATTTGTTGAAACAAGAGTATTTGAACCTTTCAGCAGAGTATGATGCTATGTGAGATGTCAGCGAGTCATTCTTCATACATTGTAGAGTGAATTTATAATGGAATCCTCAACGCTGTGTAGAGTCACGAAGAATATGCAAGAGCAAACATTTGTGCGAAGGACTTTATTCATTCGAGTTGCAGACCACGATCATACAAATTCCGCCTCTCGATCTGTGTCCACTGCCCGATATGTATTCGCAAGGAGAAGTTGTACTCTAGACAAGACCAGTAAAGGAAGAAGAATCCTCGCTAGTGATCGTAATTTCAGTCAAACATGTGATACCTCCAGCCTCGTCCTTGCGGCGCTGCTCCATCTTGCGACGCTCAGCACGACGAGCACGCTCCCAGCGACGCTCCTGACGAGCTTCCTCCATGCGTTCAACCTGAAATATGAGTATTAGCCAAAGGCCTCTGTATGACAATAATAAAGGGAGGGAGGCTTACGAAAGGGCCCATATAAGAGCGGCACATGAAGAAGATAGCAACACTGATCACGACAGCAATGAGGAGAATCAAGAAGATGCCGAGGGTATATTGCATGTTTGCTGTATTGCTGACGAAGGTCGATAGCGGAGGAGGTTCGAAGGTCTGAAATGTGGACTGGAGGGAATCGAGGAACTGTAAACAGAGCCGTTAGACCTACTATCAACAATGGCGCGAGAAGAGCAAGGATGGACTGACCTTGCTGAAGCGAATGCTTGTGATTTGGAGGAGACGATTCGGCGCAGAGATTGGATGAGAGCAATCCGGAACAGAATTTGCGAAGAGCGTCGAAGGAAGGGGTTTGAGGGTTGATAGTTGAAGTGTGAAAGATGAGCTCTGGTGGTGATTTCGGAGAAAGTAGCAGATCGCAAAATCTTCTTTAGCGTTGCCAAAGTCGAAGTCAACAACGAAAATAGTGGTTTATCGGAGAATTAGTTCGGCCGTTCCGCTTAGCGTTGGAGAAGAAAGAGGATCGAAGTATTGTAGAATGTGGAACCTTAGATATCGGTCCGCCCGAGAGATGACTTGCAAGTGCTTTTTTCAACGTCTTTCAAGACCTTTATTGTGGGTTCGTGCTGGAGTCAAAGCGGCCAACAAGTCTGAAGTCCGCAACAAGTTTGCAAGCTTCTTCGTATTGCTTTCGAAGGTGTGATTCTGGAGGCTCTCGTTCGAGCAATTTGGCTAAGATGGATTCGTGAAATCCTTGTTCAATGGCGAGCACTGTCCATTTGCGCAGAAGCCCGCGGATCTCATCAGATTTGGCGACCCATGTTGCATAGCCCTTCAAGTCGTTGGCGTCAGGGTTTGCCTTACAAATGTTGTCGTGGTAATCGAAGAGAGCAGCAGAGGCAGCGATAACTCTCACACATGCGGTGAAAATGCTTGCATCTGATTCTGAGCAGCGGGGTAACAGGGCCAATAGGTTGGTTACTGAGACCAATCCTTCGATCGTCCAGTTCAGCAGGGCGTTGAGAGGCTTGGAGTCCCACGGCGAGATCTGACTTTCCTCAACGATCTGTTGTCGTAAGTTGCTGAGTACTTGTGCCCATAGGTCAATCTCCCTCTTCTCGTCGATGTATAGATTTGGCTTCTCGACGCTGAAGAGATCGTCGTCTTGCTCTCTTGCCAAGTCTAGTTGCATGTCCAGGGAAAAGAGGGGGTTCATGCGCTGGGTAAGCTCTGGCGTGGTCCCAGTGATCCTGTCCACCACGTTCCAGGCAAATTTGAGGGATGCTCCATACTTTGGTAGCATGAAGTCTTTAGCCAGCCATCGGGCAGCAGCCAAGCCAACGAGAGAGACCCCAGCAAGCTGGGACACTATTTGTGCCCCAATCTCCCTGATCTCGCTATCGTCGTCGTTTAACGTGTTGTAAAGCGGAAGCAAAACCGGAAGAAAGTCGGCTTTTGCTTTACTCACCCACTGCTTGTGGGACAATACGCAGCGCATAGCCTTCGCTGCTGCGAGTCTACTATCGTTGTCCTACGTTGATTAGCAATCTTTCGAATCAAAAAGTGAGAAGCCTAGGTGACTACTTACTTTTGTGGCTTCTCCATGCCACATTAGAGTCACACCCCACTCCCCAATCTCTGACTGCAGCAAACGGCCCGTGCCAGCGAAGGAGTTTGAAAACTTGACAGCCATCATCCAACCACTGAGGGTGACCCAGGCATTCAACAGAATTGGGCCACTGAACCGTGGTTGGAGTCCGGCAAAAACTCCCGACAGCCCCTCTTGAGAGACTTCATAATCGTACTTGTTCTCAAGAGCTTGGGACAAGCAATTCAGGGCAGCTGCATTGACATCGGCGTCGATGTTGCGTTTGTAAATACCCGCATATGCTTGAGCGATTCTCACCAAGTTGGGGTCTGACTTGAATGCCTGAGATATGATGGGCAGTACTTCCAACATCGTATCAGAATCCAATACCGCGGCAGCTCTTCTGGTGATATCAGCGATCGAGACGAAGTTTTCATTAACAGCTGCGATGAGGAAGGCTTGTTTAAGAAGTGCCAGGCGGAGTTCCGGAGCTTGATGGAGCTTCAAGGTCATAGATAGGTAGTTCTCATCTGCCTGTGAGAAAACAGAATCCGGCACTTTTGACAGTGCTAATGCAGCCGAAAGTTGAGCGTTCTGAGTCTCGATAATCTCAGCCAGTATGAACAACCGGAAGTTTGGTGCAGATCTTTCAAGATGATATTGAGCAGAGCAAGCCTTTGATATTTCGGATACATCTGGAGAACATAGACATCAGCAACTAGTCATTTCTTGTATAGCAATAAAACACAAAACGTGCAAAGACTAAATCCTCAAGTGGGACCAGACAACAAAGAAACGGAACGGGCTTACCAAAAACAGCAAGTGGATTCAGCAAAGCATGGCGCTCTACGATACGCCTAGCTGAAAGTAGGCGACCGTGTCGGGTATTAGAATGTTCTCCTTCTTTGCCTGTCAACAACTCGACAACTAAAGTAGGAATATCTCGTCCCATGGTGAGAGCGCAATATGCTCGGGCCGCCATATCACGAACGTGCCATATATCACTGCGTAATTGTGCGGATACGAGTTTTACAAGAAGTGTAGAATCGCCATTTGGAGGCCCAGCGCGTCGAAGAATATCCAGAGCAGGAAGGACGATCTCTGGAGAATTCAAGGCGTACAGATCCTCGGAAGAGGCAAGCAATTTCTCTATGACGCTCGTAAGCTCAGGATATCTGTTGTAATCGATCTTGATGGAACGTCCATCCCAGCCGTTCTCGATCTCCGATTTGCTAACACTGGTACCGAAGATGGTGTCAATGAGACTACGCAATAAGAGGAGGCCGCAGTTTCGAATAGCCCAGCTATTGAGATATCAGTAAACTAGGCAATACCAACACAGATTGAGATGTTTTCTTACATTGTGGATTTCAGAGAGTGTACCGCCAATTGTAAACAGTTTCCAATATATGGCTCACATAACAAACCGAGAGAGGAGCTCTTGAAAGCTTCTTTGATCGAATTCAAAGCATGTACTTGAGGGATACTCGTGTTGTCGTCCTGAGAAATGACAGCTGGGAGCCAAGCAACCTTCATCAACTCCTTGATGATAGTATCAAAAGAAGCGTTTGAAGATTTGGCCATCATAATACCAGTGAGCATCGCTGGAATTCCAGCTGATCGACGTGTTGTAGACGCTTGTAGTTGGATACATTCCAGAGATTTCTGCAAAGTCAGTAAAGAATCGTGTTATTAGAAGCCTCACATACATTGTACCAGTCCACCAGTTTAGCATCCAGCTTCGTGCCAGGCTTCAAGCCCTTGTATTGAGTAAGCTCGCAACTCATATTGAATGTGTGTGAGACAGTAGAAAAGGCCCCTCGATGGCGAAGATTGGATAGCTGATCAAATGTCAAGTCCCCGATCTGTTCGAAGAGCGCGATAGGTAGGAGAGGACCTTCGTCGGGTAGGTGGATCTTGATCTTCTTGAGCAGAGACTGTAACAAGTTACTGGAAGGGTTAGCGAGAATTGGAGAAGACATCAACGACTAGGATTATCTCTAACCTTGATTCGTGGATGGCTCTGAAGCTGTAACTTAGGACGTTCTTCGTATCAACACGATCAACTTCGACGTCATCCAGATCTTCGAGGAGATGGCCTTCAGGGGAGTCGTTGCACAAGATCTCTTTGACAGCGTGCCAGATACGAATACAACCTGTGATCATGCGCTGCTGTAAATCGTCCAATTGAGCACGTAAGGCAAGATCATGGAGCTGCGTCTGTTTGTGGTGCTGTGAGAAGGCTGGAGAGTCCCAAACGAGTCTATGAAAAAGGTGAGTCGCAGGCTAGTATCGTTGCGGCGACAAAACTTACCTTAGTGCGGCAAAATTTCCATGAATGGGTGCTTCTAGCACAGCTTGCCCTAAGTCTTTTTCTGCGATCCGAAGGTTCTCCTCTAAATCTTCCATCAACTGTGTCATCAATTTATTCCTTGCGTCAGCGGAACACTGCATGCCATACAAGAGTTCATAAGAACGTGCCAACCCGTCTGAGTAGTCTGCACGACCAGTCTTGCTTGACACTGCTTTGGCTCTGTCGATAAAATATAGTAAGGCGGCGAAATCTTTGTGTTCCTCTGCGGGTTCTTTGGGTTCTTTGAGGGTGTCTAAACCGTTACTCAAGCTCCGTGCGCTATCAGGTTCGACGAGCTCACTTGACGAGGGTGTTCTGAGTGCTGGAGCTTGCTCGATTCTGTCGACAGCTTCTGCAGCCTTGTTACCACAAATACTACTTCCTCCCTTCTCAGTGCCATTACTCGATTTGGGCGTTCTGTCATCTCCTTGTCTATTGCTGTTAAGCGAGCTATTGCGAGTTTTATGACCGCGTTCAATTTCGACGCCTCCGCATCCTAACATCGACGTCGAAGTTGATAACGATGTCTGCGAACATGAGATACCTTCTCTGCTCTTTGCAATATCTGCCAATGTATTGCTGGACGATGCAGGAGACAATACACAGGGTTTTCCAGCTGTTGATTTAAGCGAGGTGTCCACCAAATTTAATCCACCAGACAGAGGAACATGTAACTGAGTACCAAGCGTCTGTACTGAGGTATCTTGACCTTCCGTACACACCGCAGAGCCCGAATCGAAGTCTCTAGGTGTAGCGAGCCTTAAAATGTCCGCAGCAGTACTTCTTACATCCTCGAATGGGTCTAACAGAAGGTCCATTAACAGGCGAACTGCTCCTGGAGTGAAGAATTGGAAAGAGAATGGCCATGCAGGAGAGCTTCCAAAGACGCGTGCGGATTGTGGTGTTGTCTCGTGTATGCCAGAGTTCACAAACAATAGGGTTGCTCTCAAGGCAGTGATATGTCGTTGGTATGAAGCAGTGGGGATCATTTCTCCAAGCAAAAACCCTAGATACCAGGCCAGAAAGTCTTTATGAGCTTCAAGTAGAGCCATGACTTCATCCCTGAGATCCTTCTGTTCTTGCATCTGGCCTTCGTTGAATGTTCCGGTTCCATGCGGCAGGTATGAAAGATTCTCAACTTCTCTGGCCATTGAAGAGGTAGCTCCTCGCAGTCTCTCAATCATATGTTTCGTATTACTCAGGACTTCATTGCGAAACTTGGCATCTGGATCTGAGTAGAGGACATCCATGCACGATTTCAGAATTTCGAGAGCCACATAACTGAAAGGTCGAATTGAAGATAGAGACGAAACCATGACCGAGAAAGCAAGTGAGCGGACAGTGTCGGAAGCATGAAAAACCAATTGCTTCAACGCATCTTCGGTGAGGACAATGGTCTCAGAGGATTTCTTGCTCTTCACGAGCCAATCAAGCGTTGCTAAGCAGATCAGCATCATAACAATTAATGTGGGCCAACTGTGCGAAATACCTGGTTCTTCGATCAGTCCTGCCTTTTTACCCATCTCCATAGCAGAGAGCTGCAGTAACTGATGCGCGTGTAGACCTTTCGTCACGCTGATCATCGAAGGAGTAGCCATGTTCAGGTCCCTCAGAAAGATGATCGACCCAGCCCGATCAAGCTTGAACAGTGGTGGAAATAAGTAATTCTTGACGTTCTCTAAGCTTTCAGGGTTCTTTTCAAGTCCATTCCTAATCCATCGTTGCCATGATGCAGAGTACTCGTTTCGATTCCCTGAAGCCTTGGATTTCTGATCTCTCAAAGCTCTGAATATTGTGACGAGAAACTTGCCTGCAGCTGGGGAAATGTCAGGAAGCGTCATCCACTCGAACACTCCAGCGAAGAAGTCATCCCACGAGTTGTCTTCGATTTCTGAATATTTTGATGCAGACATGTCGGCACTGACGGCTCCGCTTTCCTCAACTGCGCCGACGAGGCCTCGCACAGAAATGGTGCCTTTCCCGACCAGGTATTCCAGACATTTGAAAGCTGGTTTGACCAAAGGTTGTGCAGCTTGATGCGTGATAATAGCCAGTGTCCTTTGGACGATCGAGGACTTCAAAGAGAGCGCAATATCAATGTCCTTATTGCGAGTGATGAGAGAGCAAACAAGTTCCAAGACTTGACGCATTGATCGGTTCTGATTTTTCTCGTTCCACTCGATATAAAAGCTGAACAATTCTAAGCAAGTCTTCTCAGAAATTGCGACGCCTTGGATGACAGAAGAACTCGAGATTCGACACTGATCAAGAAAGTAACAGAGCTTGATACACGCATTGTTCGATGCGTGTCGGGGTTGAGCAGCTTTGTCCAGGAAGTACTTGAGGCATTCCGATGTAATACTAAGATTACGATATGAGTCAGTTTTTCAGATCAGTAGGAAGATGACTGCTTACTGTTGTTGGTTCTTCGTTGGCTGTCTTTCGATCCATTTCAAGAGCTGACGATCTTCGTATGGTGGGGATTCAGAAGCACCTGCAGTGGTGCCTCCTCTACTATCTGCCATCTTGCTGAACCTTTATTTGATGAAAAAATCAGCTTGTATGTTGTGGGTGCTCGATATTCAAGGTTGAGTCTCTCCTTCAGGAGAATAGCTAGTTCCAGAACCGTGTGGTTTAGAACAGAATAGCTTTTCTGCTTTTCACCGCCAAGGCATGGAAGTAGACTACTAGCGTCTTGGATGGTTGACTACAAAGACGCAACTAGTATGAGGAATTTTATTTGAGATACTTGAGAATCTTATGCCACGTCAGTATGAATTTTCCTCAGGACGATAATCCTGGGACGAAAGAGTTATTCAGTCACGTGCGCGTATTTATGACTGACCAGAATGGTGCTGGACCTCTCAGAGAAGAAACTACTTATTGCAAGTGCTATTTGTCTCTCATGAAAGGATGTTGCACGGCGGGAGCTTTCAGCCTCATATGGAAGGAGTCTGGAGATTCTGAAAGAGGACTTTTTTGCACCAGTCGAATATGAGCCCTACAAGTCCCTAATGTTAACCGACATTCTCACCTGCAATAGTTTGGAAAATCGGCATTAGACAATGAAGAAACTTACTTTCGATTTCTTGCAGCAGGAAATGTTCTCAAAAAAACAGCTTCACATCCTATGGTCGTTGTAGATTTTGACCTTTAGAAGAAGACGCCGGTGTAACTGTTTTTCCTTGCTGCGGGACGACTTCGGTCTGTGATTGGTGTACCCTTAGTAAGCGAGTCGGAAGTCTGACGCTAATGTCACTCTTCAAGCCTCAGGCGACAACAGACATGCTGAGAACTAAAATATTTTGTCGTCAATCATCAAGACAACTTCGCAGCCCCCCGGCGCTTTACTTACAGCTCTTCCAGCACTCCTTCGGAACGTCTCGTAATGTCGATCTGGGACAAGTTCACAGGACGAAAGTCCACGTCCTCGACCTCCACTCCTTCCACCTCAAACCCTGCGGCGGACAGTTTTCAACCTACTCCTTTTGATCCTCAAGAAGCACAAGACGTCTCGTCCTTCCTCAGCCCTACCTTTGCGGACCCTTCACAACTCCACCCACTTGCTGGACTGAATCAGCAAACTCTCGATTACTTATCTCTCGAAGATTCTGCGTTATCGGATCTCCCAGGCTCGCAATCTGCGTTGCCGTCACGAGGCTGGTCTGATGATCTCTGTTATGGAACCGGAGTGACTTACCTTACCGCATTAACTGTGGGCGGTGCTTGGGGCTTGCAGGAGGGATTAAGACGATCGAGTGGGCAACCTCCGAAACTGCGATTAAATTCGGTGCTCAATGCAGTGACACGGAGAGGACCCTTCTTAGGCAACTCTGCTGGTGTGATTGCGATGGTTTATAATGGATTCAACTCGTTCATCGGGCACATGCGTGGAAAGCACGATTCGGTGAACAGTATTGTGGCAGGTGGATTAAGCGGGATGATCTTCAAGAGCACCAGAGGAATTCGACCTATGATGATCTCTGGTGGCATCGTCGCCACGGTTGCTGGTGCATGGGCTGTAAGTGTCCTTATGCTTATATTGCTGTAGACAAGTCAAGCTAATAAAATCCCAACGCAGGTCACAAGAAAAGCGCTCTTTTAATACAGATTTAATCTGGCTCTTTCCGAATGTTCGCCCAAGCTCTTTCCTCTCACGAAAACCACGTACGCCGTATCGAACAACTATCATCCAACCTCCTCTTGTACCAGCACCTCCTCTTCCAACATGTTTTGATTACAATAGACTTCGTTATTAGGCGCGGGATGCATTAGCGATGGATGATCTCTCCTCTGGCTACGGTTACGGCCGAATGTATATGTAGATAAAACACGCCGTTGCGTTTGATGAGGCGTGGTGGGCGTCGCAGAAAGCATGGCGTATAATGGAACGACATATCAAGCAATTGGCTCTTTCTTGAAGTGCTGCAAGTGCTCAATGCCTCGACCCTTAGCTTCATTTGTAGTTAAAAAGGTGTTGCTGACCTAGTGAACAGATTCACTTTCATCTCTAAAAAAAAAATCGGATGTTCTTAGTTGAAGAGTATTTCTTAGCTGTTCCAGTCGCAACTTCCGTCGACCCATTCTCATTTCAGAACATCAACCACCAGCACAAATATTCAGTATCGCTATTTCACACCAAGTTTCTGACTTGAAAACTTCGAAATCATGGAAGTCCCAAAGTATCCACGATTCAGTGCTCCGGAGATGAAGGAGCTCGCAATCGAGTGGGCACTGCGCACTGGTGAAGACCAATTGGTTATCTATGATCTACCAAAATCCAGTCTCGAGAACATGACGATGCTAGATACCGATAATCTCGACATGAACATGCTTGACTCTGCGTTCTTGACTGGGAGTTCCTCGACTTTGGACTTCAAGCACGAAGAACGTGAAGAGAAGAGACTCATCTTTCTGCGGAGTCTCATGAAGCAATGTTTCTCACGGGACATCACCTTAAAGATGGAAACCATGAAATTGTTAGATGAAGAAATCGAATCTCTGGGCTTGTCGGATAGCTTACACAATAGTGCATTCAAAGAAAAGGTCTGCCGCACCCGGAACACCCAGTTTCCAAACTCACATCAATTTAGGCATTCGCAGTTGCAAAGGCTCGACTATCCGCAAAGCATTTTGGTACCAAGAATTTAACCTTGAAGTCAATCAAGAGATTTGATTACCAGGTTGCTCTCGGTGTACTTCGTGGTGGCCATGGTGGGCATTATGAGATTCTGGACTTGTATTTCGACTTCAAAAACAAGTTTTGGTTCTTCTTAGAAATCCTTCAGGAGACCACTCAATTCTCGATGATACCACCCATCAACCTAGAAGAGCAGCAAGATGATGGAGAGGAAGTCGACTTCTCTAGTTCGACCACTTCCCAAGATAGCGTACCGAGCAGCATTTCGAGCTCTGGCAGCCTAACATCTACAAGAACCATGTCCGAGTCAACGCTACGATCCAGGAGCAGCCTGAACAGCACACCTCAGCCAGATCAAGATACAGGAGCCGTCAAACGACGAGGGTATACACTTGAGCATGGGCCTTGGCTGTACCGCATCTCGGAGCAGGGGAGAAGTGCTAGAGCAAAAAGGGGAGCATGGCATAATATCACAAGCTTAGCTTCTTACAACAAGATGATCATTCAGTTCCAGGAGCATTCGCACAGCCACGAAGGCAAGCCTCCTATCGTTTCTATCATTCATGTGAGATTCCATGGCGAGATCATCCATTGAGAACTTACTGACATTATTAGTACCTTGACAAAGTTGCGGTTGCTCAATGGTCCAGGATTCGAGCAAATGAAGAACGGGCCGAGCGCGAATTCTTAAAGTTGATAAAGGAGTCAGGCTTTGATGATGAAGATATCGGTGAGCCTTTCATGAAGGGCGGCAGACTCTTCACGAAAGAGTAATAAGGACATGTCCAGACACAACTCTGTTGGCAACCAGAAATCAAACGTCGAAGTCCCCGGCCGTACGGACTCTCGGAAGCGTCGGGAAAGGTAGGTACAGGATTGGGATCAGATTACCTACTGGATAGCTATTGGCTTGCGCTTTTCCGCAATGGTACAGTTGGGGTATGCGGACTAGGACATAGTTTTGCTCACTCAAGCTACCTTCGCTTTAACAAAGTCAATGTAAAGACTAAAACGAGTCTGCCCCTGAATCTAATCTCCTTTCTTGTACAATGCTAGTTTGGTTGATATGCAGTCCAGATGCTGAAGTAAATACCAATCTTATTGTTTGATACACCCAATAGTGGTCCATTAATTAAAGTACACCATACTTTATTGGAGCTACTAGGTCTGCCAATCATCTGAGCAACTCCCGCACGCTCCTTCCAGAATCGTAAGTCGCGTCTTCGTCTGATGATCTGAATCCTTACCTGCAACCAGTGTTCGATTTCATAGACTTCTAGGCACGAATCAAGTCAATCTCTCCATCGTCGATTGGATGCTTGTCGCGTACTTTAGAAAAACTCGATTCTATCCATCGGCTTGCTAGACTGTCTGCAACGACAAGCCTCAAGAATGTGCCTTCCCTGCTTCACCGATATCATCCTCGAGGATGATCCTCAGTTGAAGAGGAAGAAAGAGATAACTTATTGGGATCCGCGCGCTGGAGGATGGGTCAAGGTTACTGGTACTAAAATTCCAGCTGTGAGTACCGCATTTTCATTTTGCTGCTGCTTTGCCGTCAATCTCGCTCTGGTTCAGTTCATCTTCGTCCTCCTTCCCATTTTGTCTTCTCAACAATGCGGGGTAGCGTGATTCACCTTTGACTCCGCATCGCTTTACAAAACGTCAACAAGCGTTCAGTGTCGTTTTTATTTCTCGCCAGAATAACAACCTTCCAACAACACGTCAATATCAAGAACACTTCGGAGATATCTTGTCTCATCCATCCTGAGCAATTCCTCAAATCGCTAACGCCTGCGCCATCCATCATGCCTATTCCTGTCGTCGTCGAGCAGAACTTTCAACCTCAGGAGGGAGATACAACCAATGGCCCCAGCGTCCACACCTACATCCCTCGACACGATGGCAGTATCCTGGTCGGAGGAGTAGCATACATCCCGCAAGCTACTGTTGCCGTTCCGGTGGCTACTGTGCCTGTTGCTCAGGTCCCCACAGTCGTTCCAACTCCGGCTGTAGTGCCAGTGGCTGCTCCTCCTGTACAGTTTCCTTACCATCTCATGAGCTTTCCGTACTTCTTCTACCCACAGCCAGCAAGTTACTCTCTGGATCTGCTTTCTTTGCGTGGGCCAATGCATATGAGAGGGACTATGCTAACCATTCGTTTCTAGATCTACCCACCACAACAACCCATTATCTACCAACAACCCTACGTAACTCCTCCGCAAGCGGTCTACAACCAACACGCCTATCAACCACCTTACCAAATGCAATACCAAGCTCCCTACCAACCCCCTCCACAAAACTACCCCAACGTCTACCCGGCTTACAATCTTCCCTATGGAGCACCGGGAGGATACGGACAACCAGGCCAAACCGGCGCCGAAGTTCTTGGAGGTCAAATGTTCCTTGCACAAGAGTCCGAGATTAACAAGAAGCAAGAGATGAAGCCCGCCGATGATGATCCTTTCCGCATGTACTGGTGCAGAGAGCTGGATGGAACCTGGACCCAACGAAACCGCTTGACGATTGATAGTGGCGATATTGGCGATTGTCGTTGGTATGCTATGGATGGATCATTCTATTGCGTTAGACTTTCTGACGGTTGAATGGTAAGCTGTGCCCCAATTAACCCATGCCGCATATTGACTTTCTGCAGTCCCAATTTCTCAGCTTTGATGTTACGATCTTTTCTTTCATGGACCATGCACGTTGGTATGGCTGGGTCTGTGGTGGATGGACAACAAAATGGGGCTTTGGAGAATGTTGGACTAAGAATTTGATTTCTGCGCTACGTTGTGCATTTCAAAATATGCAGTTCTTCACAAATCAAGCGAGCGATTTGATTGGGGTGGGATGCTTGGTAGCAATTGACTTTTCAAAATTCAGCGCTTTGCAACTTGAGATATCATAGAGTTCATGCAGCCACCCAATGATCCATGTCTCAACTTTAGCTGTGATAAGTGACCTTTTCCATATATTCCAGCATCGGATAGATGTCAAACCAGACCGTTTCACATTTGGAATCTCCAATGTTCCTTCTTTCAGCGGTACTTAAACTCTCTTTATGTTCCCACATAGTCTAGGCCTTTATCATGCAACCTCTAATTTTAAGATTAGCTTTCCAATGTCTGATCTTTTCACAATACTGAGAAGTTCTTAATGTTCTCATACAACTTGGGACTCTCCCTCTTTATCTCTGTCTTTGAAATTAAGTTTCCAATGTCCCTTCTAACGTCGCACTTATACTGTCTGTATATTCTGACACAGCCAAGAACATTCCAATCTAACATTTTGAAACTCTTCTTTGGAAGAAGGCTCGGTCACGTGCTCGCACCTATATAGACTGCGAAATTGCTCCATAGAGATTTTTAACAAGATCCAACTCAAGGAAACCGCAGTATAGGTGCGCCGGGTGCAGCCCGGCTCGGGTGTCGGTTTAAAGAAGAATGCGTAGTGATTATATATTTGTGTTTGTATGGTTGGGATGTTGACAACGAAAGGTTCTTGAATCTTGACGACAGAAAATAGATGACAGCAACAAACTTTCAGCTGCGTCTTAAGGATATACGAGCGACTATGGAAGGAAATTCATGCAAGCATCAGTTTGTCCCGGCTCTGTCCCAGCAAATTTGCCACAACTCCAAAATTTGCTCGAAGTGTAGGTGTGCCATGACGTTTGAGAGATAGGTAATTGAGATAGTGCCTATAAATAGGAGATTTGGAGAGCTGTGAGTCTGGCAGTAGCCTGACGTTCTATACAGATGAGTGAATAGTCGTACCTGATGCGGAGAAGTGAATCTAAGATTGAGTCTGCATACATGCGGAAAGTTGCTCTGAGGCCAGGGTATAAAATGGCTTCAAACCTCTGGGCTAGAGTATCAACTTCTCCTTACAAGCCTGCGGGCATATCACATGGTGGTCAAGTGGTTTCCCCGACCCCGGTGTCTCTGCTCCTCAGAGACGCGAAATTGGTTTGAGGACTTGGAGCAGAGAATCCGTAAGTAAACGTGTAGTCTCATTTCCAGTTTCTATTGTCAACTAGTCTGAGGGAACTATTGCCAACTACTTCTTATTACTATCAATCATCGTTCTAATACAAAAGCCGTCTGTGTTCAACAGCTATCAAGGCCGACAGACCTGCATAACTATCGCAAGACATGGAACTCCCAGTAATCTGAACGTCACAGGCACAGTAGATCTCCCAGTGGTCCTTCCCATTATTTGGAGTTGTTTTACGGCCTTGCATCTAAGGCTGTAATGGCTGTATATATAGTCCTTCAGAAGTCCGAGATGTGGAGCGAACTTAGAGTGAAGTAAAGTGCGATCAGTTTGTTAGGTTGATGGTATGTTATATAAAGCGTGAATGAAGGATGAAGGAGAAAGAAAGACAGTTAGCGCTTGTACAAACTTTGTATTAGTAGCGGAGTATAAAGGGTCTTGGGATTGAGGCTTAGTAAGCTCAACTTAACATATCATCTATATGCTCTGCTTTTCGGACAGAAGAAAACAAAGAAGCCTACAGGTTCTGTCGTAGGTTCAAGAAGGTTGGAAATTCTCATTTACTAAGCACAAGACACGAAACTTTACCCAAAGTAGCGGAACCTCTACATTTTAAGTACTATCACCAGCTACCAACTCAAAGGTAACTATTGTTAACTAATTCTTACTATTACCAAGTCTTTGTTCTGATATGAACCATATCTGCAACACTTTAAATTCCAGTTCTGTTCTACAAGACTATTGCAAGAGATAGACCCCCCAATGCTTCGCAACATCACATACACAGCAGATCAATGGTTCATTGGCTTTTGCTCTTTGGTTGCAGGAGGCCACCTTGTTTCTGAGGCGGCCACTGTTTATATAGACCTCCGGAAGTCTGAGATTGCGGACCGAAGTTAGAGTGAATCAAAGTGTGCTCAACTTGTTAAAAGTTTGGCATGATGCAAATGGGTGAATGTGAGAAGGCACCTGGCAGCGGAGTATAAAAGAATCTTGAGGTTGAGCTTTGGTACGTCCAGCTCGATCCATATGCTATGCTTCTTAGACCGAAAGCAATAGCACGGGCTGTGTTGGTTATCTCAAGTAATTTGGATACACTTGTGCATGAAATGTGTCAAGTTGATTTCAGGACGTGGATCCAGAGACCTGCTAGTGTTAGTATAACCTCTACTTCTAATTTCTGATGTCAACCTTTGCATACCTGTCGATACTAGATATTCGTTAGACGATACTATAGATGAATGGGAACAACGAGCGACAATGTTGTATTGAATCAGATGAAAGTCCCAAACGTGCAGACGGACAAAATAAAGCTTGACAGCCGTCAAAAGAAACGATTGGAGAGGTTCTTACTCAGGCTTGTTCGTGAACGCTCTAAGAAAGTCATTACCGTGTTACCCGGCGAGCTTGGGGAAGGTCCACAATAACCTTAGCAGCCGTAGCCGCCAGAAAATTTGATGGAAGGAACACGAGATTGTGTGTTGGTATTTATCGTCTTCTGAGCTCTGTGAGTCTCGCAGAATCTGCTGTTAGTAAGGCGTGAATCGAAACAAGAGGAATTTCTGACTACTTGAATTGCGTGAATGTGACACCGACAAGGAGATATCTTCAAAATTGGCTCAGCTCAATCATTCACGCATTATTGGCATAACAAACTTGCTTGAATACAGACATGATCAAGAGAGAACTTTGTTGCGTAGGTAAAGATGGCTCTACTTCAGATCTAGAAATACAAACACAAATCAATCCCAATGTCTAAACTTTTTCCCGCCATTTTTCTACTCCATCAAACACCATCCAGCACCCATCATGAACAAACATAAAGAGAACACAGGGGAACTCGTAAGTCTCCCACGCCATTTCTCGATTCTTAGGCAGAAGCACTTGGCTTCAAACTGGTTGCAAAAGTAGTAGGCACAAACTCTCCACTCTTGGTAACGCTCATGGGATATCCGAACCCAGCTCCCGACGCAAAGGCTCCAACCGAGCCACTGGGTGTGGGAATGAGAGGCAAACCGCTAGTGGGGATAGGAATCGTTGGTAATCCTGAGCTGATGGCCGCCTCAATGTTGGCCATCGCTGAAGGGGCATCGGTAGGAGCCGAAAGTGGGATTGACATAGATCCAGAGGGAAGACCTGTAGGCGTTCCGGAGTTTGGTGGCATGGACAGAGAGCCGGAGATTGAGTGCATCATTGAGAATGATCCAGAAGGGGCATCGCTGGGGGCTTGGCGAGCAGCTAGAGATGATGGAATTCCGGTCATTGATGGAGGAGTACCGGACGGGGGAGTACCGGATGGTGGAGTACCAGACATTGACGGTGGTGCTGCAGAGCCGCTTGCAAAGTTTCCTTGGTCGTGAGCTCCAGACATGGAGGGAAGACCGGTTGGAACACCGGATCCTTGGGGTGAGCCAGATATAGATGGCATCATTGACAATGAACCCGAAGGTGCGTCGCTTGGTGCTTGGCGAGCAGCTAGAGAAGAGGGAGCTCCCGTCATAGATGGCGGAGTTCCAGATGGCGGAGTTCCCGAAGGTGTACCGGATGGAGGTGCTCCCAACTGAGTTGCAAAGTCGCCTGCAGCGGATCCAAGTGTTCCTGTCATGGAAAGAGGAGTGCCAGATCCGGAGGGTTTAGGTCCTGTGGGTGATTCAGTGCCTTGTGGCATTATCGAGCCAGAGAGAGGAGCGCCCGAAGGAATCCCCGAAGGCGTCATAGATCCCGAAGGGAGATCTGAAGGGGCTTGACGACGCGCTATGTCTGTGGGTTGACCGGTCATCGAGGGAGGCGCGCCTGATGGTGGTGTCCCTGAAGGAGACCCAGACTTCAATGGCGGAACACTAGATCCACTAGCAAAGTTGCCTTCGATAGAATTGGGTGCTCCTGACATCGTAGGAGGGACGCTAGAGCCTGAAGGTACACCTGTTCCGATTGGCATGCCTCTAGACATAGCGCTAGTGCCGACTTGCATGGGGCCCGACGGTAATGCGCCTGACGGCATCATAGAGCCTGAAGGTATATCGGATGGCGCTTGACGTCGAACATTCGCAGCGTCAGTTGGTACGCTTGATGGAGGAGTGCCAGAGAAGGATCCAGTCATCGATCTTCGGGCTGAGCCAGTTTGCTTTATTCCAGTCCCTGCCGCACCAGATCCGAACGCACCACTCTGAGCTGCAAACCCGCCTCCAAGTCCACCACTTTGAGCTGAGAAACCTCCACTTGGGATTGGTTGAAGTCCTCCTGTGCCCGTTGGTTGACCAGACGGAGCCGAACCTGGACCAGCAGAGTTCGCACTGCCCGAAGAGAACTGTGCCGAAGCACTGCTGGCCAAAGCAGCGAGAATGAGAATTTCAAAAGATTTCATAGTGAAAATGGCGCTGCCGAAGAATGAAACGATAATGGAAGAAAGGATAAAAGGAACTGAAGCTGATGATGAAGATGGTGGAGGATGATGATGTTGCGAGGGAATTCAATGTATACTTATACACTGAGATGCCATATCAGATGTTCGTTCCAATACGAACCAGCTCAGCTCATCGGATGGCCAAGGACTGAGAGGTGAATTTTTGGATGAACCCCACATCATGAAGTTTCATGGTTCTCCACACAGACGCGTGCTGCTGTGGCGTGCAAATCGCTCCATTGCTCAGCTGAGGCTTTCCTAAAAGATCGTAAGAGGATCAAAGCTTCCCAATACAGCCCTGCGGCTTAACTTTCGTCCAGATTCGGACGATGAGGTGTCGTCGATTCTTCTGAACGAATCGTTGGATTTGAAACGAAACGCCGCGTGTCGAATAAACAGTCTCCAAGTCGGAAGCTGATCAATGTTCGTCCGCTTACAAGGTGAAGCTGTGGCCAGACTTGGCACTTTGTTTCGAACATTATACTATTCTCGTAAGGTTTTCGTCTCTGTTGATCAAGAGGTTCTCGATTCTTCGTTGCATTGCGTTGCCCCACCGCGTTTCAAAGAGATCTCCATAATCCACGTATTTCCCAGCACGTAAACGAGACAAGGCTCGAAATATATCCAACTCGAGCCACCTCCCCACACATAGTTGTTAAAGCAGTAGCGGTGGCTGAGAATCGACGACGAATAGTGGGTCGTTGAGGCTGGTTCCGTCGGTGGGCAAAAGAGCCTTCACTGCTCCATCAAGACATGACTCGACGTCGCGAACATATTTTTGCCGCATCGAGAGCGACTTTGACGTGACATCTTAGGAGTATCGATTTTGTAAGGAGCAGAACGTCGTCGCCGAGATTCATAAGAAGGTGATGGTCGTCCTCAAAGAAAATCGCGTTGAATTAAAGGGGTTGTCGTCCAAGGCACCGACCCACGGAGCCAGGCCACAACCTCGATCCAAACAGCAAACCTCAGCTGCCATTCATCGACTTCACAAACGTCTTCCGTAAGACTTACAGGATTATCATGAGCAATTGACACATACAGAGTACGGTAAACTACAACAATTGTAGTGATCCAGTCTATGCGCAAAGCATGGTTGAATCACGTGTTATCACTCGTCCCGTACTCCCTTTCGGTGTTGCTTCCGATTTCACTCTTTAGTCTTGTGGTATCTGAATAGTTTCACGAACTCTACTACTTTGCTTAATCATATTAATGCTGGCTCCATCTAAGTGAAGCAAAAACAGAACTTGCTCTTCCCGCCCTGCCTCTTGTCGCATAGGCTTACATACTCCTAGCAATCTAGTCATCGTTTTTTGTCCCTTTAAATCTCTTCTACAAGCCTTCATATATAATTCTCATCAGTCATTCAAAAGCAATGCTAGACTCAAATTAAGTGAGCATCTCTCGATCCTCTTGAGATTGATTGTCAAGCGATTGCGCCAACGTAACGTTAACGTCTGGATTCAGGTGTGTTTTCGGCATTCCTGCTTCAAGCTTTTAGATTACATGAACCCTATGTGCAAGTATAATCTTGGCCAAATGAGTGTCAGGGTCATGCAGGTAGCCGGGGAAAGAGCGATCACGAAGAGCATGAGATGAAATGCGGGGGAAGTGCCGACCCGAATGTTCAAGGATCTGGATATTATCATAAAGTATCCGCTGTATATGCCGTGCTCTTTGCCGCGTTTTGTTCTACCAAGGATCCGAAAGCGAAACAATTGCATACCATTCAATCGTGCAGGTCATCAGCATGATCTCGTGAAGTCGTCAGCACATCGCCTTTAGCAGCGGTTGTGTGACCCGACAAAAGTATCCTAGGAAGCTAGTAGATTGTCTTGCATGAGCCATTCTTACGTTTCTATATTTCAACAGCCCGTTCCTATGTATTTCAAAATTCTTCGTTCCTGTCAACTCCATGGCATTAAACGAGAAACGCGTCGTTGTGCAAAGCACCGCCTCGAATGACTTCAACATGGACAAAAAAGATGCCGATAACAGAATTCAACCCATTGACATCGATCGTGGATTCATCGTGAACACAGATCTCGAGCGTCGAATTCTACGAAAGTGTGACTTCAAACTTCTGCCGCCCCTCATGGTCCTTCTCATTGTTACGTACATTGATCGGACGAACATTGCCAATGCCAAAATCGAAGGCATGACGACAGAATTGAACATGAAGCATAATGACTACAACATATCTTTGTGGATTCTAAACATCCCATATATTTGTCTCGCGCTGCCAAGTAACATGCTCATGAAGACGGGGTTCGCCAGACCAGCTATTTACTTGTCTGGCCTGATGTTTTGTTGGTGTGAGTATCCCACCTGCCCAAGAATACTCAAACTGATGGTTTCAAGCATTGTGTACCATTGGCTTGGGACTCACTAGATCTTACAAAGGCGTACTTGTGTGTCGATTCTTGATGGGTTGCTTTGAGGCTGGTTTTATCCCTGGTGAGTGACAGCGACCTCGGCTTAGCAGAGTATACTGACCTGTATAGGGTGCGCATATCTGATTGGCAGGTACTATAAACGGCGAGATTTCACAGTCAGGTATGCACTGTTCTTCAGCGCGATAGGCTTAGCTGGAGCATTCGGCGGGGTAAGGCCAAAAGTCCATTCCACGTAACAAGTAACTCAACCGAATAATAGCTTCTCGCATACGCAATCGGACATATGAAAGGAGTTGGAGGATTCTCGAGCTGGCGGTGGATCTTCCTCATTGAGGGCTTCATGACTGTTGTCGCAACCGGCATTGGGATTTTCTGCATCCCTGACTACCCTGAGAATTCGATTTTCTTGGAAGCAGACGAGAAAGGGTATTTGCTTGATATGCTCAGGGTAAGAACATGAAGGCATTCAATGACCATCACTCACGGTGCCTAGATCGATGCCGGCCCCTCTCGGCCCGACCACTACAATCCACTCGTTATGAAGGAATGTCTCTTTGATCCAAAGATCTGGCTTGCGTATTCCATCTACCCTCAAATAGAAGGCTCTTGCTAACAATTCCTAGAATGCTCTGTTACTTCGCTGCTGATACATCGGCATCATCAATCGTCTCCTTCCAACCCACTATCCTCAAAGGACTCGGCTATTCTAGTGCGCAAGCCCAAGTCCACACGATACCAGTCTACCTCGTCGCTTTGGTTCTCTCGTTAATTACATCTTATTGCTCCGGAAAACTGCGGAATCGATATGGCTTCCTGGTCCTCGGATCCGTGCTTGGAATTGCCGGCTGGAAAATTGAGCTCGCGGTCCCCATCCGTTGGATCGGCGCTCGTTACTTCGGTCTATTTGCCATCACAGCTTGCGCGTACATCCAAATGCCAATCCTAGTGGTATGGCTGTCGAACAACATGGGCGGTAATGCCAAAGCTGCGTTTGCGACGGGATTCATGATCGGGCTTGGGAACTACGGAAATCTGATATCGAGTAATGTCTTCATCACAGAACAGACTCCTAGATTCCAGACAGGATTTGGTGCTGGTCTTGCTGTAACTGTTGTTGGTCTTGCATCTTCGACGATCATGGAGATTGTCATGTTTGTGAAGAATAGAAGGAGAGCTGCGGGGAAAGAGGACAGGAAACTTGATGCTGCTCATGAGATTTTGGGAGACCTTGGAGACGACCATCCGGATTTTAGATATTTTCTCTGATGCAATGAGACTAAGGAAGAATGCAGTTTGGAATGAGCGAAAATCTGTGTCTACCGGGTATCTTGTATCGCGCTATTATTGTTACAAAATCATTAAATGTTCTGAAATGTGCTGTACATTTTATACATCCGATGAGCCTCCAATCGTAGAGTCAAAAAAGTAAAAGCCCGATGAATGATGTGCATCAAGAACCCCTCCCCCGCAATCTCCTCCCCGAGATGGCGGGGTGATCAGCCAGAATGCTCACCCCTGAGTCGCCAGACCTTAGCGAGTTCCAGAGCATCTTGTGCAACCCCACACCCAGACACCTCACTTCTTTGTGACCTTTTTTCCTTTATTTCACTGTTACTTATTGTATATCACAATTTGACCGACATGCCAATATGACTTCAGTAGCAAGCTCCAACGAACTAATATCAATCGCCATCATCGGCGCCGGAATCGCGGGAATAACACTCGCCATTGCCCTCTCAAAACACAATCCCAGTCTACACCTCACAATCTACGAATCTCGACCCGGATTCTCAGAAATCGGCGCGGGTGTAGGTAAGTCTTGCTCCCTTCATCTCTATCTCATCTCCACTCCAAATATGAACTTCTTCTGACAGCAACCAGGATTCGGACCAAATGCCATCCAAGCAATGACCTTGATCTCCCCAGATTTAACAGCAGCACACAACCGCGTCGCAACACCCAACGCCAGCCCAGAAAAAGCACACATCTGGTTCGACGTTCGACACGGTACTGGTCCTCACGCCGGCGAATTAATAGCTGAGATCGAGACGAAAGGCGGATTCGTACATTGTGGGGCCTCGAGGTCTCAGTTTTTGGATGAGATTGTTGCTTTGATTCCAAAGTCTGTGAAGACTGAATTTAGGAAGAAAGTTGTTGATGTTTATGAAGATGAGGGAAGTGGGAAAATGAAGGTAAAGTTTCATGATGGGATGGAGATTGAGGCTGACGGGGTGGTGGGCTGTGATGGGATTCGATCTGCTTGTCGGAAGATTATGCTTGGATCCGGAGATGAGAGCGCGAATGCTGTTTACAGTGGGAAATATGCTTATAGAAAAGTCGTAGACATGGAGAAAGCAGTTGAAGTTGCGGGGAAACTGGTTGAGAATAGACAAGTGTATGTGGGGCATGGAGGACATCTGTTAATGTTTCCAATCCGAGGCGGTAAGGGACTGAATATTGTTGCTTTTGTAGATGCGAAAGGCAAACCGTGGATAGACCGGCAATGGGTTGTGCCTGCGAGTAGAGAAGATGTTCTGCAAGATTACAAGGGCTGGGGTAAGATACCAACTGCTTTATTAGAGGTATGTCCCTCGAGGTCGAAAATTTGGCCAATGCAACTAATGCGTACAGTTGATTGACGAACCCGATAAATGGGCGCTGTTCGATCATCTTCCAGCTCCAACATACGTCAAGGGAAATTTCTGCTTGATTGGAGATGCAGCCCATGCAACAACTCCTCATTCAGGCTCGGGAGCAGGATTTGCGGTCGAAGATGCTCAATTGTTGTCAGGGCTTCTCACACTAGAATTTATCAAGTCACGCCGGGACATTGGGTATGCTTTCAAAGCTTATGATGCCATAAGACGGCCAAGATCGCAAAAACTAGTTACAAATTCGAGACAGAATGGGAGAACGCTGGAGCTGCAGGATGATGACGGTGAGCTGCTGGACTACGAACGTTTGGCGGGTAGGATGGAGGAGAATATGGAATGGGCATGGGAGGTCGATCTTGGTGCAATGCTCGACGAAGCCAAGAAACTTGTCAAGAATTATGAAAGCATAAACGGCGTTCCATGAGCTGTAATTCGAGGAATTTTGGACAGGCAAGTAATTTGGACCAAACCCGTGATACAGGAAACAAGAGAGCAATTGTGCTATTCTAGAAATGTATTGCCCCACAAGCCCGGTGGCATTCTTCTCTTGCGGTCTGAATTTTGTGGTTATTTTTCAAGGGCTTGAAGCTTGAGGCACACAAGTCCGTACATTCAGAGATTGATTGCCGAAGTTGGCAGGGAACTCAAGAAATGATGAGCTCAAGAGTCATCGGGTGTCGTGTGCGGTTGGAGATGAGCGTTCAGAGCACATATAAAATCGAATAGGAGAGGATTAATCTTCATTCTGCCGGGGCCGAGAGATGAACTCAACAAATGAAAGCGTAATGTCACAAGAGAGGGTACGAATCAACGAGCAGAGCCTTGAATGAGTGGAGAAAGTTTTGAGCACTTGCTCTTGGACCTATGCATTCCAAATTGGATGCATAATGATGCAGAAAGGAAGCAAGAATGAGTACCTATACAATTGATTTATAAAGCCCAAGCTCAACCTTGTGTATCCGCTCCAACATGCGCACATGGAAGCTGGCAATCATATCTGCTCTTCGTCTTCTCATCATGAATAGAGAAATTACAAACTAATACCTTACGCAGTTCAGGACAAGAGCGACAGCCTTCAGCTCGGGAAAATGCCAACCTGGGTCTAGCTCCGCCTCAGTGGGATCCGGTTTTCCTTCTCTTGTATGTTTTCGGTGGATCCGTAATCTATGGAGTGTTAAGTCCTTGTGAAACGTTTCATGAAGCAATTGTTTGGCTTTCTCAAGAGCTTTCCACTCGCCAACCATCGCTGCCTCTTCTGATATGGGAACCAGTTCGAATGGTCTCGTTATTGGAGGCAGTTTATCAGTGTCACAGAAATACAAGAGGATTTTGTCGTAGTGTATATCCTTGGGTTTCCCATGTTGCCAAAACATAATCTTCTCCAAGGGATCCTTGGGCGAGTATCCATATTCCGAATTAAAGTAGACGTTGATTGCGCAAGACGACGCCGGGACAGCCTCGAACATTTCCCATGCAACATGCTTTGGAATAACACCCATAGGGCAAATTCGATCCAAAACAGGGTTGCGCATGATGGACGAATTGCTGAATTTGCAATTATTACCATACCTGGATCCTCCTCTTTCCATGTTCCGGAACTCGGGTTGGAACTTGTCGCTTGTAGCTGCCCTTGATTCTTTGTTCGCAAGAAGGACACCGGGAAAAGGTTGCTGGGAAATGAATTTGAAATGGAGGATTTCACTGTCATCAATTTCCTTCTCGACCCAGATATCGAGATTCCTGGGCGTGGAACCTGCTCGATCCCATATCATGTTCCGGATCTCAAGAGGTAGTCGCGGAAACGGTGTGAAGGTGTGTGAGGTCGCCATGTCCCCTCTCGCGATCTGGAGATTGGATTGAGTCGTGTTCGCTGCTGCTAGGCAGAACAAGATGAGGAAGCAAAAGCGTTGATATCTGCTGTAGGAATTCTACAAGAATATGTTAGCATGTTTCATGACGTGATCGTCTGCACGACTTACCGTTGAAATCTTCTCTCGGGAGAGTGTTGATGTGTTGTATTTGGGATGAAAGTGTCGATACCTAGGTAGGTAACCAGGCTTGAAGTTCGGAGCTTGCTTTGCCCCGCGTGTGCACGTGCTACTCAAACGCGCCAAAGTGACTCGAACATCCGAACATCAACAAACAAACGTCATTGAGAGGAAGACGGCGTTGAGTACAAGCAGTGCTCGTCTATGACATATACACAATTCGAATGCTATAATGGCGTATCACTTTGCAAGAAGTGCATGATCTTGTAGTTAAAGTCTCAATTGGGGTGGATGTAAGGATCGCAATCCCAAATTGGACCCGAGACAAGTTGACCAAGACCAAAATTTGTACAAAGAAACGATGCATCCACTCGAAGACTTTGGTAGCCCACATAATCGTATCACCGTTGTATAGGAAAAGTTGTTGACCTTCTACCTTGTCACTACAAAGCGCTTACAACCAATACAGATAGGCAGCTGCATGCATCCATCATGGTATTCAATTCACCCGCCCCCAATAACACTGACCCTCCTGCTGGCGGCCGAGTCTAGCCAGCACCAGATGTACAATCATGACCAAGCCTCTCTTCCAGACAAATAATACTCCGTACGCCCCTCGAACAATTCTTGAATTTGAAGAAGCTGATGCTTCAACGCTGAATGCTACTCAAACAAGTACCCAAACACCTTATGACTCGCTGGTACGTTCCCGGACCTTCGTTGACTTTTTTGCTGTACCAATATGTGTGTTGTGTACCTGGGATGGTTAGCAAAGTTCGCCAATGCAATGATCAAACATACCTTTGTAGCAAATTTCAGACTGGTAAGAGTCTCACTGAGATGAGCCTCAAGGGGGCTCGCCATCACGAACATTAGTGTCTTTGAGTTACCACCGAGGGAGTATTGTAGAAGATATGTCAACTATTTGGTCAGTATGATGCACCGGCGGGAATTGGATTGTTTACCTTTGAGTTCCTGTATGGAATATGAGCACCCTCCTTGCCTTGACCTAAAGCACCGATGACATCTCCTAAACAGCTTAAACTCTTGTTGATGTTCTGCGTCTCCTTCATTCTATCTCCTTCTGCGCCTGATGATTTCAGTCTCTCGGATCCAGCGAGATCGACAAGATTCAGGGTGCCTTCGGAGGTTTCGTTGGTGGTGCTGTTCCGGCCTACGAGCTTCAGGATAAATACTGAGTGCGAGCGTGATGATCGTTCGTTAGACTTGGTTGCCGCGACGCTTCGGTTGTTTGCAGCTTGCTTCAGGATCATCTCGACTGTATTGGGTGAGTCGAGCGTCACCGTCTTCAAGCCTGTGACGGTAGTTTGCTTCTTCTGCTCGTCGTGGCGTATTTCGTGCTTCTTTTTGTCAAAGTCTTTCGAGCTACCGAGCAGATCGTGAATCTCCTCATTGTAGACCTCCACGAAGCTTCCTTCCATTGTATAAGTCCAACCTTTGTCCTTGAGGTTTGTTGCTGTCTCATAGATTTGATGTGTGGCTCGAGGTATCATGCCGTCGGCAGAAGACATTGTGTGTGTCTTTCCGGATCCAGTCTGACCGTAACAGAATATACATACATTATACCCATCAAGCGCACTCTGAACAAGCTGTGAAATTTCCTCAAAGACTTCTTGATTTTGACTTTCAGGTCCGAAAACACGGTCGAATGTGAAAGAGTGAGTCTTTCTGGTGATGTTGCCAAGACTACTCTTTTCCTCTTTGCCAAGGATCTCGAGTTCTTTGCTTTCTTTTTCGGTATCTGGGAATTTCAACTTGGCCGCATCTCCCTCAGTGGTGTCGAAGACTGGTCGTACTCTGCACATAACACGGATGTTGCCTTTCAATTCTTGAACTTGGTTGAACAGGATACGGCGAAGAGACTCTTCCTTGATCAACTTCTGCTTCGACACTTCAGCCGAACGCACGGCATCCTGTAGCCTGGATTCCATTTCGGCAAAGCTGTCGGATTGTGCTTTGCTTCCAGATTCGAGGAAATGGATGCGAGCGCGAAGACTTGCCACTGTGCTTTCGAGGCTCTGAATGGTGGATGAACTCTCGACGCCAGTCATCTGGAAGGTTTCCTTCAGCGCCGAGAGATCTCTTTGGGCATTGCCTTTTAGAATTTGTTCTCGGTCCAGTTCTCCTCTGACATCTTCTAACTCGCCTCTCATGTTTTGAATCTCCCGATCCTTCTTCTGTAAAGCCAAGTCAAGACTCTGACTTTCTGTTGTGATGCGAGACTCGAGTTCCTGGACCTCGCGAAGTCTGCGAATGCGCTCATCCTCAAGCTTGGAGTCATTCCGTCGCTGAAGTTCACGGATCCTGTCCTCCATTTCGGTAGCTGCACGGCGTTCCAGTTCTCGGAGCTCCTCTCGGTGTAGACGTAGTAGACGTTCGACCTCGTCTGCATTGTCCCTTCGCAGCTGATCAATCTCATTCCGGTGCTCGCGCTTCATATCGTCCATCACTATCCGAGTGGTTCTGATATTATCCTCTAGGCTAGTGGTAGTGGTCAGTAGCCTCTCTTGGAGCATATTTGTCTTTTGCCTCATAGCATCCAAGTCACTTTCTAGTGTCTTGTTCTCTGATGATATTTGGGTTCGAAGAACCTCTAGCTCGGCGACTGTAGAAAAGTCAGTACGAATGCCACAGTGAAATTCTAAGCGACATACTTCGAGTTTTGTATATGGATACAGCTTCTTCAAGGCCACTTCGCTCTAGATTGGTTCCAGCGAGTGTATCCTTCATCCTAGAATACATGGCTTCCACGTCTTCGAGCCGTCCACGAACGTCCCAAGCTACAAATGGAACAACGTCAGCAACAATATTAGAATCTTTTGTCAAGAATGAATTTTTCTGAGGGGATGGCTTGGCATTTCGCCGCGGGGTAGGAGTAGGAGTAGGAGTAGCGTTCACTGCCTCCACCTTGGAAGGCACAGGAATTTGAGATGGTGTGTTCGGAGGTACTCCTCCTGGCGCCTCGTAAAGCACTAGTGCTCGTTCTCCGCTATTGAGTCTCATATTTCTCAAGCCTGTACTGATAGACGGCTTATGAGATACGGATGGATGGGACGGTGTTCTGGCTTTTGAGCATATCGCTTGATGCTCTTGTGTTCCGCTAGACTTGACACTTCCATTAATTGACAGCTTACCCATAGCTGAAGCGAGGGATGAGTCTCGGCCACGAGCCATAGACTGCATAGAATTCAATGAGGACATGGATTGAGGTGCTCTGAGTCTTGTCTTTGGAATTGCAGGTAATGCAGGTATAGAAGTCACTGGTGACGTACCCTTACGCTTCCCTTGTGATGGAATATCTTCGTCGTCGTCCGAGTAGTTCTCCATGGAGGTAGTTGGGCGAGATTTCGGCATGGCCAGAGTTGGACGTGTTGTTGTAGATTGGCTGAAAGCCATTGAGGTCTGTGATCGACTGCCATAAGAAGTAGCTGGACGGCCGGCAGGACCGACGCTGCTTGCGAAGCTTCCATTCGATGTATTGCGAGAGGATACGGATGGCGTTCGTGTTGAGGAGGATATCGATGATGTGTAGGACTGGGTTCGCCCGTGCATTGGCTTCTATCGGGTGAGTTAGCAAGAGCCTAGGACGAACTGTGTAGGATCATTGTGGCTTGAATCACAGTCTGAGGAGGCCGCGGACGTTGTAGGCGTGACCTCAGCCCGTTTGTCGAAGCTATTCTTGGAGAACGAGGGACAGGTTGATGTGCTCGTGCAGGCCGAATGAAATCGCGAGCAGACTTGGGAGATTCGAGCTGCCAGAGCTTTTGCTTTTCCATGATAGAGAGGTGTTGTGATATCTAGGATTTATAGGAAGATGCTTACACCACTAGCTCCGACAAGAGATGTTGCTTTCACGAATGTCCTTGGGCCTGGCGTGGCAGCTGCGACGGATCTTGGTTCTCCTGCCCTTTCCGCAAGCGTCTTCCTTTTGGGTTCAGGTTCATAGTCTGCAGTTTCCATCAGCTCCATCCACAATCATTCAACCAAGAACCACATACTTGACGAGCCGAGTTTATGCTTCAGACTCCCTGGTGGAGGCATCCTCGAGACTTGTTTGGATCGTGCATTGTTTTCTGATTCTGAAATCTCTGATAGACCTTTTCCAGGAGAAGCTATTTGAGTAGGAGGTCGTAGTCGTGAAACTCGTGTACTCTGATAATAGAGTCGAATCGTCAGTATGAGAAGAAAGAGAGACATCAATACGAGCATACCGAGTTCTCCTCCGCGTGTTCCATTTTGAACCTCAACGGTAGCAATTGCTACATACGTAGACAGGCAATTGCATGCATAAACAGATGAATTTTCGAGAAGTATTGAGCAACAGCCAGTCGCGTTGTTTAGCAATAGGTAGAAGAGACAAGATGATGCTTGAAGTGACGATCGAGTTTGTGTTTACTTTCGCGGTTGTTGATATTCGGCCTCAGGCCGGGAGGAGCAGCTGCGGCAACCAAAGATGCTAGCCCCATTTAGGCTAAATGTCAGACAACCCCTGCTTCTTTCACAAGCCAACTCAGCTCCGCAGAGAAGATGACCGAATGTACAAAATTCCAGACGAGCAGACGGACATCGATGCAACTCCAATGTTCTGACATCCCATATATTTGTCTGCCACCTGAATTCTTCTCTGCCATTTCAACTCGCAGTCCTCGAGGCCATGCGACGATAGGCACCATTTCTCTGTTTCTGGCTACCGTTTCTCGAGCTTGAGACCTTCGCGCGCAATACATTCGTGATGGAGAAGTACTCGCAGTTTCGTGATCGCGGTTTGTACCTCCAACACGTCATGAGATCAACACATGGATCCATGCTGATGCACGAACTGTAGGATCTGGAATAGCTCCCTTCTTCCCGATATCCTCGACGCCTGCAGGAATCTATCTACCTGTCCACATATTCCTCTTTCTTTTCAAATTACCATTCTTCGTTACCGTTGCGACGACTTACTTTCTGTTCCTACAATGGTTTCCTCTGGGTTCGCTATTCAAGAAAGCTATACTATGGATGATATTGGGCATACCGGGCATATGGTGGATTGATCTGCAGATTGATGGAGTCAAGAAAGGCTCATTAGCAAAAAAGCATGAGGGCAGGATACCTCAGCCATCAAGCATTATCGCATCCTCCTTTACCTCACCGATCGACTCATTATATCTTGCTGCCATCTTCGATCCTATCTTTACAGTCTCGTATCCTCATACACGCCAAGTTCGACGCATATCCTTGCTTGGAGCAATTCTACGAGCTCTGTCAAGCCCACAAGACCAACCACCCAAGAGTGCGAAGCTCACGGATTTGAAGACGTTGCTTGTGGAGAACCCGCAAAGAGTTGTGGTTGTTTTCCCCGAATGTACGACGACGAATGGAAAAGGGATACTCCCTTTCAGTCCAAGTCTTCTCACAACTCCTGCCCAGACGAAGATCTTCCCCATCAGTCTGAGATATAGTCCTCCGGATATTACCACCCCAGTTCCACGTCACTACTGGTCATTCATATGGAACCTCCTTTCACAACCAACCCATTGTATCAAAGTCCGGATAGCAGAAGTTGTCTACAACACTTCGAAACCAACAGATCACGCGACTGAGAAGAAGGATCGATATTTGACCAATTTTCTTGATACACTTGGAGAAGATTCAGCTATGACAAGTAGTACAGACACTCTAACAAGTTTGAGTGATCAACCAGCAGAAGTAAACCCGGAAGAGAAACGAATTCTTGATAAGGTGGGGGAAGCGCTAGCACGTTTAGGGAGAGTCAAGAGAGTGGGCTTGACTGTGAAGGACAAGGCCGCATTTGTGGAGGCATGGTCGAAGAAGAGGCGATAGATAAGGATGGATTATGATGGCGTTCAGGGCATTGGACTGACGATCGGTCAGGGAGTCGGGAAAGCGATAGCATCTTCTGCAATGCATTCATGCAGAATTGAATTCAAAGTCTGTTCAGTATCGAGTTATCTCATTTCTTTCAGATTTTCGTGTGTGCTATGCTTCTCCTCACCCTGAGTAAATACATCGCCTTCGAATTTTTGACCATATACACGAAACGGGTGGAAGCTGAATGCAAAATGCAGCATCATGAGCAAGTTGTAGGAAGAATCCAGGCGAAATGATCACTCCCAATGTCCGAATTAACTTCGTTGATATCTACAATTTGATGTTTCTCCTCTAGCGAGACATTAATCATCGTACGTTCTTTCACAGGACGGTGGACACTCCAGACCTTGAGAATGTTTGGAATTGAGTGACAGTACATCTTCTCATAAGCACTTCACGCATTCTCTTTCCCACCAGACTCCTCACTCCCAGCACCTACCGCCTCTCCACCACCATCGCCAACCACGACCGCCTCCTCTCCGCCTTGCTTCCCTCCAAATAGCTCAACCTCGTCCCCAAAGACCCTCGCACACTCCTCTAAACTCAATCCCCTCGTATCGGGAAACCACCTTAGTATAACCCCCGCTGCCAGCGCACTGGGAATAATAAAACATAAATAATACTTCCACCCGATGTTCTTCAACGCAGTAGGAGCAGCTTGAAGCCAAATGATATTAAGCAGCGCTATGCCCGAGACGCCTAACGAAAGGCCTTTGGCGCGCAGGTGGAAGGGGAAGATTTCGCCTAGGTAGGAGAGTTGGACGTTGTTCATCCATTCGTAGCATGCTACGTAGACTACAGAGATTCGATTAGATGAGGGAGTTATTGGCAGAGGGAGGGGTAGACTTGCGGAAAATCATAGCAACAGCCGCCTTCAACGCATCTTTATTCTCTCCCGGTCCAACCTTATCCCTCGCCACCAGCACAGTTTCCGTAATCAGTATACAAACACAACCAATCATGCCACCAGCCATCATTTTCGGCCGACTAACCCGATCAACGACAAACATCGACAGGAAACTCGACACAAAAGCCACGGTAACCCAGCAAGCGGCGAGCATGAGTTGGGTACTAAGTCCATAACCAAGACCACCATAGATCTGCGGTCCAAAAACTGCACCCCAAGTCAGTCAACTTCCACATAAAACTCGAGAAGGGCGACGAACTATTAATAACCAAAATCCCCGAAAACTGAATAAAGCTCGTCGTCCCAAATGCTACCGCACTCCTGACCCTATAACTCTTCTTCCCCCACAACATCGCATACCAACTAGTCTCCAACCCCTTCTCCCTCTCCAACTGCAGCGTAATCTGCCGCATCTCGATCTTCGCTTCTTCCGGCTCGTGCAGTTTCAGCAGTACCTTCTCGGCGTCGGTGATACGGTTGTTTTTGACGAGCCAGCGAGGAGATTCGGGCAGGAAGGGCATGATGGAGATTAGAATGATGGGAGGGAGGCATTGGAGGGCAAGCATGGGGCGCCATTGGTTGTTGGAGGAGGGGTGGTAGAAGTAAAAGCCGTAGGAGCCCCAGGAAGCGAACATGTAGCCGAGGAGGAGCATTAAGCCCTAGATTTGTGAGCTTAGATGAAGTATGGTGGGAACGGGGAACTTACCATGAGCGTGATGAAAGCGCCGCGGTTGCGGGGTGGGACTACCTCGTTCACCCAGATAGGAACTGCAGCTAAGAGCGAGAAAGCACTTCGAAGGAGTCAGAACGAGTCTTCGCGGATGTATTGGGGAGGCTCATACCCAGCACCAGCCATGAAACGGAAGAAGATGAATTCTCCTATATTGGTTGAACCAGCGAGGAACGCTCCTGAAACCAGGGTATACGTTGAGCACTTTTCCTTGTTAGTAATGCCTAATTTGTACAACATTTGAGTACTTGCATAGACAACTGCCCATTTTCGACCCCATTTATCGGCGACATATGGCACCGTGTAGCAGGCTAGGAAGCCACCTGTCGAGTACAAACCCTGTAGAATCAGCATTTTCCACACGACCTGGAGAGGGTGAAGAACGTACAGTAATAGTTGAGATGAGAGCCGTTGCATGCTTTCTTGTCGCAAGCCGGTAATATTCGACAAAAGAAGGTTGAGCTACATATGTTAGCCGAGAACCGTACCTAGATGTAGGGAGTTACCAAGTGTTGGTCCAATAATGGCAGTCGAATACCCATAGCTCAGAGCTCCCAGAGACATCGCTATCACCATAATTACATTATACAAGTTGAACTGGCGTTTGTTCTCAACATGCTTGCCAGCAACTTCATCTAAGGTCTTCATCTTGAAAGCTTGAAATCACTAGAGTAACGATATAACAAGGGATATCCTGAACTGCATATGTAGGGAATAATGCCGGACTCTTATGAAATTCTTGCCTTTTGACCAGAGAATTCAAGATAGCCTCCGACCCACCACACTGGAGACGTTACCCAGACCAATTTGGATAATGCTGCTTGCTTCCATCACGTGGAGTGTGGAGCGAGCTGCTCGACACCATATTCGGTCAGTAATGGTACGGAAACAACCATCCAGTGCAGTACAATAGGATTCTGACTGCGTCTGGGAAACGTTTGACGTTTCCGGGGAACCCGCAATATGATGAAGCAGCGGCCGCAGCTGATGTGAGATATCAGTATTTGCAGAACTGGTAGGGCCATAGGCTATGTTTGTGGGAAACGGATACCCGGACTGTCTGTTTTTGATGTCGGGAATTCCATCGTTGCCTGTCAAGTATGCGATACTCGGTGTCAGGAGCGGACACTCCAACGCCCTCATGAGCGAAGACTCGAGACGTCAACGACGAATCTATCAGTAATTCAAAGACAACAGTTCTAACAATCAAGCCACTCGAGCTGGAGGGTCTCAAGACCACGAAATAACTTTCGATCGCTCGAGTGAAGCAGTGTCATAGTAGCTAAAGAGGAATAGCGAAGTAGGGGTTAGGGGTTGCAATGTCCGAATGTGGGTTCATCATTAACTTTTGTCATGGCCCTCCTGGTCCTGGTCGTTGTCCTAGTCCTCTTCCTGTGCGACGTGCAACAAAACTTTTGGGGGCCAAGGTGAATTCATGTTCAAACCCCAGCACTTGGTTGACGTTTGTTGGACGTGAAACAAAATCAGAGGGGTTACTGGATATCGAGAGACTTTGCATTGAGCCTGCGATGCTCACAACATGATTTGCTGATTTTGTAGATGTAACCTCAATGTTTCTCTCGACCTAAAGCACAAGATAATGTTGCAAAAGATCGGGATCGCGTGACCTACTCATGAGTGTTGTTTCATGCTCTCCGTCGTGTCTTGTCCCTGCTATCTCACTGCATCACAAATGATTCAAGTCCATGTAACACCTGCCCACACAGCGCAAAGAGCATGCAATTGGAGCTTATAGATCATCTCGATTCAAAGTGGAGGCTACATGATGACCGAGTTGTTTGCCTTACGAACATGTGCATCCTTTCTTCGCTGTCCGACCCTTTCAAGTAGCTCATCGAGACTCTCGACAAGGACAACTTCGACGAAAACAGTGGCATCTCTATCACGCTTGATGTGGAAGAGAGCTGAGTCGGAACGAACAGCTTCTGTCATCTGCCTCTCAATGATACGACAAGACTCCTGCTTCAAGCTCTGCAATGTGTCCAGGTTCTTTTCCGCAGTCGATCCGAGAAAGGGGAAGAACGGTTTTCTGTCCACCAACACAAAAAGCACCTGAAGTCCTGGAACATCAAGTAGTATACTGCCAGTTCCACCGTTCCACACATCCATCGTGACAGCCATATATTTGAGTCGTTCATCAAGCCTGTATTCGTGTCTGCGGTACGGCATGGAATTGCAGATGGAGGTCCCGTCGCATGCATACGGTTCTTCTCCGTGCTCAAGAACAACTACATCACTCTCGGGTGCCCAATATGTTCTCTTTCCAACCTCTTGTAGCCCCTCGTCGTATGGGCAGTCGCCGAATTCGGGATCCGCGAAATGATTCGCCCTCCAGCTCCAAGCATTCTTGGCCTCGGCACTGAAACCCAAAGAGTAGTGCTCTAACGCTGCGGCACGAGAGTCGTGACAAGTGTAGAGAAGTGGTGGAATTGCCAGCTCCGTAGCGAATATATGTTTGCGACAATCGAATGGCACATCCTCCCAGGCTTGTCTAGGGTTCGAAAGCGAGAAGTGGATGTCTTGGCTCCAACCTGCCACTGCAAAATTCCACTACAGCCAATCAATACCAGGTTTTCTCTTGGGAGTTTGAGCCAGAGAAGATCGAATGCTCCTCATGAACGCGAACCACAGCTAGCTAGGATAGGCGCAAAGGGTTTGCTACTTACAATGTCTCGACGGAGCTCAAGGGGCAGAAGCGCAAATTGGGGGAAGTCCTGAAGCATATTGAAGTTGTTGGAGGCTTTGAGGCTGCTGATATTTAGTGATGTGATGTTCGTAGGTAGTGCACCAGTGAGGGATGAGCTGCTTAGTAAGCCAGCGCGGGGTTCGTGGTATCTTGTCTAGACGACAACTCGTCGTTCTGCACCTCAACAGCGACGTCAGTATCCGCTTGATGGTGAGAAGTTTCTGGTTGTTAGTAGTGGCTGCACTCTAAATTTATACTTAAAGTTTCATGAAGGATCAAACATGGTTGTCAACACACGCTGAGGTGTACATTCTGCTAGTACGACTCTAATGCACTGCCTAGATCAGCAGGGACAGGCTACAATTGTTTGTTGAGCCGAAAAGAAGTTGTTGCATTTAGTTTAGTCAGAATGAATAGCGATTCAAATTTTACGTCGCTGTAAGTAGAAAATTGAGCTTTTCTTTTTATCTAGTTCTTTTCTTCTTACTATGAGGTTGTTCCTATCACATCCTTTGGACCTGCATCTAGCATGTTGTATTAGTGCTTTCTGCCTTTCACGCAAGGATGGAAAGTCCTTGTTGGGATTTCGGTGCTCCATGCCTTTCATGACACTTTGTGCTTCTTTAAAGTGTACGGGCAGGAAAGATGTATTTGAACTGAGTTTCTTTCCTACGGCAGCGTCTTGAATAGCTTAGTGTATCTCCTCATCGTGACCATTAGTGTCATCGAAATGGCAACCTCCAATGCACTCACTACTGCTATTTCCAATCAAGACACCTCTACCGCTGCTGACATTGCACAGCCTCTGGAGACCTTCACGCTCTTCCCGGGCCTTCCGATCGAGCTTCGCCGCCAAATTTGGCAGCACGCCCTCCCTCCGGCCACTCGTCTTATCCCACTTCGACTGAAATACAAAGCGCCCTCGGAAAATGAGCCAGAGGCTGAAGATGGGTCGCAATATAGCTTCGTTCATGGAGTCCGTGGAGAACAGGTTGGATACCGTATGTGGGTTCGTGCAAAGGACCTCGCACTACTTGAAGTCTGTCGAGAGGCAAGGGCTGAATATCTAATGGCGAACTCAAACATACTGCCTGGAATCTCGAAAAGAAAGATTTATTACCCCGACGCAGCCATCATTTACATCCAGAATTGGTACAGTCAAGCTGTCTACGACTATACAGAGGCGGCTAAAGATTACGTCAAAGAAGGCGGTACTTCGCCGGGTTGGTTCTCTGGTGTAAAGCGATTAGCAGTACCCAACTACAGCATATCCGTTCGTTCACGCTCTGACAGGACTCGACGGTACCGTCTCGAGCAGGGAGAGGCGAATATTAGACAACTCTTTAGCGGCCTGAAGGAACTGATTGGCATCTCTATCAGTTCTGCTGATGGCGAATCTATGGCCCCAAGAGACTGTATGCGGAGCAGAATGCAAGCATCGAACGATCATAGAGCAGAAAATGACCCGAGCTACGTGGTACCAAAGTTGACTTTACTAGAACACATTTTGGGAAGTGGTTTGGAGAGATGGAGCGATTGTTCTTGATTTCCACAGGAATGACATGAGAGAAGGAGTGGGCGAGCGAAGTATGTCAGTGGCCCAAGAACTGTAAGAATAGGAACAGAGCATGGAATCGCAGTACCGAATCATCATTGTGGATTGGATTCTGGTAATAGGCTATGAGTATTTCTCTCAGCTAAGGATAGAATAGTCCGAACTTCCCCACACTACTTCACCTGACTAAGAATGGTTCAATTGTACATATTGAGTTGGGTTGGCTTAATGCGCAGGATTAAACGTAGTATGTCCGCGAGTGTCAGACATCAAGGCTATATGTTCGTTTGGCCTAGAGGGTAATACTACCAAGGGCTTCAGTAATCTAATTCAACATTGAACTTGCACACTACCAGAACAATTCACAATGTCGAGACCTCTCACAATAAACTTGTCTTTCCTTGGATCCCGTTGCGAAGCTATCAACGCAGCGCAGGTTTTGCACTCTCGCATTGTCCAGAGCATAAATTGTCTTTCTAGGGGCAGTTTGGCGAAGCTTCCAATTACTCCATAGAAGTCTTTGAACAATTGACTACTAACATCTCTTACCGTCCACATCACAATTCAAGACATTCTTCCTTTCAGGAACGTTGGCGCGAAACGCGGAGGTCTTTTACCAACTCCCAAGATGTTTCCGCAGCAAGCAATCGAGAAGCACAAAGGTCGAATAGCCTCTGCAAAGTGGGGAGCATTTCCTCCCACTCCTAAAGTCGCGAAGGCCAAAGGTATTGTCAGTACCAAGCTAGTTCAAGAAAGAAGACTCCCGCCATGAAAAAGGTCCTCGAGATGGCCATTGCGCAAAGTCAGAAGATTCAGACCGAAATGCCTTCTCCGAAGACCACGAAGCCTCTTGTTGAATTTACGCTCTTCGCAAAGTTACCACCTGAGTTGCGCCGTATTGTGTGGTAAGCTCTTTCAAATCCTACGTTAGTTTTCATTCTCAACAAGGTGATTGAGCTCTCGCATTTCTTTGATCATAGACAGCTTTTTCAATGCTAACTCGCTCTGCAGGAAGTTCGCCCTACCATCAGCCGTCGAGTTATGCCTCTTGCAATCTTCGGGTGGCACTTTGAACAGTCACCAACCTTACATTACCGCTTTGATCTCTGTCACAATGCACGCAATCACAAGATATTCCGCGGTAATACTGCGAAGTCTGCTGCTGCGAAAGATGTTGCCATGCTTTTTATCTGTCGAGAGTCTCGATTCGAATACTTGAGCTCAAAACCGAAGTTCCTACCTGGTGGACAGCGCCCAGAGGGGAAGATCTAATACAATCCGAAGGAAACCAGTATCTACGTCGTTAATAGGCCCCACTTCCGCCCAAATCCGGATGAGCTCTCGATTCCTAGCCCACAAGCCTTTCCGCATCGTAGCTGGAGCGAGGGCATAGAAATCCTCGCCATAAGAGGCAATACCTTGCTACCTGCTCCAAAGAATTATAATTACAGGCTTGGCCACGACGGAATGGTTGAATACATGTGGACTTTCAAGTGTCTTTAGAAGTGGATGGCGGTTACGGACCCAAGTGGATCGAGCCTTCGTCAGTGGTATCATGCATATTGTCTTCTCCAGTATCGCCACCAGCTTAGACATGTCAAGCAAAAGTTTTGATTCTACAAGGCTTCTGTACACCCACAGTACCCTATTCCAGAGCTTATTCATATGGACTTGACACCTGTCCAAGATCGCGTCGGTATACCTGGCACTGTTAACGATGTTGTAGACGGCGAGAATATAGCACAGTTTTGGGCAACGCACGAATCACGAGTTCGAACGTTGTTATGAGTGGGGAGGAAGACTCGGTTTCTGTGTTACGTACTTAATTGATAGGTCCTTGGATGGTGGATAGCACAAGATGAACAGTAACGAATGACAATCACTTCTATCCAACTTTTTGATTATCTCTGATTGTGGGTATTACTAGTTTGTAACACTACATCTGCTAAAATGTGCACTTTTAACTTGTTGCCAACCTTCATTTGATTTTACCAAAGAAGAAGCAATTATTTGTCACTGGTCCAATTTGAGCTAATTTCTCAGACACAAGGATATCTCATTCTTAAGCGTAACAGCTCCCATCTAACTCCGAGCATTTCAGTACCAACATTTCTCCAGGTCAATTCGATCCCGGTAGCCAACGGCTCTTAGCTGCTCAAGTCGCCCGATCAGGAGAGTCTTGGCTTTTTCATCACATGTGCAGTTTGCGCCTCCTCCCTTGCTTCTTCTTCCAACCAACCTTTCACCGCACCTGACAGCTCTTTGATGGCCGTAGTATTGTCCGCAACCAATTTCTTCACATCTTGCATGTCTTTAATGGTCGCAGTATTGTCCTCAATCGATTTCATTACACCTGGCATCTTTTTGATGATCGCAGTGCTGTTCTCGAGCTGCTTCAAGGGCGTGTCAGGTTTCTTAACAGCAAATTCGTCATCATCAGACTCTTCGTTCTCAAACTCTTCGTCCTCGTCCGAACCAATTTCGTCTGCGACCACCTTAGCAACAGCATCTTTCCATTCCGGGCTTGATGTAAAGGCTCGATTCGAATATGTCCACCTCTGATTGCCATCTTCTCTAGTCTCAGATGGCTGGTCGCTGTTGGATAGAGTTCCTGCCGCTGCCTCTCGCCATTTTTTCACAACCGCTTCAAGCCTCGCATGTTCTTCCATATTGCTGTCAAGACTGACTCTGACTTCCTCCTGCTCACTTGGATCCTTGAGCCTGAGGACTTGGCGACGCAATCTCCTAGCACACATCCAGCAAGAAATACCGGTATGCAAGTTCTTGCACACGTATTCTTCGTAGCATTCTCGTTGGAGGAGGGAGGGATAACAATTGTGTTCGTGCTTTTCGCTATGGCCGCAGTGGTGGACATGTAGCCAGGTGACGCACATTGTTATTGATATTGATATCGTATCGGTGTTGATGGTTGTTATCGATGTTGATAATTGCTGTCGATGCTGATAATTACTGTCGATGTGCTTTTGTTTAGTTGAAAGACTTGAGGAATGATCTGATCAATGGATATCGTGGACGCTCTTGCCATATCTCTCGAAGCGCATTGAAGGAAGGAGCATCCTGAACGATCTCGATCGACCCGCCAGTTCTATGAAAACCGAAGAAACAATTGGCGTCAAAGCAAAGGTGACATGGGCGTTCAAAGTTGAGTCGATTTTCTTTGAACGAGTGAATTTAAAAATCTAGATGGTCGTAGTTGAAAATCTCGCAAAGTTAACTTTCTCCGGCCTCAACACCGCAATCTTCGCAAATCTTGAGAGGAGTCTTTGTTCAATCTTTCTGCTGGCTTCTTAAAACATCACGTTAAGAATGCCTTCTCGCGATTTGCTTCTTCGTTCCCAATCAGCAATGGAGTCCCCACAAAATCTCAACATCGAAATCCCCATCGAACAACAACAACCCTCCCTCGCCACGAAGCCCACCATGAGCAGCTTACCAGCTCATTCTGGCAGTGTTGATCAACCTTCAACCCAACCTTCAATGCCCCTCAAGAAGCACACGATCCCAATTGGCGACAACATCTGTCTCATCCCCCGCCTCATCAAGTACCTCCAGCGCAAATACGGCACCAACTTCAAATTTGGACCTGTCACTTTCGGAGGAGGAGAGTCTACTATCGAGATCAAGGTCCCAGAAGCATCCGTCGGTACAGAGATATGGGAGTACGCTCGCCACGAAGTTCAAGTTCATGCTCTGGGAAAGCACAAAGGTTCGGGATTTGGAAAGAAGGGAGGCAAAAGTGAGAAGTCCAAGTTCACTATGTCATCCAAACCGGTATTTGGAAATATGGAGTGGACTTATGGAAAGTCTGGGAGCAAAAAGTTTGTCGACACAAAGACGGGTGAAGTGATCTTTGAAGTTCCCAAGGCGTCTGCTCCTGTTCGACTTAGACCTGCTTGAAGGGTGTTTCAGTGATTTCGTCAATTGAGGACCTCGGGGATGATAATGAATGGACAGTGGTAGCTGGAGGGTGCGAATGTTATTGTAGGCTAGGCATATTGGAATTGCTTCGGGTTCTCGTACAAAAGATTTTCGTGGATATTGACTCATTGCCCTCAACAGAATGAATCAAACAGATTGAGCCAACCACTTCGGAAAATAAAGTGCTTGCATTTACGTGTATCTAAAAAGCTACCCTGAACCTTCAACTCGATCGACATCTCTCCATACCTTCCAAGACAACCAATCAATCCCAAGCTCTGCCCCCGCGCCAACGATTTATACAGCAATAACTTATATTTTCCCAATAAATTGGTTTCTAAATCATCACAATCCTCCCGGGTATCTGTTTGGGACCAGAATATTGGCACTACGGCCCTGAATTCAAAGAACACAATCTTAGCCTCATCCTCCTCGTCCTCGTTAGCTAATTTAAGACTATAAAGATGATGAACCCGTGCTAAGGTACATATAAGCAAGGCGAACGGAATGATCGTAATTCGAGATGAGGATTTTCTTATGTATGTCCCTGAAATATTGACAGACGAGGGGGTTGAGTACATCTTTCCAGATTCGAGAGACAAGAAAGAAGAGGAGAATGCCCAAGGAGATGGCGAGGAGGAAGTCTTGTGTAAGCATGGTCTTACGTCTTTTTAGTCTTCTGCGTCGATAATCTGGAAGCCATTGCGGTGCGCCAGACTGTTATTGCTTTTGCACCCTGAGGCTAAGTTATTCAACATATTGCTCCATGTTTATACCGCGTTATTCACAAGGCTGGCAAATCCTTGTAGTATAAATAGACAGCGGACCGGCCTCTTCACCACCCAGCCTCTCTTCAAAACTCAACCTACACTTTCAACCAAACAGTTCGCCAAGATGCCCCTACAAATCCTCATCACACCACCAGATCCTATACAAGAGACTCGCGACCAGCCTTTCCACACCCACGACGTTGGAGGAAAAATGCTCCCAGAAAACATCACCACGCTACCAGATCATATCAAGGAGCCTCGCGGACAGCTTCCCAACACCCAGGACATTGCCGAAGAGATGCTCCCAGAAAACATCACCACGCAACCCGATCTTGCCAAAAAGCCTCGCAAACAATTTCCCTACACCTACGACGTTGGAGAACGCCCTTGCGTAGAAAAGGAGCGAACGTTGAGGAAACTGCGTGAGCGTTTCGGCAAGGGTAATTTTGAATTCAAAATTCGCCTGGGCAAGTATATCATCCAAGTCCCAAAGGAGCTATTGCCAGAAGTAATAGACGATATGTTCCGGAACGAGTACGTGTTTCTGCTTGAGCGCATTGATGGGCACAAAATATCTATGTGAGAAAGGATCAAGTACGAGAGCTGCTTCTATTTACAATTTGCATTGGAAAGAAGTTCACGGGAAGGGGAGGATCGAAGTTGAAAATTGTCATCTCATTGCTCTTCATGCCCAGTGCACGCCTTGAATCATATCCGCCACCAGGTGATAATTTACAATCACCAATCACACACCCCCTTTTTCAACGTCCATATAAGCCCCCTCCCAGTTTCCTACCCCAAAGTTTCCAAACCTAGACCCAATCTCCCAGCAATGGCCCCTCTATTACATCAAGATCTCGGTCCCCTTGTCTTAATCAATGAACATGAAACTGAACGCAAAATGCACGAACGCTTCGGTGTAGACGAAAACGGCAAAGAAAACTACAAAATTCAAATCCGAAGAGACCACTGGATCATCTGGGTCCCCGAGATCTTTAAACTAAAGGAGGCTGAGGAGATTTTCGCAGACGTGGCAACTGAGATGAAGAAGAGCATTGAGATTGAAGAGATGGAGAAACAGAAAAGGATGAAGGAATACTGGGGAGAAAAGAGAGAGAAGGTGGTAATTTGGTTTTATGTGCCAGTGGACTTCGGGCCCGACTTAAGCCCCTTTAAAGTTCTCTTTTGGGTACGGACATTGAGGATTTTTGAGGATTTTGTTGCATATCGCATAGAAGCATCATTTAAATTGTAGGGTGAGCGTTTTAAATGTAAATCTTATAGTTTGTAAAAGTCGGGTTTCGGATGAGGACATTGACAAACTCGATAAAATTCTTAGGACTTTAATTTTTAAAATCCCAGCACGAGTCGAACAATTCAAAGTTTATTCACAAACATTTCATTTCTACACTATACAGCCCCCGCAAAACCCCTAGCACCCCCCGGATAATCAAAATGGAGCTCCATCGCCCTCACCACCCGCACCACCCACACCCGACTTCCCAGCCCAGACCGCAAAACCAACCCCAAATCCCCCCAGAACCAGCACGACCGGCAGGGCGCACAGAAACACCCAGGCAACCCACACCCCGAACAGCACCAGCTCCCATCCCGCCTTCTTCTTCTTTGGCCGAATGCTGGCCAGGTCGAGGTGGGCCTCGAGCTCTGGAAGTACGTCCGCGACCAGGTCGCGCGGGACCGTCTGCATGTCGGCCGAGGGGTGGGATCCCCAGTGGTCCTTGATCCCACCCCACAGCTTGGTGCGGGCGACCTTGATGATGTGCCGGTCTAGAGCCGGACTTAACTTCTGCAGACGCACCATGATTTTGACGGACACGCAAAGCCCTCTGAAGGCCTTGCGGTGGAAGAAGCTGGCTGGTGGAAGTCCCAGCGCGTCACAGACTCTGTTGCCGTTCATGGCTCGGCAACCGGCCAATAGGAAGCCGCGGGAGAAAGGGGTCACCTCCTCCAACCAAGCGAGGTATTTATGGGCCCGGACTTGCGACATGGCGTAGATGTTCGTCTCGTAGATGAGCATTGACTCGAACGTAGTCTTGGCCCTCTCTGGGGAGTCGAAATGTTCGTCTGGAGCACCCATAAGGTAGGCGAGATATCGTACGAACGCAACATAGTCTTTGACCTCGTTCTCGGATGGGCGAATGCCGATACTGCGGAAGCTGTCCCAGATCGGAAGGCAGAACAAGTTGTTGAGCATATGAATGGTATCGAAGTGGTTAAAGGGGTATCCGTATCGAGTAACGGGCCAATATCCTTGGTCTGTTGCCGAGCGGTGCAAGATCCGGAACGAAATAATGGCTTGAAGCAAGCGGAGGCGAATCGTATTTTCAGGAGATGTAAGGTTGGTAATCGAGTTCGTGACCTGGATAATCCATGCGACTGTATCTAGGATACGGATCTGGAAGATTGATGGTTGAACATGGTCAATGCGAGCGAAGACTTGTTCGAGGCCTGGTGATGCCTGGTTTGTATGTTAGTTATCGAGCGTTGATAGAGTGGATGGAAACCTCTTACAGCATGTTCTCGGAGGAAAACTTGGAAGAGCAGAGCAATACAGTTTGCGGCTGCGTATTTGTTAAAAGACCTTTTGTCCTCGTTCCAATTGACTCCAGTCTACCCATTCAGGGATTGTCATGATCTCTGCCCTCAACTTAGAAAGTATCTCGTCCTTATTGCAATGCCGAGTAAGAAGGCCATAGGGATTGATCTGGGAATTGCCAAAGATACTCCACGTGACGGTTTGGTCGCCTCTGTAGGTAGACCATCAGCATCGAAATGTAAGAGGGAATTGTCTGAAGGAGTTATGTAACACTTACTTGTTGGTGGTAGTCTTATCTCCGACTTGCTTGTCAAACTCGCGGCTGAAAGTCCTAAGCTTCCTAACGACAGCAGCTGCAAGGCCATCAAACTCCATCTTCATCTTTCTCATCTCTGCTGCCGGTAGATGCTGTTGTGTTGGTATAAACGCATAGCCCCAGATCTCCTCAGCAGCTTGATTCTCTACATCCCCGCGCTCTGATCTGACCAGGATAACTGGGCCTTCGTTATTGTCTGCCATGTTGCTGTACTATGAAATCGAGTCGAAGTTTGAAACCGTGAGTTGTGGACGTGAGTGGAGAATTTGCTGAGTACTGCGCTCGCACAATAGTGTGATTCGAATTCTGATTGTTGAGTTGAAGGTGTCGAGAGGAGATGAAGATTCCAAAACCGAAACTGCTTGTAAACGAAGATAGCCTCGTGCGCAACTTTGTAAACAGTCGACTATAGCCTCGTGCGGCCGCACACGAGTAGCTAGTGTTCTTTGAATAGCAGTTTCGGTGCCAACCAAGAGCAGCTCGTTTGAGGAATTAAAAAACCTTTTATCGTGTTCAATCCTGTGCCTCCCGCAAGCACCACGACTTCCACAAATAAAGCCTCTTTTGCTCAGAGCTATCTTGGTTAGTAAGTCTTCCTCTTACTGGACTTGTGGCTATTGTTGAGCATCTGTCTAACACCACTTTGATAGCGAACACTCTATCACATCTTTTTCCTTTCAAGCCAACTGCCTTCAATTGAAGATTGAATCATGAGCGGTCTCGAAAAAGAACAAGATTATAGGCTTTCCGACAGTATCATGGCTTCAGAAGAGCAGAAAGCTCTTGGTCTTGTTTGGGTAGGGCAAGAGATTATTGCTGACACTGATTCGGTATCGGCAATTAAAGCTGCTCCCAGCGGCTCGACTTTGCAAGATACCGCAATAGCACCGAAGCTTTGCAAGACCGTTGAAGTCAAGACAAGATGTGGTCAGCTTCTGCAAATGACAATTGAGCCTGACCAGATGGTGGTCTTTATGCCAGACATGTTTTGCACGATCATGGCTGTCGAACCGATCGTTAATTCGTCATACGCTTCAGTCAAGCTTGAGGCTGAAGAATGGCTCTTCCGGTCAGTCCATGGTACAAAGCTTCTCCTCTTGTTGGTGCTCGGACGAGGTTGCCATTCGCTATTGTTGAAGAAACTAATTGTACTGTATAGTGAACTGAACGCTGATGAAACATTGCGCAAGCGTATCAGAAAGACTAGTTGGTGGTGGTTTGCTGCTGCTGCAGCACCTCACGCTTCCAAGGAAGATCTCAAGGTTTTGGTTGACTGGGGTAATTGGGTAGGTCGAGCTCCCCTCTAGATTCCGAACAAGGGATGGCTGATGTTGTATAGGTTTTCCCATGGGATGATCGTAAGGCAAGGCGATAGTAGGAATAAGGACTACGCTGACCAATATCGAAGCATTCGACAACGGTAGTTTTAGAGGGGATCCTACTGGCGCTAAAAAAATGCTTGACAATCTCATGTCAATCATGAGAGGAGAACCACAAAGCCCAAAGAACGCTTTGGTAATTGCGCATAACGATATTTGGCGTCGGATTGTGGAGGTGAGAAAACATGTCCTCTTTCCTCTTCCGTGTTAACTGTTTTTGTAGAGTGCGTCAGAAGGTAAATTTCCTTGTTTGAATGTAACGTCACATCCAAAGAGAGATGCTGAGAAAGCAGTTGTGCAAAAGCGATATGCTGCTTCAATGGAGCTTTACTGCTCAGGGGCCCTGGAAGGCGTTGGAAACTATGCCAAGTCAAGGATTCCGGGTCTGGAAGAGTACATAGACATGCGTCGTCGCAGCGTCGCCGTTCTCCCGATAGTCTGTATGATTGAGTAGGCACCACTTCAACTCTGAACAATCGTGCTTTGCAGGGCATACCGAGAGAGAAATCATCGCTCACCATTCATTAGGTTTGCTATGAAGATTGAGGTTCCCGACATTGCCTATAACGACAAATCTCTGGTCACCCTGCGTAGGATTCTGGATGATGTCGTCTTCTTGTACGTCGCATAATCTCCATGGTCGAAGACCTAGCTAATATTTTGCAGGCAGAACGACATGATGGGCTACGCTAAGGAAGAGGTGAGACAATTCTGATGTAGAAACGGGCAGAGGCTGACCAAAGGACATAGCGTGAATGCGTGACGCACAATGTCATTAGCATTCTCCGTAATCTGGGCATGACGACGCAGGAAGCTTTCGACAAGGGAGGCTTAATGCTGAGAGAACGCGAGTTATATTTGCTTGAAGCGTTCTTCGTTCTTTGTCGTTTGCTGTCTCCGTATTCAACGGACGCAACTCATTCATTGGAACATGGTGTTCAGGTTCACACTCGGACATGTGTGACAAGGCAGTGCTGACACCAAATTCTGAGCCACAGGTTACCGAGACTGGCATATCGTCCAAGCAGACCTTCCGAGTTGGGGTGAAGCTGTCGACCGCGAGGTTCAGAAGTACATAGCCGTTGTGCACTCTTGTATGGTAGCCAATTTAAATTGGCAGTAAGTAATATGTGTATGCAAAGAGATGCGAAGCTGATGTTAAGTCTAGCCACCAAAGCCACAGATACTTTGCAACGTACAAGGATATGGCACGAGAGTTTGGTGCCGTCGTGGTTTTGGAGCATCCACCAACAATGTCCGAGGGTGTCAATTGATTGTATCTCGAGCAGCGATTGGTGAGAGCACTTGATCTTTGGTTTCGGCCTCCGCGGTCGTGGACGAGAGAAATTTTGGGTTTCGACTTTTTGTTGTCTGCGATGTTGTGAGAGAGAGACACGGTTGATCTTTACGTTTCTGATTTGCGACGTCCTAGGGCGTGGTCACCGGTACTGATCTCTGTGTTGTTGTTAAGTAATCGATTTTGTCCTTTGCTTTCTAGACTTTGACGCCTCGGTCGTGACTTCTATAACTGCGTTGTCTTTTAGAAAGTGATCTTGGTATTCTGTGTTCTGACCTCTGTGTCGTCGTCGAAAAGGTGACGTTTGTCTTCACCGTCCAATCCTTTGGGTATAGTGAGGAGAGGTAAGGCTCGTCATCCCTTTTCTCAGGTTTGTGGTGTCGTTGGAGAGAGAAGGTTTTGTGTTTGCTTTCCTGATCCCTTCGATATGGCGAAGGGAGGTGTGCTTGCTCTTTGTGGTACGGTGGAGTTGTTGACCTTCGCTGAACCGATTCTTCTGATCATGTAGGAAAGGCGTCGCAAGTTTTTGTTCTCTTTGATCTTCGTGGTGTCGTGGGAGAAATCCTTTTGGTCTTCACTAACCGACCTCTTTCAGCGCCCTTTGGTATAGACGGCGCTGGCTTTGCTTGTCTGACCTTTGTGGTATCGTAGAGAAGAGTTGTTACTGTTGATAGACGAGTAGACATATATAATGCCCCTGTTTGTTTCTCAAAGAATCTGTGTCGTGGATGAGTGCGTGTCTGTGGTGCGAAATTGAGAAAAGAGTTTGAGGCTAACACCAAATAAAATTATAGGGTGGCTTGCGACTCTCGCCTACTCCGCATTTACCCATTCGTAACGTTGCTAGGAACAATTTCCTCGACGAGATGGTTATCCGTAAATAGTAGTTTATACAAAGAAGGTGACGTCTCGCGTACATAGCCTGCTCAAAATAGAGTAGGGTTAAAGCTAATCATGGCATTATACAGCCAGGACCAGCTATATACTTGCAAGAAGAACTTCTCAAACCTTTATTGGCCCTCGTCACCTAGACTGATGATGATCTGCAGCAGTAAGTATGAAGTTGCATGATTTGCGCAATTCGCGCAATTCGCGCACTTCGCGCACTTCGCGCATTCCCGCATTCCATTGATATTAGTACATGCTCACCGTCAGACGTATGTTTGATTATTTCCCTTCGAGAAGTAATTTTAGCAATGGACATTGTTTTTCACTTTATTTGACATCGGAGGCTACACTAAGTCGCCAAACAGTATTCAATGATGGGTCCTCCTCGACCCACCAAGACCCTCCTCTTTACTAGTAAAGTATATAACACGGAGCTCACAAACAACCGCTCCTACAGTAATAAAATTACTGTCTCTAATAGCCGTCTTAAAAGCTGAATGCAACAGCATCCTAAAGAAAAATTGGCATAATCAATACAACGCTTCTCCCATCACTGCCCTATTCCGCGTGAAGAAAGCACCACTGCTGATCTAAATCTACGTTAGTGTACCAACTTGGAGAGCCATCAATTTGAGAATTATAAGGATGTCAAACCACGATATTTTATCAAAGCACTACTAGCAGGAGAGCGGAGGCGTAGCGGGATAGATGGCTTTCGATGACGGTGATCGCAGTTGCGTAGATCATGCGTACGATCTGGTCAATTGGGTGTGACATTAGATAGTCGTGAAGTTATACTTGAGCTTGCTGAGAAATTAAGATGATGTGGAGAACTGGTAAAGGGTGGGACTGTTGGTTTGATTCTACAATTACTTGTGTGGAAACGACTGGGCTGAGAACAAAGATAGATTTCTTTGTGTCTCAAGGCCATTATGTCCGCATCTGGCCACTGCAAGTACTACTTGAAGTGAGTAAAGAATGAAGATTGGATATCGGACCATTCTTCTGTGAAATGCATGACTAGCAAGATATGCTTAAAGGGCAGGTGAAATATTCACGGAGAGTAAGACGCCGCAACAACCGACAGAAGTTCGAGTCATTTTGATTTCTTCTTCCTCCTCTCAAATTTGAAATATTCTCCACCTCATGTCTTATCACTCAATTGCTCACGCTGCCAACTATTTCAACTGTGGAGCTTTATAATTCGAAGTCCAGCTTTGCTTTCAAGCTATTCATCCAGAGCTGGGGAAGACAGTATCATTAGTAGTGTTGACCAACCCATACGTCAGGACGAATCCCAATTGCTGCAAGATGAAAGATTTTTGGTCAGCATGTTGTCTTATCTAATACCACAACAGGTTCTGCTCCGATTTCTATACATAGGACCGACTTGCAAAGAGGATAAGAAAACCCAAGCACAACTCACCCAACTATCAGCCCCAGGAAGAATCGGCGGCGCCGTAATATTCGCCCTCTGCTCTCTAATCTCCGTACTATTAACCTCAAATAACTCGTCTCTCTGCGTCACAAAATCCGGCGTGATCTGTCCGTCCTGCGTATACCCCATGACCAACTCGGGAATTCCTTCCGGGACAGTCTTGTTCACAGCATCGAATCGCCAGGTGTGAGCTGTCTTTCCATAGGTACCAACGAGGACATCGCCCATGATGGCGAGATCAACCGAGGCGGGCATGTGTGGCTCGATTAGGAAGCCTGATGTCACTTCGTAGGCGTGCGAGTGCCAGAGCTGTCGTTCTTCGAAGGAGAGGGTTGCGAAGAGGGTTGGGGAGATTATGTATTCGATGCCGGCGAGGTGTTCTGGGGTTGTGCCAGTTGTGTAGACTGTGCATTGGAGGACTGTAGATGAGTTGTCAGTGTGAAAACTCCTAGAACCCATTGAGAAGGAAGAAAGGACAAGGAATTGGAGGAGAGCAATCGCGTATTGAGTTTGATGGGAAAAAAAGATGAGATTACTTACAGTCATCGGAAAGGATGGTGCAGTAATGATTAGCAGAGATCTCAGCAGAAGCATTGCCAGAGAGGAAGTGAAAGCCGTTCAGGAAGAGGACACTGCCTTCTGGGCCTATGTTGCCGAATGGCAACGCAGCGAAGGAGAAGGGGGCAAAAACTCCTAGGACAGAGACCAGGCTAGCAAAGGTGATCTGCATTGTGAAATGGTTGAAAGACAAGAAAAGCGTGCAGCTGTGTCGTGTCGTCTGATTCTGCTTTCTCTAGCAAAGCTTTCTCGCTCGTTTTGAATGTTTCACTTGAGAGGGAGGGATTGCCTCTTATACCTCAGTTTTCATTCGGCCTCTTCTTTGAACCCTGCCACTTTTGTTTTGCAATTTGCTGACCACTGGTAGATCCAGCCCCTACCACTCATTCTTTTCGTACGAGAAACATTTCTTGCTCCGGTTCTTTCCTCTCCATGTAGATGACATCGATGTGCAGACATTATATTGGTTTCGACCTTCCCTTTTCGTCTTTTCCAGTTCATCACTGGTCCTTGCTCTTTTGCAAGCCCAATATGGATTCTGACCGAGAGAACAGAATCCTCGAAGATACCAGCAATATGACCCCACTCCCGTCACATCTTGGAGAAACAGCTTCTCCGTCTTACTTCCGACTATCCATTCATCCTCCAGCTCCAAGAAACTTGCTCATTTGAGCCGTACTCCAAATGTCATCGGCGACCTGCCCCACGTTCTCGGTGACCTGAACCTTATACCCTATATCCTGTGGCAAACTTTTCTGCCGAGCACGAGTCTGGCAAGGAGAGCTGAAAAGCGAGAAGACGCGCGGAAGTTATGGAGAAACTGGAGGTTTTGTTAGTGGTCGGTAGATATCGGGTTCGTGAAAGAAAAACGCAAGGATGTGATAAGCAAATAAATAAATGCATGCAGAACGCTTACGTGAGGAGACATGAGGCTCTGGCTGGGTCGATTCTGATGATCATGAGACGCATTACGAAGCAGAGATGAGTGATTGTGACAAGGACCTCGATGATTGAAGAGTAGGATCGTACCATATTGGTCATGCTTCGAAATGAAAGCCCTTTGAAATTCGGCAGATGAAAAACATGGGAGTGTGATGACGAAAAACAGAGAAGTAGTACGGCAGGCGACAGAGGCTGGGTGTGCGAGATGGCTGGCAGAATGATGACTATTTCTGACAATGTGTTCCATCGACATGAACAACTCCAAAGCAAAGGGCGAAGGTATGAGAAAAGAGGAGAGAGCCTTGCTACCTCCTCTTTTCGCTTAGAGGAGCGAAAAAGGAGCGAAATCGCTGGATCTCGAATCTACCATAGCTGCTCCCAATGAGCTTTGTAAGGCTGCTCGAAACCTAAATTGTTGAGGGTGAAATGAGATAAATACATCTCAGCACTAATCCTGAGAAAATCATATGAGAAAAGGAAAGAGAAGGTTGTTGCAGAAGCTGAAGTTATATGGTTGCTCCATTGCATCGCTAAAGCGAGCCGGGGCGATGGTGAAATCTCACGTGCCCGTCAGCAGGGTTGGCAGTTAGCAAAAGTTATTCTCATATTCACGCTTTCGTCTCTTTCTTGAATCGGTATGATCTAAATACATGTTAGCGCTACGATACTTGATATATGATTTCTTTCCCTGCACGGCAGCTAATCGCATCCATGAGAGCGCAGGAGCTTATCGAAGCACCTTACCATTAGACTGTTTCTTCAACGAGATTCCCAAGGAACTGGATTAGACGAGAAATGAGTGCCACAATAGCTGTCTGAAATCGTAGCTCACGTAGACGTATAAAGCATGGGCTTTCAATTTTATTAGAGGTCGCAGAGATGGCTGAAAATATGATTCAACTGATTCTTGTAGAGACTGTAGTTACATCGATGTATTGAAAAGAAGACAAAAAGCTAATGCCATCATGTTGAATGAGTTTCAGGCTCTTGTTGAAATGCCAAAATCAGAAAACAAAGCAGGAAAAGAGTGTTGCGCATTTGCGAAAACAAAGTTTAGTAATCATCCCCGCGGCTGATGACCTCCTTTCCTCCACTGTGGAGGAGAATCGTCTTGAGAAATTGATTAGCTAAGAAATAATTGCCGACCGAGAGAATGCTTACGTGTTCAAATTGGGCCGTATATGAGCCTTTGATATCGACAAGTGGGGCGTACGACTCCACGATGCCGTGGTTCATAAGATCCCTCATCTATCCCAATCAGATATGTACTGTATGTTAGCGGCAGTTGAGGATGACTCACTCCCAGATGATAGCCCCTCACTCCAAGTCGCTCAAGGTATCGACGACAGAAAACTATCGTCCCGAAATTGGCATCTATGGTTTTGAGGAGTGATCTTGCAGAGGCGAGGTGGAGATTGGCGGCAGAGACGTCTGACTGTCTACCGTAGCCGTAAACACCAATCTAGAGAGGTTAGAACATCAAACAAGGCGAAAGGTCAAGTTCTCACTTCATCGTTCAAAAATCCCTTGCCTGTGCTCCCGAAGGTCTCGATGGCGAAGACCTCACCTTCCTCCATTTTATCTCGATTGTTGTTCTTGATAAACGGAATCTGCTTGCCTCCATGAATGTGGTACTGCAAGATGTCGTGACCCGTGATATTGCGAATTGCTTTCACTGGGAACGTCTTTCCTTTGATTTCAACCTCATAGCTCTCCATGACTTCTTGGATTGCCGCTCCAATGTCACCCATTCGAGCATCAATACCTGCCTCCTACATCATTGATCAGCGAAAGTACACAAAATAAGTAAGATAAATGAGACTAACGTTGATCCCAGTATTTGTAGCCTCTTTCACAGCGGTAAGAAGATTGTCATAAGTGTGGTCAAACGCAATCGTAAAAGCGCTGTCCACAATGCGACCGTTGACATGGACCCCAAAGTCCACCTTCAACACATCGCTCTTGTCTAGAACGACGTCTTTTCCACCAGGATTCGGAGTCCAATGAGCCGCAACATTGTTGAGACAAAGGCCTGTTGGAAATCCCATGCCGGCATACAATGAGTCGCCGGTCTCCAGGCCTTGATGACCGGAAAGTGTGCGAACACCATCTTCGATCCCTTCGGCGATTGATTGAAGGGTTGCACCAGGCTTTATCAGTTCTGACTGAGCATATTGACGGACTTGCCTATGGATCTCGGCTGCCTGGCGATACTCGGTGAGGAAGTTGTCGCTCCAGAGACGGGAGTTATAACGTGTCTCTTCATCCGTAGTACGGGACGTGTTTACATACGGTGCAAGTTCTCCGATTGGATACTTCTCGGCTGGGAACAACTTAGACACCAACACGCTCGGAGGAGATGTTTGTTCTGTCGGAGTCTCAGAGAGGACAGCTTTCTTGCCTTTCTTCTTTTTGGACCTTTTACGCTTCTTCTTCTTTTCTGGTTGCTGTATCAGTACAGGAAGGGTACCTTTTGCTCCGTTCAAGAGAAGTCAAAGCAGTCGATTGGAACGCACCTCCATCAGCAAGAGGGTTCACCCCGGCAGCAGCTCCTTGCCCATCGTCGTCATCATCGTCGTCGCCGTCATCGTCACTGACGACTCCACGATCCAAGTCTGCTGAGCCCGAACCCTTTTGGGTGATTTGAGGGTCTCCATTAGCAGTTTTGAGCCCATTGGAGTTTCCTGCAAGGTCGCGTGAGTAGCTGGGTTTCACAGTAGAGCTTCAGATCATACCATCGGGAGTTTGCTGATGTCCTTCAGGGGTCTTTGATCCCATTTTTGATTTTCGAAATGGTCTATCGGCATCAATAAGAGTAGTTGAATTTGATATAATTTTCAAGAGGAAGTTGAAGTCAATGTTGCAACTTTGCCGAGCGCGCCTTCCGGTTGACGGCCTGCTGACTAATAACTCAACCACAGCAAGCAGAGCTCATCACATGATGCCGGTGAAAATTATTCGCTACGAAATATATCCTCATCTTGTTTCTTCTTCCCTTGGTTCCTAGAACGGAACAATCTCTTCTTGACAACTTGGTACACCTCCCAGAGATAGGTCCACTAGCTTCCGCATCAGGTTAGCTGATGGCATCAAAGACATCGACCTCTCGAACCTCGAACTGTCCTCAATAAGCATAGGCAGAATATCCATGCTTTCACAGGAAGAAGGGTAAGTATCAACTACCGTAAGTCAAAAGTCTTCAAGGTATGAACATTCTTGCTTTGACAAGTACTCAGATGCAAATTGTTCCGCATGCATACATGAGAGTCGCTAACAGCTGACAACCAACGACCGGATTGCATATGACCTCGACTTAGAGTCAAATCCCCTACAACACATGTGATAAGTCTTGCATATTTCGTTCGCCTAAACTTTGATGGCGACACAGTACTGTGGACGCATCATCCATGTCACCTTGGCAAACTCTCAGGTGCATATGACTCAGGTACACATTACTTACGAAGAACAAGAGCAACGATACCAATAATTGAGAAATTTGGATACCCGATCCACACGATCTCATGAATGTGGACGCTTCCAACAGATCCACTCAACACTTACAGGTGCATCTCTTCCCGAGGTAGCAATGCATGCATGCGTGCATGCGAATGCAAGTACTGTACCAGAATTAAGTTGATCTCGGAGTCGGAGGCACAGACATGTTCTTGACAGCTCATAAACAAAATGTCTGTGAGATCACAAAGTTTCCTATTTGTCCAATCGCATTTGACCCCTTTAAAACTTGTATTTGGTATTTCATGCTTCAACAGTCGTCCGGCTTCTCGGCTCGGCCGCCAGCCACACTTCATCTATTAGAGTTCTGTCACCGCTGTCATCGCTTGGAAGGTTTTGATCGGCTATAGACTCGTCTGGGGTCTCTCATCACCGCATACATTTTTAATATAATATGGTGGGGCAGCTCGCATGACAGCCGGAACACGTTCCGAACGCAGACAGACCCTGGAGCTTATCCTTGATCTCTCCCCTGTCTGCTTCGCTAAAGGTCTTAATTATGTCCACTTTCTTTCCACCTTCCTATTGCGAGCACAATAACGGATAAATCCCAGATGTTGACGAAGTTGACTTTACCCCATCAAGTCCTGCCTTGTGAGCTGAAAGCATAGATTCGGAGATTTAATGTAACGAGGGTAGAATGCAGGGACTGTAAGCGGCATTGCGTGTGTGCTAGCCTTTCAAGGAAGTAACAGGCTCAAAATAATTGAGGACAAGCAGCATGTGCTAATTGGGAGACAGAAATCCTGTTGCCTCGGTTGCTAGCTCATGAAATACTTGAACGTGTTGACGAAGATGTGCTACGTTGTTGGTACGCATAACAACGCGAGTCATCAATAGCCGTGCCGTGCTATCCTACCCTGGAAGTATCTCAGCACGAAGGCTTATCATAAGTCTGCTGCTATCTCAGCAGGACCACTGTATATATGTTCTTGACTATCCTAGCCTTCGCGGGGTCCTGCCTAGGTTTCATCTCCGTGTAGAGTTTCCTTTCATAGGGGTGTAGAGGGGAATCTTAACGTCTGCTTGATGCACGGCAAGGCGTCTCCCAGCCTCAAAGCCAGCGCTTGGGGGTTCAAGTGATGAAACCTCAATTACTATTGAGCGCATGTGGACGGCCAATGGCCATAATCCTATCTGATTTTGGAGTGTCTCTCTTCTGGTAAACATTCGTCTCTTGGTCTGCTCATATCATTGGCCGAATCACACAACTTGTGGGAGAAAGACTCAATACTCGTAGGTACAAATCGAGGTGTAGTCAAACATTGGCCAACGCGTACATTCATTATTTCTTGACAATTATCGAATTCAAGTCAATGAAGACTGTTTACAGCAAGTTCAGGGCGATGGCAGACCTTGTTCATAATATTTCTCTTTACTTTTTTGCACGCGATTGCCAAATGGGGTACTCACAGACAAACCGAGACTGAATTTTTTGAAATGAAGTTCAATAGCAATGTCCTTCCACTCAGGGGTCAATGACAATGCCTCTAATCGAAACAGCAAAATGTTATCCATGACACTGGTGTTGACATGCAACAGCAATGTGTCATATGACGCTGAAGGTTGCTAGATGTCAACTTTGAATCTACAACCGCGACCTCGGAGTCATCTGAAGAAATAGGCTGGTGAAACCGCAAAATGAGAACAGCTCTCTATGTCAACGTATCTCTTTTTTGTTCGCTTGACCCCTGGGTTTATTATTGAAGCCGTTCTAAGCAGAGCAGATTGGTCTTTCAAAACTGATACTTTCCATAATTTCGGCTGTCAAGGGTGTCACTGAGACTTCTCCAGCACCTAAGTCATTACAATACCGTTTAACTTGGTATAGATTCATGATCTTCTCAGAAGGCAGTCTGACTGCATTCACTCCGCAGCCTGTGTTTTGCCGACCATGGACACGTCAAGGCAGTCTGACTCCGTGAAAAGAAAAACCGGTTCAGTTCTCCATCTCAAACATTTCTGTACTCGCTCCTTTCCATGATCTACATGGACCTTCAAGATAAAGCCTCATCATCATTGTTGCTCTGATAACAGCACCCAAATCGCTCTCATCACTCCAGCCATCCCATTCAATGCTTACGTTTGACAACCCAAGAAGACTGGTGCTCTTCTGACGACAAATCACAACAGGAACATCATCAAACCATCCAGTCTCGCTGTTCCAGATTTGCTCTATCCCCTCCACCCAAATGGCGGCGGGTAAGTCTCAAAAAACTTCTAGCCCGTCAACCTGGACCACAGTTATCACTCCCGTATATATTTGAGCTCTTCACAAACTCCCTGTCAGCTCGCTTCCTTGGACGCTACAACCCTATCAACTCAAGCACCTCGCTAACATGCTTTATCAGATCTCCATCCAGACCCATAGCGTGCATTCTTCAGACCAGTATTACTTGCCAGCCTAAAAATGCTCGTCAAACGCACATAATGCGATTTGAACTTGTGGTTATACCAATATTGCCATTAGCCATGCCCCGACCTCGAATTCCATCAACAGCAGGGTGGCACAGACTTGTTGTCAAGAAGGATAACGGAGAATAACCCGAACTTGAGCTTCAATACGCTACTGCATTGGGTAAAACAAGGCACCAGCATGCCACAACCTATACAAGAAGGCTACAGGAAAAGAAAACGATACAACGGTTCCTCCCAACACGCAGAGTTCGGCCAATGAAGCAAAGCACCTCTGCAGCAGCTCTTCGAGACCTCTGCCGCGGCGAATCTATCGTCACACTCCCCGAACAGAGACCTAAAGCGGGAAAGAAGACGATGGAATTTTGGTTTGGTTTTGTATACTGGCCTTGGAAAGGGGGTGGAATGATGTTACGAAAGGTTTGGGAAGAAGGGGTTGAACGCAGTGACGGGGTTTGGGACGCCGAGCCATAGGAGGTCGTTGATGGCTTGGATGACAGGCGATGCTATAGAGGAGGAGGAGGAGAAAGGGGCGTGCGGTTATGAGAGATGAGATCATGTTCCTTGGCTCTGTGAAGAGTGGTTGCAGGGCAGGATATCTTAACGCGGACCATCGCGATAATATTTTTGATGTGCAATAAATTTACTATTGATGCGAAGCATGCTAAGGAGACCAAAAACCATGAACCTCAGATTCCATGTTACACATTGATTGGATAGGGAGAAGCCGACAGATCGTCCGAGGTACGGATATCTCAAGCTGGACAAGAGACTTCCGACTCTCAATGAAAGCGATTATCTCCAACTTCTCTCCTGCAAAAACAAAGTGCAGACAGGATGACAATGCTTTTCACCGTGTGACGACCACCAAGACCAGAAACACGCTCAAGAATTTCGGCATTCACTGAAATTATTCTGCTTGGCGCCGAGGCAAACTTACTGCAGGCACCTGCCTTCAACTATTGAAAAGCACTGCTGAAGATCCAGATAGATAGCTTACCAAGAATCGCATTCTGACTTCACATCTCAAAGCCCATCATCGATATTCTTTCAGCTCCCGCAGATCGGGAAATCCAGACCTCAATTGTCAGCAACATGAAGGGAACTTCCTTGAACACATTTCATCACCGCCTCTTCCCTTGTTGTCTTCAGATCGGTACTTGATCTCTAGTTCCGGCCAATGATGTCGATCACTGTTGAAGCGACAATCTGACATCTGTCTTTGAGCTTACTACTCCTAGGGGAAGGTCAGGAACTTTTACGAGAGAGAAAAGTACTTGGGAGATGAAAGGGGGTGAGCAGGCTTGCAGATGAAGCTGTCACGTCAAGCTAAACTATTGATAAGCAGCTAGCTGGTCTAGCACGAGGAGGATCCCGATTCGGGAGTTGTGCAAAGCATCGCCAGATCTCGAGTGCGAGAAAAGGCGACGCTAGGAGAAAATCAAAAGTCATCGGCTCAATGAGACAAGATGTCACTTGAAAAACAAGCCGAGGTGAAATATAGAGGTGCGCGCAATTTCCGCGACGACCTGGTTAAGAGCAAAGAAGCTATCGTGACGCGAAAGCTACCGTGCACATTTCTCTATGCTAGTCAGGACTCAAGAAGACATCGCGCATAAGCTAAGCCTCTCGACGATCACATTCACTCGCATGCTATACCTCGGTCGAATTTCCCTTCAGGGGCAGAACCTCCGTTGTCAAACTCTGTAGACTGCAGCAGCTAGCTTCGGATAGAGATCCGAAGCCCTGGATCGACATGTATGTGCGTATTTGGTTTCATACCGGTACAGCATAGCGTTCAGTTTGGACCCAGAAGCCGCGCTTGTTAGTTGAGGTAGTCGCAAACTTAAGATAGTGACGGTGACGGCACTAGCCTAAAGAGGAAGACAAATTTGGATTGTTTGAAAGCGAAACAATTGCCCCTGAAACATACGTGAGAGGCGTTAAAGTGGACGTTGCGGCAAAGCTAAATTGTTATCATGAGGAAGGGAATATTTGTCATATTGCAGAATTAGTGCAAATATCGGCACAGGCCTCGGATGCAGGAAAGACCCTTCACTTCGGTGCCGACAAAAGCCTTTGGAATGGCAAACCAGAGGACCAGACATTTTTCGCCAAATTGTACGCAGATGATTATTTATGGATGCATGCTGGCTCCCGCGGAGATGGCAGACATCGATTTCTGGAGGCTTGGTACAGTTTGCCGATGGCTCGGGAGAACTTTGCAGCCTTGGCAGTGCTGGAACCATGGTCCTGGGTTCTTTAGTATGAAGCTTGCGCAGGTTGGCACGATTCCTGATCGCGAATATGTGGTGAAGGTGCCTGAATGGCATCTTGTGGCCTGAAGAAATCTGCAAGTCTGAAATTTGGGCACGCAAAATGACAATAAACTTCTCTGAAAAGAGTAGCCCGGAAGCCGTCAGTGTGCAAAATCAGTATGGGCTCCTGCTTGGCTGAACACTATTCTCGCACTTGCAAGACTTCGTGGGTCAATGGTGCAGCACTACCAACGAATTAAGTATAGTAAATTACTCATATCGAGGGGAATTGAAGCCATCAGCGCGTCCACCTGCCCTCCTGGAATATTGCGCTGTGAAGTAACTGCTCCCGCCTGGATCTAACTCATAGCCCCCGCCCACCATGGCAGACTAAGAACATTGATAGTGATGCTGGATCTTTCCATGGGACCACGATTCATGACAACAGGATTACAAGTGAAGATTTGCGTTTCTTTTGGGAGATAAAATTGAGCTCACTGTTGGAGAAAGTCTCCAAAGTTCAAGGGAAAATCGATGTTTTGGAAACACAAATTGTGCTGTTACTTTCCACATCCAGCAAGTGACAGCGATTGGCTCTAGAGAAAGGACATGAACATCGACGGGTTGCTTCACTTGAAGTAATAATGCACACAAGATGAATATCACGTCCTTGATGAGAACTTTTTAATCTGTCATTTAGTGAGAGGGCCTGAAAAGGGGATGTGGCAGTGCTGGCGCCAGTCGTTCCAGCAATGTGCTCGAAACTTCGCAAACTTCAGGTGACCAGGGGCGGATTTGTGACAGCTGTCGTTTGTGTCAATATGTAATGATAAACTGGAGCAGCACACAGACTCTGTGGCCCATGCCACTGTAGTGGTACCTTGTGCCTGAGCTCAGCTCTGCTGCGAGCCGCGAGCAGTATGACTGCTACTTCGGCTCATCGCATACAGCTGCTTAGTTACGACTGCGGATTCGGGATCATTGTGTCTGTTACAAAAATAAGCACCCTGATGCTGGTTCCCAGCTGTCAGGGATGATGGACTTGGGCGGGGTGATCCGGGGATGGTCCGAACGTCCACGATCGAAATGCACTTGGTAGAGAATGCGTTGTGTGTGCTGTCTCTTGTGTCTTACTGTACGAGAATTGCTGCAGCTTCCCACGAGGGTTGGATTCTGCAGCAATGCGTCCATCTCGAAATAAACACAATGGCACTCACCACTGTATTGCAGGGCGTTAGTTCTATTGTCAATTGCATGCTGCCCCTTTACGGGGTGTGATCTCGTGCGTGCCGTCTTTTCAGAGATCTCTTGTCAAGAAACGTCAAGACAATCCTAGTACTCGAATCGTGTGGGGTCGATTGACGTCTGCCCGGGATCATGATGATCATCAACTACAACGGTTTGCAGTGACAGATCCTGAGCCACTGCGCTCATCTCGAGTTTTGCATTATTGTCTGAGGCCTCGCTTCGGAACTTCTTTGATTGCTACTTTGGGATATGTCAACGAGGCTTGATGGATTGATTCATGGATGTTTCTCGCATCGCCAGGGGGCACCGTTGCCATGTCTTGGATCGAGGATCGTCGGGGCTGCGGGTGTCCGTTTGGTCTGTGCCGCTGTCTTGCTCCCCCCTGGTTCGAGTCATGAAACCTGACATTCATTGACGAAGGGCCTGAGGGGGCGCACGAAGCCCGAACAGATGGACGGCAGACGGCGGCGTGCGTCGACGGTATAGAGTCTGCTGCACAGGTACAGCTCAGTACACCACAGGATTGAAAGTATGATCCTGGAATTCTTGTGTGTCATGCTCGTAGACGGGGTCTCAATCTGCCATCAGCCGTTCTGGTGATATCCCCATTATTGGCAGTTGGAGCTGAGGCTCAACTCATCACTCCAACCCTATCGCTCCGAGTCCATGACTCCGTTGTGCACCGTCTGCCATGTTGCCTCCCGTCTCTTAGATTGGCGATGTTGCGCAGCGACGATAGATCTTGATTGAGCGTTGCATGTCGTGATTGTGATCGTCCTGCTGGCTGCTCGCCCTCTTTCGAAGTCGCCAGCTGAAGAGAACTTCGTGGCACATGGTTCCTGCAGCCCCGCGAGACTCAACAGCCTTCTCTGTCCCTGTCCTCGAGTGCATGGTATGTGAGACGTCCTGCTTCGTGGGTTGTGCACTGCCATCGCCATCGTCCATTGTCCATCATCGCAGATACCCAGGTAGGTTTGAACCCCTCAGTCACGAGTAGACGTGTTCGTGGTAGGAATGGGATGATGCACGTCAACCAGGAAGAGGCATGCAGGATTCCTGATGGAGTGAATCTTGCGAATGGAACCCAGGTCGGAGGGCCGCTGTCATCCCAGACCCCCGTTATCCGACAGTATATCCCATGCAGGTATGCGCAGGGAAAGAGGACGAGGAAGCGAATGGAAAGATTGAGACAGGGTTGTAGATTGATGTTGTACGGGGGGATGAACGAGGGTTGAAGGCGATGGCGATGTTCGCGGAGAGGATGTTTTTTTTTTCCTTGTTGCCCTTTCCTTTCTTCCAGGGCCGGTGCCATCATTAACCTCAACCTCACTCGCCTTCCCGTTACACGACATCACAACATCCAAAATGCAACAAACCAAAACACAATACAATACCATTGCAATACAACCAATGCAATACAATTGCTACACGCCACACTCGAGCACGCTCACACATGCCAGCCATGCCTGTGCCGTCTCCCGCACTCACTCGATTCAGTTCAATCTACAGAACAGGCCAGGCCAGAGCGGAGCTGCGCCAATACACGCTCGTCTATCAAGGCGATCAACGGCTGAAACCAATGTTCTTCATGCAGATTCAATCTGATTTCGACACCGTATTACTGTACGAGGTACCAGATCGGCCAGGGACACTCTTCCGCGCAAACCCTGCTGGCAATCATGACTCGCCAGCAACGCTCCTTCATCTGGGGTTATTCGAACTTGGTCCAGAGCCCCGCTGGCCCATGCATGGCACAACATGGCATCTTTCGACTCTGCCTGCTGTTAATAGACTCAGACAGCATCATAAGGCCCGATTTTTCCCACGAGTCTCTGCGGCAAGAGACTCATCATGCCAGAACGAGCGTCATGAAACAAACATCTCTCCGCATGGCCATCAGTAGCCGCCTTGGTGGCTGGAAGCTCACCACCGCTCGGATGCCGAGGAACAATTTCGTCTGATGATCTCTGTATTCTCCGAAGCACGGCCGTTCACATCTCACTTGCAACTTTGGGACTTCAGCCTCTCACCCTCGAGAGCATTACGGCATCAGCCAGAAGAAGGATGGCTGCACCACGATAAGTGAACGTTCCACAATTGCTCCTGACTCAGAGTATGGACTTGGGGAATGAGCATGCTCTGCGTGGTACGGGCTGCTGGACCAACTCCATTCAGTAGCCCTAAACGAATTGTAGTTACAGTCCCACCCGAGTCGTCGTCTGTGTTTCATAGCATGAAAATTGCGTTCTACCTCGCGGTCGAGGCATGCTACCTGCGTGGACATGCGGACCTCTGCCCGCTGACAAGAAAGTGTTGTTATGACGCTTACCTCAATCCGGCTCTTACGCAGCACAACCTTATTCCGAACGGCTATCACCAGATACTTGAAGCACGAGCAATGAGAACGCAATGACAACGGCAACGGGTACTTGGAGTTGATCATCTGCACGTTGCCACCAGCTCGATCTGAAGGCACGGATCTTGCTGTTTGTAGACGCCATCACCAACTTCCATGCAAAGATCCAGATCCCGCTGGCCGTACCTAGGGTGGCATCAAGGGACCAAGGGCTGGAAAGATACGAATTCGTGAGCGGCTTAGAGTCAATTATGACCACATGTGCAGAATCCTATCTGAGGAGAATCTGTGGCTTCGATCCTGCGTCGCAGCAAAGAACGCAATGTCAAAGACCAATGCAAAAGATATCTCGAAGAATCGAACATCTGGGAAATGCAGCTCACGGGCACCTTAGACAATGCACGTTATCACAGTTCGTGTGAGTGACTGCAAAACGCTCCGTAAGGATCCTCTGATGTTTTGACATTTATGCTCTCAGCATGACCCTTGTTCCTTTGAAGCTTCAACATCGATATGGCTGGTGGCGTGCAGCCAATCGCACTAGAAAGCTGACGCCGAACGTTCGGAGTGCCAAACATTGTCCTCTCTGCGCCTCCAAGAAACGAACCCGTTTTCTTGTTCGTTCTTGATGCACATCTATAATTGGAAAAAGGTCATGTTGCAAGAATGAGAGTGTTATGAGAGCTAAGACGGGAAGATTGCTGAGGCTTGCATGCTGCTAACGTTGAAGCTCGACACTAACATGGTCCCCCATGAAAGATTCTCAATGCATGCGGGAAGATAATAATCTCCTCAACGGCCATCAGAAGCAAGTCACGGCCCAGAGTAAGCATTTCCCAAGAGTCGGCAACCCAAGAGCTGGCAATGTACGGTCCAGCGCTTTCTCTACGAGAGCTTTATTTGACAATATTTCTTCGAAACGAAACTTCATCAATGGAGTTTATGCAGACCGCCTCTCATCTGGTTCCCTGCGGCGGCCACCAGCCACACGGAAAGGACACTGCAGTGTACGGAGATTTACGCACTGTCCACCATCCAAGCTCTAAATTGCCCGAACCGGCTTTCCACGCCAGGTTAGGGATCTGACTTACATGTTTAATTCCTGCTCCCCCGCCGAGGATGACCTTGACAACGGCAGGACGAAGCCACCCCCCAGCGTCGATCAAAAGTATCTGCTCCAACCACGAGTAGCATGAACCTTGTCTCCTGATCGATCCCTAGTCTGTCAAAGAACCTGGTGGCTTGCGAAGGGCCGAGAGCGAAACAGACAGAGGATGAACGCTGACGGACCAATCGAATGCCATCCGTCCTGTCTGATCATCGTCGAGATTTTGATATCCGTCATTCTCGCATCCGGCCTTTCATCCGTAACTCACATCAAACTTTGATGTCGAAGAATCACTTCCTCGGATCTGCTTCAACAGCGGAGGAAACAACCAGCGACGGCTTCAGAAACCGGCGTGAGCGGTTCATGGACTGACTAGCTAAGCACGACCAACAGTCCATATCACATGGCAAAGAATAACTCTGCCGTGCAGTCTGGATGCAATGGCAGATCAATTATGCTACAGCGATCCTCATGCCGGTCACCTCCACAAGTGAATGAAGAACAGAAAGTCAGTAAGTTTGCTGCTCAGGAACGCCAGTCGAGTATATGGTGGGGTAATACGGTTGCCATCCAATGATAGCGTTAACGCTGCAGCAACACCCAAAGACTCTGGCGGTGCAGAGACAAGGACCATGGCAGATGCAGGGGCAACGATGAGAGGAACATGGAAGTGCGGTCGATAGGGTGAAACCGACTACTATCTTCATCAGGTAAGTGACCTCGATTGGTCCCAGTACGAGCATTGTTCTGGAGTGCAGTATTTGAGTGTGTTTCTTCTGAGAGATGGGACAACCAGTCGAATCATCAGGTTCTTGAGAAGAGGCCATAGTTTATTGAAAAGGTTTGAGAGATCCTTGGACGGCTGGCTGGCTAATATGTGACACTGGTGATGAAGCTTTTACTCCGAAGGTTCGCCTTGACAGGAATGTTAAGAGGATATTGCCTGTCAGATAGCATGACATGTACTACGCAAGGCAAGTTCAAATTAAATGAAGCAACTGGCTAATCGGATGCACCCGAAAACACGGGAAAAGCTGAGATATCTGAGCCACACCGACCAGCCACTCACTGAGCTGCAGAAGGACTCTCTTCAGCTGCTCCGTTCACAGTCTATATAGTGATGAGTGGCTCTTTGAAGGCGTATCTTCAGATTGCCCTGATATTGTTACGCTTCTTCTTCTTAATTTTTCAAAACGGATGATACGCATCAAGTAATGGCATTCTCAGAATTCCCATCCATTTCCCGTTTCTCGCAAGATGATGGGGCGCCAAGTCCGATGACAGTTGTCTCTCCGGAGAGAGAGCAAGCTGCGGGAAAGTGGTGATCAAATTGCAGAGCTTTCCCTCTCGCTATCCATCCGGCAGGTTGCATGTTCAAACGCAAGCCTGCTCGGCATCGAATGTTTCCATCGGGGAATTATAGCTGCACCTGCAGAATATCAGTGCACCATAGCTCAATTCAAACCCCTTATCCCCTGCAAGAACACTAGGAGGGATCCGTCCTGGGCTGAAATCAAGTGAAATGGCAGGATCTCACAGCGGTCTAAGCCTCTAACGGAGTCTGGCTCTCGGGGGGTTTTAGCGTGGGTGGGTGATGAGCCGGCTAAGGAACTGCCAGACCAGGTCAGGAGAAGGCGAGAAAGTCCACTTAGGATCACCAAATTAGTGGCTAGTGGCTACTGACACCAGTAAGGTCACTAGCGAGGAAGAGCTAATGCAAGGCCGCCGCCACCAGAGCTAGACGGCCACCATGACCACTCACTAATCTCAATGGTAATAACGGCAGCGGCAGAGCAGTGCAGTGCTACAGAAACAAACACCACAGGCACCACAGCCGGAATGGCTCCGTCGTCACTCACTAAAAAACAGCATCATGAGTGCTTGATGTGGGCAGTAGGCAGGCTTGCACTGGCCAATAACCACTCACTTCCTGCCTAGACCGAATCTGGCCATCGAGATTCACTAGACATGAATACGCTCATTGATCCTCGGGCCATCCAGTACCACCGCGCAGTCACCCCTGGTTCCGCGCCGTCGCCCTACTGGGTCGAGAAGTTATGCTATTTGACTCTTTCTCTTCTGTCTTGACCTTGTCATAGCCAGGGAGTCTTGGCCCCATCATCGAATGGCACGAGTGGAGAGGAGTGACGGTTTCCTGTCCTTTAATAATGCCCTGCAACCTACCATCGTCTTATCACTTACTACCTAGGTACTGAGTGCTTTCCTACGGTCTTTAACCCACCCCCCAGAGCCTCCAGCCCTAAGCACGCACGTTGCTGCTGATTGATACTCAAATCAATTCGCTGAAGCTTCCTCGTTCGTTTCCCACTACACCATTTTGGACGGCCAAGACAAACTTTCAACTGCCCTAGCTTGTTCCTGGGAGATACCCATCGCTCACCCAGCAGAAGGCCTGTTCCACGCCTCATCTTCGTCTGTTTTCAGCACCGAGCACGCACGACTCCACCCTACCACCACAGCGCGTCTCTGCATCCCTGTCCGGGTCCTGGCGCTGTCTCAATCCCTGGATCCTCCTCATCGACTAGGCCTATCTGACCCAGTCCCAGTGCACGGCATCTGTGCAGCGAGCGGCCCGTTGATCTGTTTCTTCCACAGCCATCACCAACAGCATCCACCACGCATCCACTCCCCATGGTTCCATGCTCCAATGCTCCAATGGTCCAAGCACTGATACTTACTTATACTTAAGACATCTGCCCTCCGCATCATACATGCACATATACGCTTAAATCCATACCAACATACATACTAGACCACCCAGCATACATCAACATCCAACACTCTTCCAACTTATCCATCATCCCCATCAATCAATACTCGGCTTCTCGGTACATGTCCTCAGCGTTACCGCCCAAGGCCAGAACAACTGATCGACGCCGATACCCGACGGAAACCTTATGCACATCCTGCATTTGATTTCTCCCTAGTTCCATCCAAGTCTTCGTACGAATAATACTTGAACCGCAAACGGCAGCGGCGAGTCATCAGTCAGCGTGTCTTCTAGGCAACTGATCATCCGAACAGCCACAGCAGAACAGTCACTCTTCCTCCTATCCTCAACCGTCGCAACGCTGGCCGCCGCAGTCTTAACTCCGCTATCTCTTGGTGGCCACTTCCCGAACTGGATTACGGGAAGAAGATCTTGGAAGGGTAAGTTCGAGCATGGAATAGAGGCCGTTGACACCCCACCCCTCTCCACTGTGGCACTTTCTGCTTTTAGTTTGGCATGGGAGTGCCTTGATGTCCTACATCGTCAAATGCTTTTGTTCCTGGTACTATCTATTTTCATTACTGCTGTTTTGACAAGCTCTACTACTCTCGTCGAGACCAAGATTCGATGTCACCAGATGTCTGCTAACAACGGGAATGCAGACTCTGGACACTACCTAACAACTGGTACCACTTCCTCCAGCGGGTCGAGAACAAATCCAGCCTCTCGCTCCCAGAGTGGTATGGAAGTACCGCATTCTGTGCATTCGAGTCAATCAACTGTGAATTCATCAAAAGAAGAATCTTCTGCAGCTATGTCGACGCTTACCTTGAGGGCACCATCCATGCTTCCGTCCCCTAGAGACATTGGCAGCATGTCCTGGTCTGATAGACGTCCTTTGGACTTTCCTTCGAGACCAAGGTCCCAGACTGATCGTGAAGAACTCCCTTCAATACGACAGGTAAGTCTTCACCTCAAAAGCTAGGTATCTACTTACACAACGTTTAGATCATTCCAGACTTTCATCAGACTCGACCAGGACGAACAGAAGCTGAACACAGCACTGATTCTTATTCGCCGACATCTGGTGGTGTGAGAAAGATCCCTTTAGAATATGAGCAATCGCCGTCGTTGAACAAGCGGAGGAGATTATCCGTTGAGGACGAATTCGAAGAATCGAGAGATCGAGCCATCCCACGACTTTACAGAAGTCCATCGAGAGTGACGGCAAGACCTGTGAATGCTTCCATCTCACCCACATCCGCAGCTCGACCAGCGCCTGGCTATCCTTCAGACACACGATCCGATTCCAACAGAAGTAGTCCATATTCTGCAGCCTCAACCACCTTCCAAACCTTCGACGCCCCCCGAACGCAATGGAGGACACTGCCCAGAATTCCAGCCTTGGCTGTGGAGACAGTCAGTCCACATAGCAGAAGTAACTTTGGTGAATATTCACTCGATTCTTCTAGATCTGGCGCACAGACTTACCCGCAACTTGCAACTTCGGCTTTCAACGCTCCAACGCCCATGTCCACCTACCCGCAGCCATCTTTCTCCTACGGATACCAGCAACCGCGCGGACAGTCCTACTCAGGACCATCTGGCTACTCACTTTCACAAGAACGAACGCCCTTCTCGGTTGGGCTCCCTGCTGCATATCCCGGAGCCGGTTACGCGTATAGTGGCCTTGATGTCGGGGATGGGAATGATAGCAAGCAAAAGAAACGGAGAGGCAATCTACCGAAAGAGACAACGGATAAATTGAGAGCGTGGTTTATCAATCATCTGCAACATCCTTATCCCACGGAAGACGAGAAGCAGGAGTTGATGCGGCAGACGAATTTGCAGATGAGTATGTCTATCCTACTCTTTTTATCTACTAGTTTTTGTTTTACTAACGAAATGGCTACAGATCAAATATCAAATTGGTTCATCAATGCACGCAGACGCCAACTCCCGGCTATGATCAACAGCGCGAGAGCAGAGACAGACGCACGGTCAGCGAGAGGAGGCCAAGGGGAAAGCACGAGTGATTTTGGGGATGAGAGGGAGAAGAGGGGGGTCAGTAGCGACGGAGATGCAAGTGGGTATGACGATGAATTCGAGCTGAGGTCGAGGAGGGCGAAGAGAGATAGTATATGAAGGGAGGAGGATTTATGACATTCTATTCAACGATTTTCTTCACGAGGTGGCTACAGAGCGAGGTTTACGAATTTCACGATAACAGGTAGCAAAACAGCAACAAGAGATAGAACGAGGGAATACAGGACTTCGTCGGGATAGGTAGCATAGCCGGGATCAGCAAGCATCAGCATCCGGAGTTAAGAGGAACAGTTGTACAACACAATAATAATACCACACAAAGAACTTTCATAAACTACTCATGAATGATAAACACTAACTCGTGACTGACTCTCTCTTTCATAAGATTCCACAGTAGACGCGGCACCGCGCCAAGCAAATACCTCGCAAGGCTAGCGGAAGGAAGGAGGTTTCCTTCCTTGCCGTGATGTGAATGAACGGGGACGTGCACTGGTTGGAATCATTCATTTATTAAGCAGGCGAAGCGCAGCCGTAACGTTGCTGATCGACATCTACATCCCGATGGGAATTGTTTAAACAGGATATCCTTGAAGGGAATTGTGCAAAAGCAGGTATCCATAAAAAAGATACCTAGCCTAGGTATGTATATATGTATGTAAAGGGGACCCTGACTGACGTCTTTCGCTTCCGTTGTATCCGAGCGAGCGACAGATTGACAGGCCCGGAGCCGGCATTTGGGATTTAGGGTTTGACAGCTAGGCGACGAGGTGGCCATGCTAGGGTGGGTGGCGTAGTGTATGTGGACGTTAACGTACTTGGTGGCGATAGGAGTGGTTGGTTATACGAACGAGGGTTTTGTGAAGCTTGATTCGTATCTTGTAGTAAGTAAGTGAGGTATGAAGTGAGGTCCGAATTGCATTTGGACTCGCAACGAAACAAAGCACCATTGACTGACAGCTGCCAACTAACCTCGGAAGATTCAGCAGCCGTCCGTTCGCTACTGTACGATCTTTCGTCCAGAGTCCGCGTCCACGGCATTGACTGCTGATCTTTTGGTTCCTCGCTCGCTGAGAGATGGACGAAATAGTAAAGCTTGCGAGAAAAAGAGAAGAAGAAACATGAATGACGGACCGAGGTAGAAAGAAAGAAAGAAAGAAAAAACGAAACAATGCAATCGCATGTCTAGCCTCTATTGGGGGCTTTGACAGGTTACTTATGCATGACAGGTTTCATCATGCGGACGAACATACCGGATCTGTCGTTGTTTGCGGAGAGATGATACCCTTGAACCTTGACTATTATTATTCATCCATATGCTTTTCATCTTTTCTTTTCTTTTCTTTTCTCTTCTCTATTCTCAGGTGAATAAAACATAAAAGCAATTAAGCTTTGACACATGCATGACCCCTCTTTCCTTCTCACTCTGCCCTGTCTACTCTATCGCTACACCAGGGGTCCAAGACGGCAGCAAAAAGTGGCTGTGCAAAAAACTGACCTGACGTTCCTTGAAAAAAAGATGATCGATCGCTTCGCTAATCAATTTTTAATCCTGGCGGGAAATCTTTATTTTTTTTCTGGCTGCTGACGTTATGATGAGCCGTGCCGAGATTCCCGGGGATCTGCAGCTGCGCGCGAGAAGGACGGAAAGGTGCCGAGTGGGGCGGGAACGAGGTGGCTTTGGCTTTGCCGAGGTGTCAAATATGTCATGGTGGGGAAAGGAGGGGGGGGGGGCCGTGAGTCCCGAGTAGGGGTTGTGTCATTGATGGGTGAAGGGCTGAAAGGATAGGGGATTTATGCAAATGTATGGGAGACAGGGGGAAATGACTGGGCCGAGGTGGGGTTGGTGAATGCGCTCTGGTTAAGTCGTCGTCGTGAGAGATAGCGTCTTTGAGGTGTTGGGGGTTGAACTAATGTTGGATTTGGCTATGGTGAGATGGAGAGAGAGGTGAAGAAACAATTGATGCGATGATAGAGAGACTTGATGTTGATTTGGGTTCAGCTGTGCAACGAAGAAAGTGCTTGCGAATGAGCGTACAATAAGCTATATTGCATGCGCAATTTGTTCTTCAAAGCTTTAAAGTATAGCATCCGAGAAATTCTCCTCTTTAGTCTTGGGAGTTTGAAAGTTTCCTGTCTGGATATTGAGAGTTAGTCATAGTACAGAATGTTCTGAGGTGTTGGTATTTGCCAAGATAATCCAAGACAAAGGCTCTCTAAATGTATTATATGTATTGTACTTTGCTGCTTGTAACCGTACGCTTTTCTTACAATCTTTGTATTGAAGAAGCTTTGTATTGAAGAAGCTTTGTATTGAAGAAGCTTTGTATTGAAGAAGCTTTGTATTGAAGAAGCTTTGTATTGAAGAAGCTTTGTATT